TAAAAGAGTGTTAAAACGCTTTTATATGGACAAAGCAACTCCTTTGAGTACTCCAATGGTTAATAGATCTCTTGATGTTGAAAAGGATCCATTCCGTCCTTGTGAGGATAACGAGGAAGTGTTAGGTCCTGAAGTACCTTACATGAGCGCTATTGGTGGACTAATGTATCTTGCAAATTGCACTAGACCAGATATAGCATTCGCTACTAATCTGCTTGCAAGATATAGTTCGTCCCCTACGCGCAGACATTGGAATGGAATAAAACATATTTTTCGTTATCTTCAAGGATCAATTGATTTAGGATTATTTTATCCTAAAAACTCAAAATGTGTTTTAGTTGGTTTTGCTGATGCAGGATATCTATCAGATCCACACAAAGCTAGATCACAAACAGGTTATGTTTTCACAATTGGTGGAACCGCGGTCTCCTGGCGTTCGCAAAAGCAAACTTTGGTTGCAACGTCTTCAAATTATGCAGAAACTATTGCTCTCCATGAAGCATGTAGAGAGTGTGTATGGCTCCGGTCTATGACTCATCACATACAAGAATCAAGTGGAATAGTCATAGAGAAAGAGCCAACAAAAATATTTGAAGACAATTCTGCATGTGTCACACAACTCAAAGAAGGTTATATCAAGAGTGACAGAACGAAGCATATTCCTCCAAGATTTTTCTCATACACTCAAGAACTCCAGAAAAATCAAGAAGTGGACATCGAGTATATTCGTTCAAGTGACAATGCAGCCGATCTTTTTACAAAGGCGCTTCCTACTACAGTGTTCAAGAAGCATGTTCACAGTATTGGAATGCGTCGTCTACAAAACTTGTGAAAAGAAAAGATTATATCTTTTCCAGGGGAGATTATGCTACGGTACTCTTTTTCCTAAGTCATAGTTTTTATCCCATTGGGTTTTTCTATGACATAGGTTTTTTAACGAGACCGTACATAATACATGACGGATAATTAAGGGGAGTGTTAGAAAGGATAATTATCCTCTATGAATATTTTATTATTACTTATAGGTAAGTTTTTTCACCGTCTTATATCCACCGCTATAGTCATTATCTATTAATTCTCCTCTATATAAATATGTGTACTCAGTTATAATTGAAACATAAGTTCAATACAAAAGAAACTCTATACTTCTCTCTTCATTCTCTCACGTACAATAATTCCTCTCCCACATACGAAACAACCACCATCTTTCTCATATAGTAATCTCTCTCTCTCCCTCTCTCTTACATCTTCTTGTTCTTTATTAATCAATCCACTATACATAATATATAGTGGTATAGTTTAGTTTCTTAACAATCACATTATTTTCTTTTATTTCTTTTTTTTTGTTAAGGAAATTCATCACATTCATGTATATAATTTTATTTATAAAAACTACAATCCAGTTGATACAAATTATGAGAACAACTAGGAAGATAGTTCTGAACAAACTTTTTCGCTCTACAAAGATCCTCACGATCACAACCTAGGAAGTTGCTTCTATTAATTTGTAGAAATTGCATTATTGAACCATTTGGTCAACTATTTAACTAAAAGACTTCCAAATTTCTTACATTTTTATAAATAAAAGTTTTGGTTTGGATCTTTTTGGATATTGAAAAAACATTACCATTCTTTGAAAAAAAAACTTAATTAACATAAATTTATTTTTCTATATAACACCATAATTTTCTATGGTTTGGATTTCTTATAGTTTAGAATCAAGATTGATTTAATGCTATTTCTATTGTGGAAAATCTCCAAGATTATCTTGCTCTTTTTTAAAAAATCGTGACGACTCAGGATGTTTGATTGTTGGGTCTACAAGCTTCACTCCTACGGAGTGTAATTGCAGTCATCTTCTATTGCAACTGCTTTGTGTGAACATCGTGAAAGATCTCACCAACCTCATCGGTTTAATACCCAACTTATATTGTTTTACGAGAGTAAGATCTTCTAAATAACTCCAATGATTTGTAAAACACTCCAAAATAAAAACCCAATTAGGAAACAGAGCAATCCAAGATCCAAAATTTGGTAATGAACAAAGAAATCGGGAACTGTAGAAAGAGAACTCAGCTTGTTATTGTTTAATTCAAGCTGAGTTCTCTTTCTACTATTTCCAATTTCTCTTTTCCTACTTTGTTTGAGCTTTTTCAAGATGATGTGTCTATTTTGTACATTGCAAAAAGATTGTTTGAACATAACGTAACTTTGTTTTCATAAAGTCTAACAGCTTAGAGCATCATCCCCATCGCAGCATTTAACAAGGTTTTAAACATTGAAACTGATTTTTTTTTTTTAAATTAAAAAAAATGTTTAAAACCTTTTAAAAAACGATTTAATAAAACATATTCCTAGAACAAATCTAAGCAAGAACCTTTTGTCTAATTAAAACCCGTCCATGTTTATCCACCATTTAAGAAAAGAATAAAACATTGGAAGCGGAAAAAGTTTCTGGAAATGGAGGTAAACTCAGGAGTCCTTCTGTTGAAAGAGCAAGTTTACGAAGTAATAGACTAATTGTGTTTGTTTGGTTTGAAGTTGACATTAGCGATAGGAACCAAGATTCAGGCCATCATATCAGACATGGCGTTTGAGATTCAAGGAGACACGCAGTGATACAAGGGATGCCACTTGTCAATGTCTCTGACCGACATTTTTGGTTAAGACGTCCCCAATTAGTCCTCCATATCATTCTCTTCCAGGTACATATCATTAGTTCCCAGACTCAGACGTACGCGCGTTTTACCCTAATTCAAGTTCCATTGTCCTACTTGGAAGGAGACTATTTCCTCACACATTGAGAAACTGAAGAAGATTCTTTGAAGTTTTCTGAAACAGAACAACCGTTGGAGAAGCACAATTCTCTGCTTCTTTGAACACATCACTTTCAGATATCTCGTCGGTAACAATCCCAATAGCAAGCATAGCTAACAATAAGTATTACCACACACCACAGACACATGAGAACAAAAATTACTTGAGCCAAAAAGAACAAGGGATCAATAAGCATATCCACAAACCAAAAGAAAAAAGACCAATCCGAACTAAAAGTGATGGTATACATAGAGCCTTATGGAGAATAGTATTCTGAAAACGTATCAACTATGAGAGTGAGTGCAACCTAAGACAGTGGCTGTTAGGTCTAACAGAATAGTATTCTGCAAAAATATTTAGATTTTATCACATCATCTTCCTTACTATATGCAATCAAGTCGCTGGAGGATGCAATGAACCAATATGATCATATTATATTCTGTTTCTGAAAACGATTAACAGCTCAAACCCACTACCAATTAAAGAAAGACAATATTCGTTACCTTTTGTTTTGGTCATTAGAGGCTCAATGTCAGGTTTGTGATTCTCACAGTGGATCAGATTCTAAAATGAACACTCCTTTTTAGAAATTTTGTTCTTCCTTGTGACATCTATCACGAGCTAAAGATTGCCTCTTTACAACACAATCATTTTCATTAAGGATTTGGATCTGAAATTTTTCATACAATGACCTGAAACCTGACAATAACTCCAACAACAAAGCGTAAAATTACATGACAAACATATCATCAATAAAAGGGCGAATTGCCAAATATAGTTCACAATTTGATTTGAAATGCAAAAGTAGACCCTATATTGCATTTAGAGCAAAACTAGTCTTCTGGGCATGTAGAATTACAAACCAAGCCCTTATGAACAAAGAAAAAAACGCTAGCCACAATGTCTGTTTTACCCTGTTTAAAGTCTATTCATGAAGTCTACGCATATTAGACTTCATCATGAAGTCTAATTCCTAAACACAACTCAAATTTAATTTATAAAATTATAGGAAATTGTTTTGATCAAAAAAATTATACATAAATAAGATTAGAACATTTGGCATCCAAGAAAAATAAACTTGCATAAAAATGACTCCATTTAACTCAAGTAAGAGAAATTATGTTTGTAACCTATAAACTGCGTGAAGTCTACTCCCGAAGTCTAATATATAGCAAAATCGTAAATTTAAAGTTTGAAATCTTTAAAAATATTTTGATGAAGGTATTTACACATAATTTACAAAGACAAGTACTATCCATGAAAAATAAATTTGCATATAAATTGATCAATTTAAAATCGGTAATACAAATTATGGTATAATCCAAAAAATATTGTGTGAAGTCTACTGAAGAAGTCTACCAAATAACAAAATCTTAAATTTAAAGTTTAAAATCTATAAAAAATATTTAGGCTTAAAAAAATTATAAATAATCTAAATGAAGACAAATCCTATCTATGTAAAATAAATTTTCATGGAAATTAATCAGTTTATAAGTTTCATGAGTAAACCAATCATCAAGCTTAGTGTTTGAGGTACAATGTATAGGGTTTATGAGTATGATTGTTAGGGTTTAGAGAATTTTGACATAAAAAATTGTTTGTGGTTTGTTTAACGATTTAAAGCTAATGAATTTATAGTTTATAATGTAAATTGTGATTATATATACATAATTGATGTTTTCTATAGCTTTGATCTCAAAAATTCGATTTAGGGTTTAGGGTAAGTCAGACTTCATCGGTAGACTTCATAGTTAGACTTTGCTATGAAGTCTTTATTCAAAAAAACGAGTGGGAAACGAAATTTTAGGGCGGGAAACGAAATATTTTGGGCGAATAAATTTTCATTAAAAGTTCAATTTTACTGTTTTATTAGACTTTCTAAGTAGACTTTGTATGTAGAGATTAATTTTTCTGTGGTTTATAAGATTTCATGTATAGACTTTGTGTGTAGACTTAACGATGAAGTCTATTTAACCGAACTTAACCAAAATTTTGTTTCATCTAACCGAAAAAATAATTTCACCTAACCGAAAATTTTGACTTGATATATAAACAAATAACCCTAATTTTCTAGAAACAAATCTGTATCTAGCGGCGCTTTTCTCTCTCTCATCTCTCCTTGAACCTCAGCCACTTCTTCTGGACTGAGCGAAGCCACTCGCCGCTTCTTCTCGCCTGAGCTGATGACGTCTCTCTCTGCTCCAGTGGATCTCCGCCGTTTCTTCTCGCCTGAGCTAATGGTGGCTTTCTCTCTGCTCCAATGGATCTCCGCCGCTTCTTCTCGCCTGAGCAACTCAGTCGCCGTTAACTTTCGCCGCCTCTCCCTCGCAATTTACCACCGCCTCCTATCCCTTCTCCATCTCCTCACGAACGAAAGCTTCATCCTTTCCGCCGGTTCTTCTCGCCTGAGCAAGTCAGTCACCGTTTGTTTACCATTCTAACCGGTAAACCATCGTTTTTCTCTCCATAAAAGATATGGGTACAGATCTGAACCACATACGTAACATGTTAGATTTGTTTCCGCGCAGGATGGCGTCGAATCCGTTGGTTGAGGCGTTTCAAGGAGTGAGAGGAGTAGAAGATAGAAAGATGCAGACGGCTGATTCGTTTTTGGCACAGAAAAAAAGCTTTCGATTGTGAAGAAGCGTGAACCAGAGCCGGAGCCAATGGAAATGGTGGAGGAGGCTAGGTAGAAGACCGTCTCTTTGTACATTAATAGAGAAAAGCCATCTCTTTTTCACCAGTTACTAGATCTCAGGGTAATCTCTCTCTCTCTCAAATGGTGTTTCGATTATATTCAAGCTATATTCAAGTTATTCTTTCTGCAACATTTCTATGACTAGCTTCTCTTATGCGGTTTTTGTTTTTCAGTTTATGACTGGAGAACCGATGTGGCTGGAGAACGACAAACAACAGAGCCTGGCCGACTTCACTCCATCTCTCTCGAATGTGGCGACTCCAAATTTGTGCTATGCTGTCGAATGTGGTAATAGTTTTTTCCTGATCTCTTGTCTCTGGTATAGCTTATTTTCTTTCCAAAAACATGTAACTATGGGATTTTGTTAGTTCATCATTCTTCGTTATTCTTTAATGTGCTTAGACTAATTTTTTCTTTGGCTAAAATCTGCTGCTCCTAATATTGGTTGCTCGCTCCTTCAGGTTTGACAAGAAAACGTTTCCGAGCTGCATCAAGATACCTCTCATGATGTAAGGTCTCTTTAAATATGTTTACATAGCCATTTTTACTGATTTAATTAACCTGTTTCTGATTTAATGAACCTGTTTCGGAGTTTAAATAGCCATTTTTTACTGATTTAATGAACGATCCTCTACACATGACAACATGTTTATGATGTCTTTTTGGTCCCTTTTTCTCTGGAATGATGATGCTTAGCCAAATCAGATATGATTTTTGCCTGACCAGAATATTGACTCACTTGTGTTGTGTTTCTGAAGCCATTAACTCCATATCTTGAAATATTCTCTTTTGTATCTCTTTTTTTTGTCCTGCTATGCTCAAATATACTCATGAACATCTACGATATTTGGAAGTGGCTGTGTATATTCAGTTGGTGTATCTTGTCGAGTGCAGATAAAAAACCTTCAGGATTTGGACGTGGATGAGGACGTCGTATGGATGATGGAGGAGCTAGAGACCGAGGCAGAAGAGCTTTAGTGACAAAGATGAGTGTGGCGAAGATGAGTGATAGACGTGAGTGATACGATAGACTTAGTTGACTCTGTTTTGCCAAATTATTTGGGTTTCTGCTGCATATTTCTTTTGACAAGTTATGTTATTGTCATTGCTTGTTGCAAAGTCTTAGCCAGCTCATTTGTATTTATGTGTTCTTAGACTTGAAATCAACAGCTACATTTATTTTTAATAAAGAAAAATATTGCTCTTAAACCATCTATGCAAAGTTTTACAAGTTCTTATGTCATATGTTATGATCTGTCTCGTGTTGTTACAATACGGATATTCTGATAGATAGTTCGCATCCAGTTTTTGCACTTTGTGACTGGAACCATGACATTGTAAGACTTCTTTTGTAGGCATTATCATGTATTTATCCTAAGCTAAAATGGACCAAGTTTATATAAAGAATAAAACTTTATTAGTATATTTCACTAGTAAGACTTTATAGATTTGTGATAGAAACTCAAATTCAACCATTTTTTATGCATTTGATCTAGCTAAAACGGACCAAGTACAATCGTATAGTAGACTTCATGATTTTTAAAAATACATTATCAAGTAGACTTATTTAGTAGACTTCACAGATAGACTTCTCGAATAAGTCTACATGATAATGTATAATGTGCTAACCAAACAAGAAAACTGTTTCCACTTTGTATATTACGAATAAGCATGTCAAACTAACACACAAGCAACTAAATATACTAACTCAAATAATTGTTCAAGAAAATCTTAAAAATTCGTTATATATTTTCCAAAAACGCGTTTTCAAATAAACATTAAATAGTAGACTTCACGAGGAAGTTACTTGGTAGACTTCCCTGTGAAGTCTAATAGACTAGTTTTGCAATTTTTCAAATGACAATTTTTTTCTAAAGTCTATACGTGAAGTCTACTGGAAAAAAAAAGACTAGTTTTGCAATTGACCAAACTTTGACATTTTCAAATAGACTTCATTATCGTGAATAGGCTTAAAAATGAAGTCTAACTCGAGAATGAAGTCTACTGGTGAAGTCTACAACAAGAATTAGACTTCATAGGGATTAGTTTTGCAATTGATCGAATTTTTGAATTTAGAAAATAGACTTCATCGTGAAGTCTACTCCGACAAACGTTGACTATTAGACTTCACCAAGAAGTCTATCAAGAATTAGGCTTGAAATGAAGTCTAACCCAGTATTATACTTCGAAATGAAGTCTAACCCAATATTTCAAAGTCTAATACAACATTAATAGACTTCAGGGGTAGACTTCACGATAAAACAAACTACTTAAGTTTGCAAAACTAGTCTTTTTTCGAAGCAGACTTCACGGATAGACTTCTCATAAAAAGTTTTTATTCTGTCAATTGCAAAACTAATCTGTTTCGAATAGACTTCATTCTGAAGTCTACGCCATATTTTTTTGTTTTCAAAGGAATATGGGTAGACTTCATTGTGAAGTCTACTCTCCAAATATTTTGAAAAGTCAATTGCAAAACTAGTTGTTAGACTTCATTATGAAGTCTAACTGCATCAAAAATATGAAATTCACTCAGATCTACCGGAATTTTACCTTGTCGTGATTTTAAGTTTCGTTGACGGCCTAGAACTTTGATTTAGAGCTTCAGCAAACTTCCCCAACCGTTATAATGATCTCCCACACCAAAAATGGGAAGATCTAAGAACATAAACTTTGAAAAGATGAAAATGTGTGTTCTTGGTGAAAATGGAGAAGAAATTGAAGAATACAAGTTTATGAGATGATATAATGAGTTTGTATATATGTTTGAAGAGTAAATCATGCATTCAAAACTTGATTTTGGTTGAGAATGGTTGTTGGACGAATTGATGGTGATGGCATTTTCGTGAATAAATGAAGAAGATGAGGTTTCTTTAGACCCTTTTTTTGCGTATTAGACTTCACGGTTAGACTTCAAGGACGAAAGTAATGGCATTTTCGTTATTATCACAAATATAGTGAGGATAAAGAAGGAAGGAAAAAAAAGGGTATTACTTTTGGATTTGACTCCAATTTGTGTACTACTTTTGAAAACAGCCCTCAATAAAAAGGGCTGTTTTCAAAAGTAGTACAAAATTGAGGTCAAATGCAAAAGTAGTTCACTCTTTTTTTCTTCCTTGTTTATCCTCACAATAATTGTGATAATAACGAAAATGCCATTACTTTCGTCTTTGAAGTCTAACCGTGAAGTCTAACACTCTGAAAAAAGGTCCAAAGAAACCTCATCTTCTTCATTTATTCACGAAAATGCCATCACCATCAATTCGTCCAACAACCATTCTCAACCGAAATCAAGCTTTCAATGCACGATGTACTCTTCAAACATATATACAAACTCATTATATCATCTCATAAACTTGTATTGGTCAATTTCCTCTCAATTTTCACCCCAAGAATACACATTTTCATCTTTTCAAAGTTTATGTTCTTAGATCTTCCCATTTTTGGTGTGGGAGATCATTATAACGGTTGGGGAAGTTTGCTAAAGCTCTAAATCGAAGTTATAGGCCGTCAACGAAACATAAGATCACGGCAAGGTAACTTTCCGGTAGATCTGAGTGAATCTCATATTTTTGCAGGTTCTTAGACTTCATAGCGAAGTCTAAAAAACTAGTTTTGCAATTGATTTTTCAAAAAATTTAGAGAGTAGACTTCACAATGAAGTCTACCCATATTCCTTTGAAAACAAAAAAATATGGCGTAGGCTTCAGAATGAAGTCTACTCGAAAAGATTAGTTTTGCAACTGACAGAATAAAAACTTTTTATGGGAAATCTATCTGTGAAGTCTGCTTGAATAAAAGACTAGTTTTGCAAACTTTAAGTAGTTTGTTTATCGTGAAGTCTACCCCTGAAATCTATTAATGTTGTATTAGGCTTCATTCAAAGTCTAATACTGGGTTAGACTTCATTTCGAAGCCTAATTCTTGATAGACTTCACCAAGAAGTCTAATAGTCAACGTTTGTCGGAGTAGACTTCACGATGAAGTCTATTTTCCTGATTCAAAAATTGGACCAATTGCAAAACTAATCCCTATGAAGTCTAATTGTTGTTGTAGACTTCACCGATAGACTTCATTATGTAGTTAGACTTCACCGATAGACTTCATTCTGTAGTTAGACTTCATTTTTAAGCCTATTCACGATAATGAAGTCTAATTGTAAAAGTCAAAGCTTGGTCAATTGCAAAACTAGTCTTTTTTTTTCGGTAGACTTCACGTGTAGACTTCATAAAAAATTGTCATTTGAAAAATTGCAAAACTAGTCTATTAGACTTCACAAGTAAGTATACTAAATAGACTTCATCGTGAAGTCTACTATTTAACTTTTTATTTGAAAACGCTTTTTTGGTAAATATATAAGGAATTTTTAAGATTCTCTTGAAACAATTAGTTGATTTAATCTGATTAGTTGCTTGTGTGTTAGTTTGACATGCTTATTCGTTGTATAGCTCGTGAAAACGGTTTTCTTGTGAAATTTGAATATTAGACAATACTAGGTAGACTTCTAGGTGAAGTCTACCAATAAAGTCTATCAATGAAGTCTAATGCGGTTGTTTTTGTTTACTTGCAGGAAATGGTTTACATTGCATCTGTTTATGGAGAATGGGTGATAAAGGACAATTTGTCTTGGCATTTTGAGGTTGATTATCGGAAAGGAGGTAGAATGTTCTCGTTGAGGGATGGATGTACACATGATGAGCTCATTCAAATGGCTTTAGAGGATTATTCGCTAACCAAGATCGGACACCGTTTGGAAATATCATATCCATTACCAGAAGTGTTCACTCAGCAAACGTGTAATGATTCTCCGCCCATGTTTGTCACAAACGACAGACAAGTCGAAAGCTTGATCGAGCTAAGTAGAAATCATGGTGTACGACTTTGTGTCTCTAGCAAAGGGAAGGATGAAGACAACGTAGATGGACCTTTGGATGAAGACTTAGATGAAAATCTGGATGATGAGTTGAAGGAAGAGTTCGATGAAGAGTTGGATGAAGATTGGAGCGCAGAACGAGAAGAAGTGTCTGAAGAGTCGGGTTGTGATGAGGATGATGTAAGGGAAAAAGCTTATGAAGGCGATGATGACACACACGCGGACTACAGTCAGTATGGGAAAATTAAAGATGAAGACGTTGTCATTGATGTTCCTTTCGATGATCCCCGCCTTTTAGGGCGTGGTGTGGGTCATCGTATAGGAATTGATAATTGGGAAGACAATATTTACGAGCACCAGAGCTTTGATACCAAGGCCCAACTTATCTCTGAGTTGCGTTTGACCGCGGTGATGACAAGATTCTCATTCAGGATAGCTGCGTCTACAAGAAAAGTGTTTGTGGCCAAATGCAAAGTCGCTGGATGCAAATGGAGGCTTAGAGCGGCCGTAAAGAACGAACCCTCCACGTTTTGGGTGACAAAGTACGTGAAGTCGCATACATGTTCTGTTTCTGATCGAGTACGTAACCATAAACGTTGTACAACGAAGTATATTGGAAAGCTTTTTCTTGATCGGACAGGGCTCATTGAAGGAATTGTGCCGCAACACATAAGAGACTCTATGAGGAGGATGTTTGGAATGAAGTTATGGTCGAGAGTTCATTTTGAAGGTGATAGATACAATATAAAGACGAGCAACATCGCAGAATCTATTAACTCGGCTGTCAAGAAAGCAAAAGGATTACCTATTCCTCGTCTTTTGGAGTTTATTAGGGAGAAGCTCGGGAGATGGTTTAGCAAGAGGCGGGAGGATGCACTGAGTCTCACAACCACACAGCAGAGGTGTTGAGTACATATTGGCCATACGGTCTTACTATGCGGGAAGTATGATCGTAGATCGCATAGACGCTTGGCGCTTTCATGTTAAAGGCGGGAGACGAGATTGTAATGTCGACTTGGAGAATCGAACATGCTCGTGCGGTGTGTATAACGTTGAAAAAATCCCTTGCTCTCATGTTATTGCAGCTGCAGCCGAAGCTAACGTCGACATGTCCTATTACGTATGCGCCACTCATTCGACGCCTTCCTTGTTCTCAACATATGCACATCCGATTTACCCCAAAGAGGGAACTGACTCCCACGTGAAGCCTGTTCGCTGTTTGCCTCCAGGGGAGAGTGTCCCTTCTGGAAGACCGAAGAAGTCGAGGTGGCAAACTTGGCTAGAGATGTCTAGGAAGAAAAACACAAAACCGAGGAAAACGCATAAGAAGTACATCTATGAAGTCTGCCGACGAAGTCTATTTGGAAAGTCTATCTATGAAGTTTATTGTGAGTCTGGCCAATTTGTATGATTTGTGCGTGTTTTAGGTGGATGAAACGGAGAAAAACACTGGTTTTTAGTTTTCGTGAAGTCTGACACAGAAGTCTACATATTAAGTCTACCTATTAAGTTTACTTTGCGGCCAATTTGTATGCTTTGGGTGTGTTTTAGATGGATGAAACGGAGAAAAACACTGGTTTTTAGTTTTTGATAATAACAAAACAATAGACTTCTGAAATATACCAAGTGCACAATATACCAAAACAGTAGACTTCTGAAATGTGAAGGCCGATCAGCGATAGATTACAAAAGAATAATTAGCCTACACCCATCATCGGGTTCTAAAGAGCATTAGTTTACGGGATTACACCTACACCTTTCATAATCTCTCGTCATACAAATCGACATTGTCCCAATCATCTGGGTCCTCGACCGGTCCACGGCAGTTGATCTCATGGTACATATCAGACGCAATCTGCTCCCTAAACATGGTGATGTTTTTCTGACACAACGTCTTCGGAAATGCGGCATATCCGACTGCCAGGCACTCGATGAACTTGAGGACAAACACGCCACAATCTCCAGCCCCCACTTGCTGCGGCACATCCTTACTCGGACGGCTGTGCGTGTACTTCGCATCGAAGTAGACGCATTTGTCCTCAGCCTGAGCCGCGGAGTGCATAAGATTCGGCATCATCACCGCATAGGGTTCCACCAACAAGTCCATTTCCGCATTATCGAGCCAGTCCACCAGACTGTCGTAGATGGTAATGTGCCTTTTGGGTATGGAGACATGCAGCGCGACCCAATGCTTATTCTTGATATTCAATGGAATGAATAAATCATCAACATCATAACCCCATCGCTTATTGTTGGGCTGGCTTTTCGGGAGATTACCAAAGTACCAGTCCAGCATTTGACATCTCTGAAACCTGGGCCAGTCCCTTTCCCAAAATTGAGTGATATGGCTGTTAAGGAAGCAGATCCTGTCATTTTTAAACAACTCTGGTCGCGTTGCTAGGCGGTGAGTCATCATGGTGGCCCAGGACTTCATATGCTGCAATGGAAACAAAGAATTCGACTATGAGGACTAAATATGAAGTCTATGTCATAAGTCTAACAGTGAAGTCTACTTGTGAAGTATATTTACGAAGTCTAACAATTAGAACGTACGCTATCCGATAGCCATTGAAACCCCGTGAGTAAAGTAAACCACCAGTGCCATTCCGGGTAATCGAACTTGTCCGGCTCCAGCGCTGTAGCTGCAGAATAACCCCTGAAACATTGGTAAATTCTCGTAAGCCTCTATAATTTGGTCAAACAACGAAGAGACAAAAGAGTTTAGGGGCTCACGGTAATCCGGAGACGAATGCCCGCATTGGTGTTATCCTTTCCTCGAGAGGTCGAGCAAATGGATTATACCCTAGAGGTTCATTGCCACCGGTTGCTTTCTTAGGTTCAGGTGCTTTCTTAGGTTCAGGTGCTTTCTTCGGATTAGCTGCTTTCTTCGGAGGAGGTGATTTCTTCGGAGAAGGTGATTTCTTCGGAGGAGGTGATTTCTTCGGATCTGCTTTCTTCGGATTAGCTGCTTTCTTCGTAATAGCTGCTTTCCTCGGTTTAGAGATGATCTTAAGTGATTTCGGTGGGGAATTGGGTATCTCCGGGGGGTTGTTTAGGATGATCCTTCTAGCGGTGCTGTTTCCTTGGAACTCACCTTTCTGAGTAAACGCCAGCTTCCTTACTCTCTCACTTTTCCCTCTTGCCATAACATTAGCCGCCTTGATCTGCTCTTCCTGTTGCCTTTTCTCTTCGGCTTCCTCAGAATCAGTTGGAATATGTGTCCGGAGCCAAGTGCAATCCGTATCTTCCTGTTAACATTGCTCAAACACAAGAGAGATAGAGAGAGACAAAACAGATAATGAGTCACTAGAAATTTGAACTTTTATTTAAACAGGAGGGAAAGTGTACAACGCAACGCAACACACTACAAACAGAAACATACACACATCACTTGTTCTTTTTCACAGCGACCCTATGACTCCTACGCACATATCTCTTTTCAACTACTTTATCAGAGTTTTTAGATCTACGTGGAGAATGAACGGTACTAACCGTTCCACCAGGCGGAGCCGTCTTCCCTTCACCGGCATCGGACTTATCCGGCTCCTCATCGGACTTCTCCTCATTCTTCTTCTCCAGCTCCTCATTCTTCTTCTCCAGCTCTTCATTGGCCTTCGCAGAATCCTCATTGGACTTCGCAGTATCCTCACTGGACTTCACAGAATCCTGAGCCTGAGGATGCGAAATCTTCTTGACAATCCTCCCTACCACAGCGACTTGAGCGGTGAGGACCTGAATCTTTTCCTGGGTCTTACTCATCTCCTCGAAGTGTTTTTTGGTGAAGTCTTTAAAAAGCTCCTCAATCTTCGCCTCAAGACCTTTCCAGCCAGCACCAGAGGCCTCCGCAGGTGAACCATCTGAGGTCCGAGCTCTTTTGACACTTATCGCTTCATCATCATCAGCCTCATCAGAGAGACTCCTCTTGCCATGAGACTTCTCTGACTTCACAGACTTCTCAAACTTCACCTTCTTAACCACCGATATCCCTTCTCTAACCCAGTCAGCTGGTTTCCACACCCATCCTCCACCAAATTCCCCAAGCAAGGCCTTGATGATGTTGTCCACCTTCTCGTCATCTATTTCCTTGTCCCAACGTGGGTACACGTCTGCCTTGTCCACCATTACCATGTGATTGAAAAGCACCTGCAAAACCGTTATCAGAAAAGTCAAGAAGTTTTGGATATTATGATTAATATGCAGAGAGTACAAGGCAAATGAATTACCTGCTTCTTCATGGTTCCGATAACATATCTCTTCCCTCTGATTCCATTGAATGCTAGCAGCGGTGGCTCAGGATTATTTGGCCTCGGATCACCGTTTTCTTCTCCGAACCTCGGCATAGCATAGTACGCCCACACTTGCACGACTTCAGCAAAGCCTTCGAGGCTGAATGGCTTGGACACGTCTGCTTTCTTTATGGACTTGATGAGGGTCTTGAAAGCTACTCGCCCCCAGGGATAGTTTTCAAACTTCTCCAAGTCCATAACTTGACTAGCCAGTGCTACTCGTGTATGAGTGGAACTTTTGCGAGCATCAATGAAGCCAGCGTATACGGCCAAAAAACCAAGTCTCAGCCTATCCTCTCTGCTCCACTCTCCGGCCCACTGGCACGCTGCTAAGAGTTCGTCAACGCTCGGACCAAGCTTCTCATTCACACCAAGCTTCCGCCAGAAGTCTTTCATCTCGTCTGTGTTAACAGTCTCTGGCTTCGTCAGCGCTTCTTTATACTCGCAGTTAAGCCCGGTGATGTGTTCAAACTCGTTCAGAGAAAATCGCACTGGCTGTACACCCACGGCACTCCATATCTCATACTTCTTCTTGCATGCTACTTGCATAGTGAGCATAGTCTGTGCCACCTTCGATGCCCAATTAAACTCGAGCTTCGTGAACCTGAAGAGGGGTCCCAGCTTAAATTCTCAAGCTCATCCCATTCATCTTCAAGTGTGGTGTGCATTTGAGACCACAGTGCAGTGTTCTTGCTATAGTAGACAACACTGCGATCATAATCCGGTTCTTCTCCTTCTGTGAACAACCTCCTAGGAAATGTCACGGCGTCCATACTGAAAACACATTGAAAATATGAGAAATTAGGAGGAGTCTACAATTTTACACGGCATAAATAAAGTCTAAATATGAAGTCTAACTATGATGTCTAACTATGATGTCTAATTATGAATTCTAACTATGATGTCTAACTATGATGTCTATCAATTCTAAAGGTGAAGTCTGTACTTTAAGTCTGCTCTACTCTAGCCAACCGCCGCTAAAGAGCGGCTAACTAAACCCTAACAATAGACTTTTACCTTATTCTTTGCGGTTATGAGGGCCAGCAACGGCGGCGGATACTACTAAGAAGCGCAACGACGGCGGATACTACTATCCGGCAACGGAGACCTGCCACAGATCTACAATCGATTACTCCATGGTTTGAAGGGCGTAAGCAGAGAGAAAAAAAGTGAAAGGGAGATAACTAACCGGCGCTGAGAGGAAGAGAATAATTGGTGCGATTTAATAGGTCGTTCGATTCCACAGCGGCAACACGGACAACGGCAACACGGACAGCGGCAACCAACGGTGGCGGAAGGGTTCAAAAGAAGATTCCACTGTGAGTATAACGACAGTAGAGGGAAACAGACACAAATACGTATATCACTGATATATGAATATGACTTACAGAAGTATACTTCGGAGGAGGAAGGGGAAAAGGCGGCGGCGACGATAGTGGGTCTGTCTTTCTTCTTCGACGGCGACGGTGGGCGGAGAGAACATGCAATCGCCTATCCGACAAAGAGAGAGAACGGAACGGACTTGGGTTTGTGAAAGTGAAACCCTGATTTTGGGTTTCTCACTTTCGATTAGGGCCGGCTAATTTTGGTTAAACCCAATTACAACAAAAATTATAATTTCCTTGACCGGTTCTGTTCAAAAACCGGAATTGATGTACAAAGTCTACTCGTGAAGTCTACAAATTGAACTTTTAATGAGAAATTTATTCGCCCAAAATATTTCGTTTCCCGCCCTAATAATTTCGTTTCCCACTCGTTTTTTGAATAAAAGACTTCATAGCAAAGTCCAACTATGAAGTCTACCGATGAAGTCTGACTTACCCTAAACCCTAAATCGAATTTTTGAGATCAAAGCTATAGAAAACATAAATTATGTATATAGAATCACAATTTACATTATAAACTATAAATTCATTAGCTTTAGATCGTTAAACAAACCACAAACAATTTTTTATGTCAAAATTCTCTAAACCCTAACAATCATACTCATAAACCCTATACATTGTACCTCAAACACTAAGCTTGATGATTGGTTTACTCATGAAACTTATAAACTGATTAATTTCCATGAAAATTTATTTTACATAGATAGGATTTGTCTTCATTTAGATTATTTATAATTTTTTTAAGCCTAAATATTTTTTATAGATTTTAAACTTTAAATTTAAGATTTTGTTATTTGGTAGACTTCTTCAGTAGACTTCATACAATATTTTTTGGATTATACCATAATTTGTATTACCGGTTTTAAATTGATCAATTTATATGCAACTATATTTTTCATGGATAGTACTTGTCTTTGTTTAAATTATGTGTAAATACCTTCATCAAAATATTTTTAACAGATTTCAAACTTTAAATTTACGATTTTGCTATATATTAGACTTCGGGAGTAGACTTCACGCAGTTTATAGGTTACAAACATAATTTCTCTTACTTGAGTTAAATGGAGTCATTTTTATGCAAGTTTATTTTTCTTGGATGCCAAATGTTCTAATCTTACTTATGTATAATTTTTTTGATCAAAACAATTTCCTATAATTTTATAAATTAAATTTTAGTTGTATTTAGGATTAGACTTCATGATGAAGTCTAATACGCTGTAGACTTCAGGAATAGACTTTAAACAGGGTAAAACAGACATTGTGACCAGCGTTTTTTTCTTTGTTCATAAGGGCTTGGTTTGTAATTCTACATGCCCAGAAGACTAGTTTTGCTCTAAATGCAATATAGGGTCTACTTTTGCATTTCAAATCAAATTGTGAACTATAATTGGCAATTCGCCCTCAATAAAAATCCTCACTTTGGAGGACAGAAAGTGATAACATAACGAGAAGCTCTACACTTTTTCAAACTACTCGAACCATCAGATGCATAACTATAAGCCTTAGGATTCGCATACTCTCCGGTGCAACATTCCTTCTCCGGTTGCATCGCCAAGCAAGCGCTTTTACATCCGACGACTTTACCATCTCTCATGACTTCCAAAGCAGAGGGACAACAAACATTCAAATCGACTTCACAAGCAGCCACGCCGCATCCGACTGGTCTCATAGAAACCGGGAGATTGAATTTATCAACGAGGCTCACGCTAGAAATGAAGCGGCTAGAAAGACAAGCCTAGAGTCATTTCCACGACGGTTGCTGGTTGGTAAACCTCCGGTTCCTTGGCAAATGATTGAACCAGCATTGCAATCTTCGGTTTGGCATGAGCTTTTGCCGTTTTGTTTGAAGATGCAAGACGCATATTAGAGAGCATCGGATATGCAAGAAGCATATGATGATTAATATGCAAGAAGCATGAGAGTATATATATGCAAGAAGCATATATGTGAGTACTGTATATATGCAAGAAGCATAAGATGAACATATGCAAGAAGCATACGGTGATGAATATGATTCATGCAAGAAGCATAAGAATGTTTATGCAAGAAGCATAAGAGTATATATGCAAGAAGCATAAGACGTATATATGCAAGAACCATATGGTGATGAATATGCAAGAAGCATGAGATGATGATGAATATATATGTTTGACCTGCCAAGCAAGCGCACCTGTCATGGCAAAGGTTATCATATACACATCCCTCTCTCTGTTTTCTTCTCTCAGTTTGAAAGCCCAAACAAATTTGTGTATCTACAGAGAGATAGATAACGCAACAAGAAAATACAATACCCTGACCTAGATCGCTCCTTGGCATGCAATCATGATCAACGAGAATTGATCCGATGCGTTTATCCTCTTTCGGCGCTGCTTTAATCCTTAGAGGAATAGGAATCCGATTCTAGCAAATCCAATTTTACACAGACATATAAGCAGAAGACACGAAATATTCAGAAACAGAATCAACGAACATTGAGAAACCCTAGAACGTACCTCGATGTCAGATTGCAAATCGGCGCTTAAGAACCAACGTCGGCCGAATCGAATCGAGACGAGACGAGACGAGTCAAGCCAAACCCTAAAATCATCTTCCAGATCGGAGATTATCAAACAAGGAAACGGAGAATCTCAGGCAAAGTAATCGGAATTTAAAGCTAAAGAGGATCAGAAATCGATCCGGCGGGAGAGATTGGGGGTAAAGATAAGAGGGACGAGACCGGAGCAAAACCCAGAATCCGAGTCGGTTTAAATTTCACATCCTACGATTGTCAATCAAAGTATAACGAAATCAACGGTTGTCAATTAACTTTCAGATGAAACGCAACAAGTATCGGTTAATTTGTTCGCGCGTGATTTAATTTGTTGTGTATTATCTTACTATAATAAATTACTCTAGAATGATTCCTTTCACTAAAATAGAATATTTGATCTTCGCTATAATTGTTTAAAACCATATCCATATACACATGCATGGGTTCACTTTGATTATTTTTATTTATTTTGAGTAAATTATTGGGATATAATGCAAAATTACATTACTGAAAAAAACAATAAAATTACATTACTATAGGTTGTCAAAACAAGATTAATGGTTAGTTTGTTTGTTGCTTTGTGGATAAGTCTCTAAATTTCTTTCTTACTGTATTGTCTCTCAACTCCATTTTTATCTGAGACGCAAGGAATGAGACCGGATGTGGTACCTTGTGGAATTTTACTATCTGCATCTAGTAGGACTCCGAGGTTTGTACAGGTCAGTGAGTATCTACAATGAATCTTGAAAATTCAAGAAACTCTACAACTTTAATCATACTTTGTTATTTGCTCTATTCCGAAATCAGTGACATTGTACCTTCTTTGTTAAAATCCAGTTTCCAGCATGTGAAAATATCAAACAATACATGGCGCATGCAGGTAAGCAATGCATGATCCTCTCGATGTCTTTCTTTTGTTTCCATGATCTCACTTCTTGGTCATCCGTGAGCTCAATAAAACATTAAAGAGTAACAAATTGAGTGTTATTGAGAATGAAGAAGATTATATACTACAATGGAATAAGGGAAAAAACAAAAGACACAAAAATATAAGTATTTTCTTCACAAAACAGATAATAAACTTTCAAAATAAGTAACAATACCAAGGAGATTGGCAGGTATGAAGAGTATATCACAAGACTTGGTATCGAGATCATATATCACGACGGGATAATCCGTATCACGACCTCGAAGCAAAACCTTATTCTTATCCAGAATAGCAACCGGAGGGAGCACGAATCTTTGGTCGAATTTTTTGCAAGAAAAAGCTTTCGTGAGATCTACGGAACACAATTCCTTCCAAGCCCCTGGCGAAGAATCGTCCAACGACCATATGAATTGGGTGGTCCCGTGTTTCTGAGATACGCACAAGCGGTCATCAAGGACGCACATGGTGGCGGTGAAACCGTCAGGTGCATGGGGCAAAGGAGCTTTAGAGATGACTTGAAAAGTTTCCGCGTGGAGATCAAAAGATAATACCTCTCCCTCCGTTGTTAACCAATAAAGAGACCCATCCAAATACACAGGAAACTGCAAAGAGAGAATCCGACAAGGAGAAGCAGGAACAACATACCTCCAAACCCTAGTGCTAAAATCGTAAACTTCGCAAGTGGTAACGTTGTCAAGCCTATAATCGGCTGAGTTATATAACCAAACCGCCTTGTACGTGCCGGTGAGTTTGTCCTTACCGAACCCTAGCTCAGGATGTGCGGTTCCGGCGAACTGTCTCTTCTCCGTTATGTCGATGAAAAAGCGTTGGATGGTGGATAGAGGGAAACTCTGATGCCACCCGGTGGCGGGATTCACCAAGAGATTGGGTGTGTGCGCTACGTAGACATCGTAGAGGCACACAAGACCGTCACAGATAGAGTTGCAGATTGTGGAGGCGGTCTTTGGGAGCGTGACCGTATAAGCTGTGGATGAACCAAACGTGAATCTTTGAGAATCATCACCACCAACAAGAGGACGACCAGTAAGCCGCACGAAAAGAACATCCGGACCTCGAGATAGCCTACGACGGAGAGATTGTCTTTCTTTGAAACTTTGGGAGTCGATTGTGGATCTCCATTGCTTCGATACAGACTTGAAACTCCGCAGAGACTTCACAGGAAGCCTCTCCAGGATTAGCTCTACCACATCGTGGGGCAGCCCTGATTCATGTCTTGTACACTTCATTGTCGTGTCTAAATTGATCGAAAGAGACGACGGAGGCCCTACATTTATACACAAAAGTCAAAACTTCTTTATCCGACTGGAACTAGGAACGGAAAAAAGGAAAATTTCCCGTTGAGTTCAGAGGTTAGGGTTTGCTTGCGTTTCAAGTTTCCTATGTTTTTTCTTTTTTTTTTCTCAAAATTCAACAAAGTCTCTTGATAATCAAAATTTCAAAGAGAATCGTTCTCCGAGAGGATATAGTCTAAAATGAATCTTGAAACCACAGCTATATCTTTAAACTTTAATAATCATACATGGTGTGTTATTTCCTCTGTAATGACATACGCACGAGGTCATTTTCCTTTCCTCTGTTTCCTCTTCTCTCTCCATCTCACTTGTTGGTCATCAGTTACTTTACAAGTTACAAAATGTCTCTCTGTTAAAATTTTCAGGTTGTTAGGTCCAGGCTTCAAGAGCAAGGTCAAGCAAGAAACGTTGAGGCTCGGTATTACGGAGTCATGGATTGTGCGAAGAAAGTGTTTAGAAAAGGTAACTCTGTTTAAAGTCTGATGCTACTCAAAGGCATGATATTCGTTGTACTTACATTAAAGTCTCCTTCTCATTAAACCACTCCTGTGATGTTAATTCATTTTACATTTCGTTTTTCGCTAAAGATTACACTCAGGTTCGATTGTCCTACTTGGAAGGAGACTATTTCCTCAACACATTGAGAAACTGGAGAAGATTCTTTTAAAGTTTTCTGAAACAGAAACACACTTTGGAGAAGCACAATTATTTGAATACATCACTTTCAGATATCTCACGGGTAACAATCCCAATAGCAATCATAGCTAACAATAAGTAATACCATGAGAACAAAAATTACTTAGAGCCAAAAAAAACAAGGGATCAATAAGCATACCCACAAACCAAAGGAAAAAAGGCCAATCCGAATTGAAAGTGATGGTATACATAAAGCATTATGGAGAATAGTATTCTGCAAACGTATCGACTATGAGAGTGAGTGCAACCTAAGAAGGTTGAATATGCAAGAAGCATACGGTGATGAATATGATTCATGCAAGAAGCACAAGATGATGAATATGCAAGAAGCATAAGAGTGTTTATGCAAGAAGCATAAGATGATGTATATGCAAGAAGCATAAGAGTATGTATGAGTATTTTATGCAAGAAGCATATGGCAAGAAGCATATAGTATTTATGCAAGAAGCATATGGTGATGTATATATGCAAGAAGCATACAGTGATATATATGCAAGAAGCATATGGTGATGAATATGCAAGAAGCATAAGATGATGATGTATATATGTTTGACCTGCCAAGCAAGCGCACCTGTCATGGCAAAGGTTATCATATACACATCCCCTCTCTGTTTTCTTCTCTCAGTTTGAAAGCCCAAACAAATTTGTGTATCTACAGAGAGATAGATAACGCAATAAGAAAATACAATACCCTGACCTAGATCGTTTCTTGGCATGCAATCATGAATCATGATCAACGAGGTGAGTCAAGCCAAACCCTAACAGGAAGATTAATCATCGTCCAAACAAGGAGATTATCAAACGAGGAAACGTATAATCTCAGAGAAAGAGTGATCGGAATTTAAAGCTAAAGAGGATGCTGAAATCGATCGGGCGGGAGATTGGAGTAAACCGGTGAAGAGAAGCGGGAGAGAAAGTTGACTATCCTTTTATATGTACGGGATCAAAATTCAAAACCTAGAATTCGAGGTCGGTTTACATTGTTTACAAAAAATCCATCAAAATATTTTTTTGATAAAGGATTTATCCTTCAAACTATTTTAACGGATCAATCTGGCGAAAATCCTTATCAGAAACTTCAGACGGATTTTCGATAGATCATGAAAGTTGGGAAAAACGAGAGAAGGTTTAGTGTCCATGTAGTCGTAAAATGAAAATGCAATTTGAAATTCATAGGTTGGTTCTATCTTTTTAACGTGTCTAGTAGGAGAAGAAATGGATTGGGCGGGTAACGTACGGTGGAGAGGAAGATAAGATTGATTAAAACATGAGGAGTTGGTGGAACCACAGATCTCTATAAAATAAGCATCCTTATAGATTTATACTTCAATCAAGTAGGTTTCATTTGAACAAAAAAAAAAAAAATCAAGTAGGTTCCAAGTGTTGATGCATTTTGACATATACAAACCAAGTCTTATTTTATTTGAAAGGCAAGAGTGAGACATTTGTTCCTGGAATTTGAAGTATCCCACACATGCAGTAACCTACGTGCAAATCTATGCACCGTATTTGATTAATATATCTATGTGTGTCAGTGTATTTGTATATATATCGTGTGCATTAACTAATCAAAAGAATCGACATAGCGCATGCATTACTTTATGTTTCTATTACTGTTTGGGTATATATGCGGATTAAAGTAAAAATGAAATATCTTCGCTCAGAAGGAATATCAGAAGCGCGTGATTCTTGAATTCGCCAAAATGCAAAGCTCAGCTTATTTATACCTTTTCTAAAAGACAATAGTATAAAGTAAATAATAAGCATATATAAGTACATAACCTAAGATTAAGTTGATTACAACCGTTTGAAATTAAGTTTGATTTTTGGTTACAACCGTTTGAACTGTAGGCTGGCATTTTACGTTTGTGGATCCGCAACAAATATCATCAAATGCTGCTTTTGAGTTTATATGAAACTCGGAACTTGATGATTATAAAAGAAAAGGAGAATTACGAAGTATGTATACTTCACTAAACATGCACATGCACCACGTATATAATTGATGTACATGTACGGTACGGTGTACCTTCATTGTCTTTTTTTTGTTTGTTTACATTTTCTTCCGATCGACAATAACTTCTGGAACGATGATTTTTTTTTGTTCTTTTGAGTTTTAAGTTAAATGAGAGATTACTTTTCATATTTTGACTGATGCGTGATTATTCAAAGATTGTTAACGTAGAAACACGTATGCATGAAATAACGTAGAAATAGGGGAATTCAAGTCCACCCTAAATTTGATCTAGTAAGCATATAGTCACGAAAGCAAGTAAAATGGGGATTTGCGAAAATTTAGCGTAACGAACCATAATAATAAATGGGATTAAGAGGAGGAACCCAACTACATATATAACTTAACGTTGTGGCCATCTAACTAACAATCTAAATTCCAAGTAAATATTTGTATCTAATGATTAAGGTGCAAAACGTCATTTATAAATGAAATAATTTGGAACCAGCTTATATGGTCTGGTATCATCAACTGGTTATTAAAAATTTTAAAACTTGAATAATAAAGTAAGTGTTGGTCCCATGGATATATCTGAAAAACTGAAAAAGAGTGGTACAAAATGTGAGACAGGTGAAGAGAGAAAGCGTGCTTCCTTCAATTTATGTTTGAGTAACATTTAAGCCATCCTAACATTCTCTGTTCATCATTTCTCTTTAATGTATTATTTTTATAATTTACTCTTTTTACTTTTCGTAAAGAGATAAATAAATAAAATTCCATCGAATCCAACTTCAAATAATTTGGCAACTTGCTAATAATACTGTTCTCTTTTTCTTTTTTTGTACAAGTGTACAGAAGTCTTCTTTTGGGTCAAAGTCAAATCTATGTACTTATTTACAGCCTTTGTGTGTGTGGTTGAGATATATATTAATAACCCTTTCAGCAAACCTGAAATTGCAGTGGTCTCGAGTGGATGTGGTTGAAAATGAAAGAAAAATGTCCAGGTTTTGGTTTAACGGGTACATATTTTCTGAATTATTGAAGGGAATCTAAATTTGAGCTTTCCACTCTAATATTACATAAAAAAAAAGCGAAGGGGAAAATAAACTAAAAACAAATTAATTCTAAGCTCAAACATATGGGTCCGTTGGTAATTATTTGTATTCAAATTTGTAAAGCAAAGCAATACAATAATATGTTGGGAAAATTAGATTCTGTCCATTTTAAAGATGGAAATAGATTGCCATCAATTTGTTTTATCTTTCTTATTTGCTTTATATACCTCAAATTTTGTAGGACCAGTCCTGGTCATATCCATTATAAATCTCAATAAATAAATGCATCAAATTATAGCGTCTAAATAATGTACTCATATAGTTTAAACTCTTAAACTTAGATGAGTACTTATTACTAAACAAACAATTTGTTGACCGAGGTAAATGGGGGAAACGTCAATCACATCCCATCTTCTACTTTTTTCTTTTTGTTTCACGTAAGAGAAGACAAAAGTAGTAATTAAGGAAAGCTTGAGATAATAACATCGAGAGAAAACATGGTCACATGATCGACTAGAGGCTGAGAAATTGAAGACGTACGTCAACGGCATCAAGTAAAGTTAAAATTAGGGTTTTCACAAGAACGTGATCATAAAACCAAAGCTCCATAGAAGACTCTTAAACATTGCTTAATGCCTCCCACTTCTTGGACAACCTTTACGTGCATGATAAGTGAATAAACTTAACCTCCTTCTAAGTTATCCTCTAATTTTCCCTTTTCAATCATTTAATTATGATATTATCAAATTACATACAAATCTTTGATGATAATATTAAGATTTTTTTGATAGCTAAAGATCCTTAAATTTTTTACTACACTAGTTTTCATATTCTGTATGAGGCCATGGATATCCCGTTTGAATATATCTGACATGTTAAGGAAATCTTTTTTATCGAAGAATAAGGCAAAGCTAACTTCACTTTAGTTTACTTTAAAGAGTTATAGAGATTCAATTCAAGTCCCAATGGTGTGTATTCAGTCTCATTAGAGGTCTCTTCATGTCTTTCCTTTGTGACGTCATCTGCAGGTTTACTTCTCTGTTTACGGAAAGCTAAAAGATCTGCTGCAGTCAAACGGCAAGTTCTCAAATGTCTTTGATATTGTTTCTGCTTTAGTTTTATATTGTTTTTATGTTGCTTTGGGGATAAGTCTTTAGTGTATTGTCTCCAAGATGTCTCCATTTTATCCTCAGACGCAAGGAATGAGACCGGATGTGGTGCCTTAAAGTACAAGTTTAGTATCTGCATTTAGTAGAATTTGTAAGGAAGAAGGGTTTGTGCAGGACGGTATCTACAATGAATCTAGAAACCACAGCTAAATCTTTAAACTTAAATAATCATACATGGTTTGTTATTTGCTCTGTGCTGAAATCAGTGACGTTGTACCTTCTTTGGTGGGAGTAAGCCATGTTGCAATCAAGTTTCCATCTTGTGAAAAGATCAAACAATACATGGCGCATACATACCTTTGGAGAAGCACAATTCTTTGAACACATCACTTTCAGATATCTCACGGGTAACAATCACAATAGCAAGCATAGCTAAGAATAAGTATTACCACACATTACAGACACATGAGAACAAATATTACTTAGAGCCAAAAAAACATGGTATCAGTAAGCATAGCCACAAACCAAAAGAAAAAAGGCCAATCCGAATTGAAAGTGATGGTATACATAAGCCTTATGGAGAATAGTATTCTGCAAACGTATCGACTATGAGAGTGAGTGCAACCCTAAGAAGGTTGCTGTTAAGAGTAACAGAATAGTATTCAGCAAAAATATATCAAATCAAGCAACTCCAATAACAAAGCAAAAAATTACATTAAACATACCCTTTAACATATCATCAATAAAAATCCTCACTTTGGAGGACAGAAAGTGATAAGATAACGAGAAGCTGTACACTTATTCAAACTACTCGAATCATCAAATGCATAACTATAAGCCTTGGGACTCGCATACTCTCCGGTAGTCCGGTGCAACATTCCTTTTCCGACTGCATCGCCAAGCAAACGCTTTTACATCCAACGACTTTACCATCTCTCATGACTTCCAAAGCAGAGGGACAACAAACATTCAAATCGACTTCACAAGCAGCCACGCCGCATCCGACTCCGCCTGCCGACGAGGTTCACATCGTAGAAACAATGAAGCGGCGAAAAAGACGAGGCTAGAGTCATTTTCACGACGGTTGCTGGTGGTACACCTCCGGTTCCTTGGCAATTGATTGCAATCTCCGGTTTGGCATGAGCCTTAGCCGTTTTGGTTGAAAGATGCAAGACGCATATTAGAGAGCACAAGTGATGCCTTCATATGAATATGCAAGAAGCATCGGATGATGAATATGCAAGAAGCATAATAGTATTTATGCAAGAAGCATGAGAGTATTTATGCAAGAAGCATAAGATGTATATGCAAGAAGCATAAAAGTGTAAATGCAAGAAGCATGAGAGTAGTTATGCAAGAAGCATAAGATGTATATGCAAGAAGCTTACGATTATATATGCAAGAAGCATAAAAGTGTATCTGCAAGAAGCATAAGATGATGTATATAATATGCAAGAAGCATATGAAAGAGCAAACGAGAGAAAGGGGCACACACAGAACCAAAAATGTGATGGTTTAGACCCCAAAATATAATATTTGATCTTCACTACTCATTGTTTAAAACCATATCATATCCGTTTCACTTTAATTCTTTTATTTATTTTGAGTAAATTATTGGGATAGAATGCAAAATTAAATGGAATTGCTTAAAAGGTGAAAATAAACAACAATTTTGTGCTATTTGTCAAACAAATGTTTCAACAAATGATGTGGTCACCGCAACTATTCTGATGGCAAATGTTACAACAGAGAGAGTGGAAGTTAATAAGGTGGTGCATCCTTTATGCAACCACATTTGGATTACATGCATGTCCCTTAAGGCATTGTTAACGAGTAGTTCTTTGTCCAAACTCAGTTTCACAGCCAACCATGAACACCTTTTCCCACCTTTATTTCTCTTTCTCTCGCACAAATTCGCAACACTGTAACAAGTGTATCTACATCCGGCATTAACGCACCATCATCAATTCATCATCTTCACCCATCGTTTCTCGGAGAAGCAAAGAAACCTTCTTCCGAGAAACCTTAACCAATAAAACTCACATTCTTCCTAGAAACCATTCGATCATTTTTCTTTTACATCTTATCCAATTAGTTTACTGTACTAAATTAGTATAATTGAACTAACAAGTAACAAGTTATTTGTTTGCACTAGTTCTAACTATTTCTTTAAATAACTATTTTTTCTTGTTAAATATTGTTGAATTAAATTTTGTCTACAGAGAGATTGAAAGTTAAAAAGAAAAAAACGGTGACACGACAATATTCTTACCAAACATTTGCCACGGTTTAGAAAGAGTATTACATTTGCCTCTGACAACAAAAATATATCAGAGGCCAGCACAACACTTCGCTCTCTTAAACAGCAATATATACGTCATCGCAAAACAAACAAATTCAAATAATGCTCTCTTCTTCTACGCTGGAATCACTGTGTCATATTATTCTTTTTCTTTTTGTTGTTTCAATACTTATTTTCTTTGTACTTTGTTCCAACGCCTAAAAATCTTGATTACAAACTTGTTCAAAAATTCTCTTTTTAGGTACTTGAGGAGATACTTAGGTTTAAGACTTTGTAGAAAATGAAGGAAGATGCTGAGAACTCTACCGTTGGTTGTCTCCCTTTTTTCATAAACCTAAAACCTAAATCATTCATTATTCTGTTTCCTGTCCAAATAATATAATAATATTGTCTAGTTCTAATGGATGACTTTCTTGCACTTTCACCGTCCAACATGCTTCACAACTTGATTCCACATTGTTTGCAAGCAGAATAATAAGAATAACCATCATCACATCTTTCTTATACCAACTTCAACATTTAATAATAATTTTTTTAATGGTTATTCCGTATCCAACATTATCTTTTCAGTAACTGAGGTTTCGAGAATGGTTACATCGTACGCATTAGCATTAGCGCAGAGTTTGATATATATATATATATATATATATTTTTTTTTTTTTTTTTTTCAAATCGAGTTTGATATATATGATCATTTAGAGAGTTGCAACGAGCCACATGTGTTCTCTTAAAGACGGAACTGAGGACAGGTTTTAACGCACTGGAGAGAATCAGATTAAAAGAGTCATGCAGATGCATTTGTTGCCTCTGTGGGTTATAGGAGGAACTGGTGGAACCAGCTGTTGATTCACAAGTACCTCTTGGGCTTAGCTGACACACACATAGCTGTTAAATTAAAACACCAGGTTTTGTGTGTGTGTGTGTTAATTTGGCCCTCGGGCATTTTCGGTTCTTAATACCAAAAGAAGAGAATTTATAAAAGAAAACCCGGTTTAGATCATCAAACGACCTGATACATTACCAATGACGTGGATCACGACGAAGATGTTAGCCGTGGCAATTAACCATGCCGGTTTCTTGAGTGACATGAGAATATTGTCTTCGACACCGTTCCCGAAAATATAATATCCGACGAGAGCCACCGGAATATAACAAAGTGTGACGACGATGTAAGTGATAGTCTAAAAATAGATCCTTTTCTCTACTGCAAATATACAGTGATGAAGTTGTAATATAAAGGATTCGAAATCCAGAGGACCAGCGTTACACTATGATCTAGGAGATTCAAAACAAAGCTAAGACAAAAATGATTGATTTGGTAACAAGTAACAAATGTAAACGTTGATGTAAATTCAATAAAACAAGCACTAGACCAAGGCAATTCGCAGGAGATTCACGGTTAACAACCAAACAACTATTCAGGGCACAGATAATGAACAGGTCTCGAACTCAAACAAAACAGTATGTCAATTCACTGTCGCGATATTAACAACTTTGCCTAACAACCTAGATGTCTAAACTGTCGTTTGAATCTAGCATTGAAAGCAAGCAATACGCACAGGTTCGATAAGTTCACAAATCGCCTTAGCATCAACTTTCGCAGGCTAAGGACGATTCGCTCACCACAGTTCGTTCTAACAACCTATTGCACTTTTGATGAACAGGTAAATCTGAGATCAGAGATCGAGTGATCAGATCGATCTAAGCAATAAGTTTAACAATGGCGAAGACAGTATGAAAGCCCTATCTCAGTCAACACATGAATCCCTTTGAAAAACCTAGATCTAGCAGGATGACTACTCAGACATGACGAAACAGATAACAAATACTGAATTGAAAGTCATTGAATCAAAATACGAAAATAGCAAACAAAGGGTTCAGAAATCTTCTCCAAACTGTGAAAACAGAGGTTCAATATCTTCTCCCTCGGAAACAGTGTAAAACTCTGAAAAACGGCGTAGCCTAAACAATGGCTGAGAATAGGTCTAAATAGCTCCGGGGTCGACTTCGGTTCAATCCGGTTCGCTACGGTCGATCCAGTCGGTTTGCACCAAGTATATCGAACGGCTGTGATATCATCTGAGTGGGATTGATCGAACGGCTGGAGTTGGACGACGTATGCATGCAGGGGATCGATCGAGTGGTACGTCGTACAATGGGATCGATCGATTCGCTTCTCGTGTATAAGCTCGATCGATCCTCCTCTCTTGCGTCAGCTCGATCGGCCCTACTCTCTTGTATGGGATCGATCGATCTCTGAGTGAGTCGATCGACTTCCTTTTCGCTCCGTTTGCCCGCTTTCGCTTGTTGTCGGTCCATGTGACCAAAGCTCTCCCTGGAACGTCTTTAGACCTGAAAAGACTCTATAAAACTAGTGAAAACAAGGGTTATAATGCGTCAAATACGCAAGATATCAAACTCCTCCTAGAATGTCTTTAGACCTGAAAAGACTCGATACAGATTAGAAAGACTCGATAAAACTCGTGGAAACAAAGGTTAGAATGCGTCAAAAATGCAAGATATCAGTAAGCAACGATGACTCGTCTCCACATCGGACCTTTTGATGATTTCTCAGGCGTTGAAGGGATTGTTACTTGGATCTCAAGTACCACGTTGTGACCAGCGTAAGCAAACGGTCACTTAAATAGACATAAGTAGCTCAATTGGCCTAGATAGATCAAAAGTAAGAAAAAAAAAGAAAAAAAAAATATTCTTCATAGATAATTTAGTGTATCCTAGAAACTAAACTGATTTGGTTGGTACTACTGGTTTCGAATGAAATGACGTTAATTGTCACTCACTTACGCTCCCAAGCCATCTCTGGAATTGAACTTCCGAGGAACTCAAGTGACTCGACTGAAAGGGCGTTCATCGGTCCAATGGAACTTACCGAGTGAAAGAGTGAAGATATTCCTCGTCCATTCTTCCCTTATACTGAACACTAACATACTGAGCGTGCTCAGTATGGCCGGGATTGTAGTTCAACCGGTCAGAGCACCGCCCAGGCGGAAGCTGCAGGTTCGAGCCCCATCATTCCCGACCTAGAATCTGATGTATCGATTAATTCATCTCTCATCAGTTACCAGGATATATGGGATGAGTCGCTATTTCGATTCTTATTTTTTGTCACAATTTGGTTCTTATTTTTAGAATTACGATTTCGAATAAAACGACATTGTTTATGATGTGTTATCCATGGAAAAACTAACATTGTTAAGACTTTGTATGAGTTAGCCAATGTTTAGTGAGTATGTGTATGGACAGCCTAAAAATCTCCATTTGATACAGTATTTGAATTGATGTATAAGATGGCTTTTTGTATTATTGGTCTATGAAAAAATCAAAAATCTGAAAACTAAGCAAATGGTTTTCTAGATAACAAATGTTGTTTTTGTGGTAAGCACATTTTTGGAAACTCGCAAGAGAGAAGTTGCTTGCAGGGCAAATGAGTCTCACTCCTACAGACGTTGCAAAGAGTGCTTTGCATGTGAGATTCAACACTCAACTTATATTTTTTCTACGATAGTAAGATTGTAATTCCAATGATGTGTAAAACACTCTCCAGAATAAATAACTAATTAGGAAATAGAGCAATCTAAGATCCGAAATTTGGTAAGGGACAAGACTTTTAATTGAACAGAGGTTATTGGTTAATTCAAGTTGAGTTCTCTTTCTCCGGTTCCCAATTTCTCTTTTCCTACGTTTTTTTAAGTATTTTGAAGACGGTGTGCCTATTTTGTGCATTGCAAAATAATTGTTGAACATAACACAGCTTTGTTTTTCTTCATAAAGTCTAACAGCTTAGCTTCAATCAAGAACACGACATTATTCTTAACCGACATTTGCCACGGTTTAGAAATAGTATAAAATTTGCCGCTAACAACAAAATTTAGCAAAGGCCAAAGAGGTATTAGACAAATTTAATATGATATTTTTGCAAGCATCTCAATATGACTAATAATTCTTTAAAGAAGATGAGATGTGTATGCTTCTAACATCAGGTAGTGTCATCATAACAAGCTTAGGGAATATATAGTAAAAAATGAAGCTTTCAGAGGAATGTATAGAGCCCTTTCACCAACCATCATAGCTCTTCTTCCTAGTTGGGCTGTGAGTTTCATCTTTCTTTATTTACCTTTCTCAAGAGTTATATAGATTCAAGTCCTACTGGTGTGTATTCAGTATCATTATAGGTCTCTTCATGTCTTTCTTTGTGACGTCATATGCAGGTTTACCTCTCTGTTTATGGAAAGCTAAAGGATCTGCTCCAGCCAAATGGTAAGTTCTCAAATACTTACCACTATGTTTCTTCTTTAGTTTTGATACTCTATTCTCTGTTAGTACTTAATAAATGGTAGCTGCTGTTGGTGCTGGAGCTTCAACTTTGGGTTGTCAAAACAAGATTAATGGTTAGTCTTTTTGTTGCTTTGTGGATAAGTCTCTAAATTTCTTTCTTAGTGTATTGTCTCTCAAACATTAGTTTGCATTTCATCTTTTTCTGTTTGTTAGTTGGTAGTTACTTGAACATTATTTTGTGAGGATATATTAAAAGATTGGACCATTATAAATCTTATATAATAACAGGTTTCAATTATTGATCAGAAAAGTCCTATTTAAAAAAGAACAACACATACAAATCTCAAACACCGATCGATCACTAAAGATTTCGATCTTTTTAGTCTTTGACAACACATTCTATGCAAGATTTGGACTTTTATTGATACACAAGATTTCAAATTCCAGATTATATACGTGCGAGGCATTAGTTGATTGTTAAAACTTTTGAAGTTTAATGTAATAATTCTCACATCCTTTAAAACAAAGAAACTCGATTGAAGTGAGCAACAATGGCGGATTCATCGGCACCATTGTTGACCCTTATATTGAAGATGAAGAAGATACTTCTCCGCCTCTGAATTTCGACAAGATCTTCGAGCAGAGCTTTACTGATTTCGGTTCTCACAGTTCTTACAGATAATCTTGTCGGGCTTTCCTTTAACCTTCGACTCGCAACAGATATTCATCACCGTCTTCACAGACGCATATCCCACGTGGCACTGTCTCGACCACACCATTTGCAATCCGGCAACCACCGACATCTGTGAGATTCCACGGTCAGCATGGGACTGGGACGGCGGGCTATCCGTCATTTCGGAGTTCGATCTCGAGTGCTCAAGCTCCTTCCTCAGAGGTCTTCCCTCATCAAGCTTTCTACGTAGGTTCTATCGTTGGAGGGGTTTCATGGCGATGATCCCAGACGGTTTCTTGGGACGGAAGCAACTTCTTTTCTTCTCCACTTTAGCTATGTCACTCTCTGGAATCTCTATCTTTCTCCTCCAACATATGGATCTACGCTTTCTTGAAGTTTGTTATCGGATTCGCTCGTTCTCAGACTGGACTTACGCTTAATCTGATATGTGAACAAGTGTCAACCAAATGGAGACCGAGAGCTACTATGATTCCCGTTCACTCTCTTTGTGTTAGGGCTCATGTCACTCTCTGGTATCGCCTACCTTGTTCGACACGCTTCCTGGAGTTCTCTATCTCTGCACATCCGTTCCAGCTATCCACATCCACAGTATTCTCCTCTATTTCTTCGCCTTGGAGTCTCCTCGTTGGCTTCATCTGCAAGGAAGAACGAAGAAGCCATTCAAGTGCTCAAAAAGATCTCACCTGCGAAAAGAGTTACTTGGAATCAGTATCTTATAAGCTATCTCGAGAAGAACAAGCTCCAAACAAGAAGCTCGATCAAGGACTTGTTAGCCGAAGATGGGCTTTCGAAGAATCGTAGTTGTTATGATCATAATGTTTGGGTTGGGAATGATGTATTACGGAGTTCCATTAGCGGTTAGAGACATAAAAGTGAACATCTATTTGAGCGAAGCCCTAAACGCATTGGTGGAGTTACCTACGTTTGTTATCACACCGATCTTGCTGAGAAAGTTCAACAGAAGAAGCTCTGTGCTTGTGAATTGCTTACTCGGAGGAGCATTAGGAGTGCTCTGTTTCGTCCTGACCCATTTTCGGGAGAACAAACGTTGGCTTTTGCCCTAGAACTCGGTTCTTTCTTCTGCGCCAGGATCGGGTTTAACTTAATGTCGGTTTATCTGTTGAGATGTTCCCAACATGCGTGAGGAACTTCGCGACAACGATGCTTAGACAAGCGCTTGTGCTTGGAGGAGCTTGTTGTCCATCATTGCTTCAGTTGGAAGAAATGTTCCGTCGCTCTCTTTCGCGGTTTTCGGGTCTGCTTTGGCCGGTCTCGGTTTATTTGTTTTGCTCCTTCCTGAGACCAAAGGGTCAAGTCTTTGTGATACACTCGAAGCACAAGAGCATAGAGACCAAGCCTTGACAAATAACCCTAGTTTGTAGAAATTGTATTCTCTGGTCAAATACTTAACTAAAAGACATCCAAATTTCATACCAAGAGGCAGGTTTTACGCAAACCTTATTAACAAGAACATTGTAGTTATCGATCCTTATACGCTGGAGGTGACTCCCCTGATGCATTTGGTTTTGTTTCTTTGTTTTATGATCTCTGATTCCTTGTATTCTAGTTTTTAGTATAACTATCCTCGACGACCCTGTCAGCACCAGACAGCCATGTTATTACTAACTTCAAAACAGAAGTCTTCTCTATGGCTAGTCTCATAAACTTTCCAAAGCTGTGTCTGGTTGTGTACATGGGTTTGACCAAAGTTATTCAATCTTTTCAAATGGGTTTTGAAACAAGTATGTTTTCTTCCCAAAATCATATGAAACCTCCAACTTTTTATACTTTGATATGTAGCAGATGCTTAGATTTAATTATTTGGACATTAGAATGTTTCATTATTAAGTGTATAACGGACTCAGTAGAGGTATGGTTTTGTTTTAAAAAAAAGTGCTTCTTACCTTAAAGACTAATTGCAGAAACTTTGTCGTTCTCTGTTTGTTGGTGATACCCAAAGACTTGTTGAGTTTAGTGTTTGGGAACTGAAAAAGTCGTTGTAAGAATTTTTTGCGTTATTTGGGATGTGCCTTTGTTGTTAGTGCTACAAAGTACAAACTCAGTCCAATTGACTTGGTCAATGGAAAAAAAGTGAATCAAAGAATTATGTTTGTATACAAATCCTTCTGATATGGTATGATTAGGACATTCTGAATATGATTATACTATTAAGCTGAAAACTGTGTAGAAGCAAAGTTGGTATATGTCGAAATCATAGATTGTCATTGCTAATGTTTATACATTGATAAAAATTTGTGTCATTCTCTTGATGTGCGAGCCATAGTGAAGCAGAGGCTGAAGTGTTTTTCGGTTTCCTCTACAAAGGCTTGTGACAGCTATGGTTGCTGAATATTATTATAAACAAAAGATGACTGCTTTGTGATCGTAAATATCTCAGGTTTGTGTTTTAGTTAATTGTCCAGATCCAGACCCATCATGGGACAAATAATCCAGCCACCACATGATGTCTATAGAAAATTCATAAAGACTAAAGATGTTTTTTTTGTTTTTGTGGTGACTAATTGACTTAGATCAAGAGTCTAGACGGCAAGAGTCTGCCATTTGGAGTTGTCTCTATGTGGTTGTGAGCCAATGTATTATCCCTTCAGTTGCATTAACAGACAAGGTAAATGCATCTTGGATGCCTTCCTTTATATTTACTTTCTTGCAAAACATGAGAAGCACCAAAACATTACAAACCAAGAAAGAAAAAAAATTTTTGAAAAATGAGAAGCATGAGACTGTTTCTTTTACTTGCTTTCGGTGCTCTCATGTTACTTGAAGGATATGGGTTTACGGAGAAACTGATAAGCAAGGGTTGCTCGAATTCAAGTCTCGAGTTTCTGAAAACGGAAGAGTTGTCCTTTCCTCATGGAATCACTCAAACCCTTTATGCAACTGGGATGGGTTACATGTGGCCGCAAACACAAGAGAGTTACTCGTTTGGACCTCGGAGATTGCAACTGGGCGGGGTGATATCACCATTATTGGTAATCTTTCGTTTCTCGTATCACTTGGTCTCTCTAATAACTCTTTTGGTGGTACCATCCCTCAAGAGCTGGGAAACTTGTTTAGACTGAAAGATTTGAATATGTTCTCAAATTTTCTCGGTGGAACGATTCCAGCCCGTCTGTCTAACTGCTCTAGATTGTTGAGGCTTAGTGTAGATTCAAATGATCTTGGAGGAAGGTATTCCTTCAGAACTAGGGTCATTGACAAAGCTTGTCATTTATATCTTGGTAGAAACAACCTGAAAGGGAAGCTCCCTGCATCTCTTGGAAACTTGACATCACTCACAAACTTGTTTGGAGATAACAATATTAGAAGGAGGAATTCCGGATATATAGCTAGACTGACTCAAATGGTGATCTTGAAGCATCAAAACAATTCTCAGGTGTATTTCCGCCGCAATCTACAATTTGTCCTCACTCGAGTTTTATACATGATGATAATGGTTTCTCAGGTAGTCTGAGGGCTGATTTTGGTAGTTTGCTACCAAATCTTAAAATTATCTTTGAGAGATAATAATCTCACTGGTCCCATCCCAGCAACACTTCCCAATATATCAACTCTTCAATATTGATTCCAGTAACAATCTAATTGGAAGTATTCCTCTGCTTGGAAAAGCACGGAAATTGCAATACCTATCTTGCTGGTAATTCTTTGGGAAGTACTCTTTGGCGATCTTGAATTTCTTGGTGCTTTATCAAACTGCACCCATCTACAAATTAATGTTGGTGAAAATAGGCTTGGAGGTGACTTGCCTATATCTATTGCCAATCTGTCCAGAAACCTCATCTTTAGACTTTCAAAAATTTCATCTCTGGAAGCATTCCTCATGAGATTGGGAATCTCATAAGCCTACAAGACTTGGTTTAGGAAATAGGTTAACAGGAACACTCCCAACCTCTCTTGGGAAGCTTTCAGAATTTAGGGGGAATAAGTGTCGTTCAAACAGAATGTCTGGAGAGATACCATCTGCTATAGGAAACATCACTCGGTTAGGATACTGTATTTGTCCAACAATATTTTTGAAGGAACCGTTCCTCGAGTCTCAGCAATTGTAGCAATTTGTTAATTACATGTTGGTTCTAATAAGTTGAAAGGGGCTATACCGGTGGAGATTATGCAAATGTCATCCTTATTTCCCTAAATATGTCAGGTAATTCCTTTACCGGCTCTCTACCAAAAGATGTTGGAAAATCTCTTGTTAACCTATCTGTTGCGCATAATAAATTGTCGGGACAACTCCCACAAACATTGGGAAAATGTCTCTCGATGGAATACTTTATCTGCAAGGAAACTTGTTTGATGGACCCATTCCAGATTTAAGTGGGTTGGTGGATCTTCAAAGAAGTTGATTTGTCGAGCAATAGTCTCTTTGGAAGTATTCCGGGATATCTTGCAAATTTGTCTAAGTTGCAATATCTCAATCTGTCTGTTAACAATCTTGAGGGAGAGGTGCCAACAGAAGGAAAGTTTCAGAATGCCTCTATAGTTTCAGTATTTGGGAACACAAATTATGTGGAGGCATCAAGAAACTGCAACTAAAGCCATGCCTCACGACATCAACCAACCAGGTACAAAGCATTCCTCTCTTTTCAAAAAGGTGGTGATTGGAGTAAGCATAGGCATTGCCTTGATTCTGCTGTTTGTCTTAGCTTTCGTTTCTCTACGTTGGCTGAGAAACAGAAAAAGAACCAGCAGGCCAATGATCAAGCTCCTTCTACTTTGGAGGTCTTACATGAGAGGATAAGTTATGGAGATCTTCGAAATGCAACAGATGGCTTCTCTTCGAGCAATTTGATTGGAACAGGCAGTTTTGGTACTGTGTTTAAAGCATTATTACCAGCGGAGAATAAGGTGGTTGCAGTGAAAGTTCTAAACATGCAGAGACGTGGAGCCATGAGGAGCTTTATGGCAGAATGTGAATCCTTGAAGGACATAAGGCATCGTAATCTTGTGAAGCTATTGACGGCTTGCTCGAGTACTGATTTCCAAGGAAATGAATTTCAGAGCTCTCATCTACGAGTTCATGCCTAATGGAAGCTTGGATGTTTGGCTTCACCCGGAGGAAGTTGAAGAGATTCATAGGCCCTCAAGAACTTTAACTCTTTTTGAAAGACTCAACATTGCAATAGATGTGGCTTCTGTCCTGGACTATCTGCATGTTCATTGTCATGATCCTATAGCTCATTGCGATCTTAAGCCAAGCAACGTCCTCTTAGACGATGACCTAACTGCCCATGTTAGCGACTTTGGTCTGGCTCGGCTTCTCCTCAAATTCGACAAAGAGTCTTCCTCAACCAACTAAGCTCAGGTGGCGTCAGAGGAACCATTGGCTATGCTGCACCAGGTAAAACTATCACACATATGCAATGTTCTATGAAGAAAACTAGTAGATTCTTTCTTTTATTACAATCTTGTTTTGTGAATGTGGTGCAGAATATGGAATGGGAGGGCAACCATCAATACATGGCGATGTGTATAGCTTTGGGGTTCTCCTTTTGGAAATGTTCACTGGAAAAGACCAACCAATGAGTTATTTGGAGGAGATCTTACACTAAACAGCTACACCAAGTCGGCATTGCCAGAGCGAGTGTTGGACATTGCAGACAACTCGATTCTTCACACCGGTCTCAGAGTCGGTTTCCCTATTGCTGAGTGCTTGACACTGATTTTGGAGATGGGACTTAGGTGTTGTGAAGAATCTCCGACGAACCGGTTGGCAACAAGTGAAGCCACAAAAGAGTTAATCTCAATCAGAGAGAGGTTCTTTAAAGCCAGAAGAACATACCGACGTTGAAGCGTTTATGGTGTTCTCAACAAACTTGCAAGCCACTTAAAAGCTGAATCTGAGGCCTATATATAATGTCATATCGTTTTTATAATATGTTGTTTGTCTCTGTTAAAACGTACTTATAAGGTTTGCAGAATGCTTTGTTATATGCAGACAAGAGAATAATGTTGTGTTACTATATTATGTATTTCGGTTGTAACTTGTGTTTGTGTTTTCTTTTTCTCTGAGTAGTTAAGAAAAGTTTTATTTTCCTGAGTTGTCTCTCATTATAAGTCACACTAGATGATCTTCTTTTTTTTTTTTTTTTTCGTAGAGTGTGCAAGTAATTAAGGAAATTACATCACATCTATTAGAGATTGTTGATCAAATTGGAAGGGTTTATGATCTAAAGTAAAACAGAACAAACTTTGGAGAAGCGTACAATTCTTTGAACACATCACTTTCAGATATCTCACGGGTAACAATCCCAAAAGCAATCATAGCTAACAACAAGTATTACCACAACACCACAAACACATGAGAACAAAAATTACTTGAGCCAAAAAAACATGGGATCAATAAGCATAGCCACAAACCAAAAGAAAAAAGACCAATCCGAACTAAAAAGGGATGCTATTATATGTACATAAAGTCTTATGAACACTCTTCTCTTTAGAAATTTTGTTCTTCCTTGTGATATCTATCACGAGCTAAAGATTGCATCTTAACAACACAATCATTTTCATTAATGATTTGGATCTGAAATTATTCATTCAATAGCCTGAAACCAGAGCTTACATTATATCAAATCAAGCAACTCCAACAACAAAGCAAAAAATTACATTACAAACATAACATATCATCAATAAAAATCCTCATTTTGGAGGACAGAAAGTGATAACATAACGAGAAGCTCTACACTTATTAAAACTAGTCGAATCATCAAATGCATAACTATAAGCCTTAGGATTCGCAATTGATTGAACCGGTATTGCAATCTCCGGTTTGGCATGAGCCTTTGCCGTTTTGGTTGAAAGATGCAAAACGAATATTAAAGAGCACAAGTGATGCCTTAATATGAATATGCAAGAAGCATCGGATGATTAATATGCAAGAAGCATTAGATAAGAGTATAAATGCAAGAAGCATATATGTGAGTATATATGCAAGAAGCATACAGTGATGAATATGCAAGAAGCATAAGAGTGTTTATGCAAGAAGCATATACGGTGATTGTAATATGCAAGAAGCATATATGTGTGTATAGATGCAAGAAGCATAAAAGTATAAGATGAATATGCAAGAAGCATAAGATGAATATGCAAGAAGCATAAGATGAATATGCAAGAAGCATCATCAGATGTATATATGTTTAGACCTGCCAAGCAAGCGCACCTGTCATGGCAAAGGTCAAGACACACATGACACATCCCTTCTCTGTTTTTTTTTTTTCTCTCCGTCTCTATCAGTTTGAAAGCCCAAACAAATATTTGTATATATAGAGATAGATAACGCAATAAGATAAATACCATCACGACCAAGATCTTCCCTTGGCAATCATGATCAACGAGAATGACGGCGTCTATCCTCGTTCGGCGCTGCTTTAATCCCTAGAGGAATAGGAATCCGATTCTAGCAAATCCAATTTTACAAAGACATGTAAGCACAAGACACGGAAGGTTCTGAAACAGAATCAACGAAATTGATTAAAAAAAAACCCTAGGACGTACCTCGATGATCAGATTGCAAATCGGCGCTTAACAGAGTAATCATCGTCGGCCGAATCGAATCGAATCGAGTCAAGACAAACCCTAACAGAGTAATCATCTTCCAAACAGGGAGATTATCAAACAATAGAATTTAGAATCTCAGCGAAAGTGATCGGAATTTAAAGCTACAGAGGATGCAGAAATCGATCGCCGGGAGATTGGAGTAAACCGGTAAAGAGACGCGGGAGAGAAAGTCGACCATCTTTTATATATGTACGGGACCGGAGCAAAACCCAGAATCCGAGTCGGTTTGGGATTTTAGATCCTACGGCTGTCAATTGTTATAGTATAAAGCAATCAACGGTTTGGATTAAACACGATAAGTAAAGTCGGTTTTGGATTTCAGATCCTACGGCTGTCAATTGTTATGATATAAAGCAATTAACGGTTCCAACTAAACATAACGAGCAAAGTCGGTTAATTTGTTCGCGCATTCACATTCTCTTAACAAAACATTCTAGAAAGATTCCTTTCCCCCAAAATATTAAAAATATTTGAATTGATGTATAAGATCTATGAAAAAATCAAAAATCTGAAAACTAATCAAATGAATTTTCTAGGTATCAAATGTTGTTTTGGTAAAAAGCGCATTTTTAAAAATGTCTAAGCACAAAATACAAGAAAAATGAAAGTAAATACTTGGAACCTAAACGAGATAAGAAGACGAGATTGATGAAACATTTGATTTAATATTATTCATATCTCTGAAAATCTCCAAGATTATCTTATTATTACTTTTCTTATAAATTATGATAGTTCGCTTTGACCTGCTTTTTGATGTGGAAACTGTAAAATGTAAAAGTGTCTATTTTGTGCATTGCAAAATATGTTTTTTAAATTGGACCAAAGTATAAACCGGTAAGATTTCTAGATCATGAGTCAATCCGATTTAACCGCATCATACTATTATTTGCGAAGTCAGAATTTCGAATGGAGGCACCACATTAACTCTCAGCCGCGGAATTACCGAGATGCCCTTAATAAAAATCTATTATTAAATCTTCTGAATTTCTTTTTTTAATTATTTCACGATTTCGTTTTTGTTTATATAAAAGTTTATTATTTCCTTATTAAATATCGATAATTATCCTCTTCTTATTTATTTTGATTTTTTTTTATAAAAAATAAACTCGAAAAATCAATAATATTTTTTATTTCCAAAATTTCCACTTTCCATATTTATCTTTCAAAACCAGCCTGTCAAATTATATTGTCGGCTAAGAATACAACCCTAATGATATACCTATATAAAGATGATTTGTTATTGTTTCTAAGGTCTGGCGTTTCATCGTTTCCATACAGTCCGCCATATTCAATTGCTTTTTTTCTTGACGGCATTCAATTGCCTTTCTATCAATATGTTTTCAATGACTCTCATGTTGTGTGCTCTGAACACCTCCTCGTGAACTCTTCTTTGTTAAGAGAATTAGCATGCAACTCCTCCAAGGGATTCAAGGTTTGTCTCCCTGCTTATCATATTGATTATCTTATTCTTAAATAAAAGTTTGCTTATGAGATGCAAAAGATTATTATCAGGAAGTTGATCTTGGATACTCATGAATCCATGGCGAGAACTCTTACTGACATGGGATATGATTCCACTATCGTGGTATGCATTGTTTTAGTTGATTAAATGTAAAATTGAGGTATTAAGATACTTTTCAGTATTTAATATTTCTCATGTAATCTCGAACGTATGGATTATGGTTCCAAAGGGTTGGTAGTGGCTATACCTGAAGCCAAGGAACCCTAATCTAGCTCCAAGCATGAAGTTTTGGTAGTGGTATGTATAAGACATTTAATTATTTGTATTGTCAGCTGTCTCATTAACTTAGTTTGTTCACAAGACTGCATACAGTTTTTGGACATACGTTGGAGCATCCCCTCATATCCACACATAATTGCGACTTAACTTTTCTCTATGATGGGCAGGAGGGATGTGTGTATGCCTTTGAGTTTCCGGTGAGGCCATTGGAATTTTAATTTTTGGTTAATCTACACTAATGGATATTTCGTGTATTTTGGAGATTTGTTTTGGACCTGATCTGTTTTAGTTCTTAATCATGTTCCTTGCTTAGTGTGGGTCATGGAATTTGTTAACTGAGTACGTTATGGCTCTGATTCTTGGTAGCGGATGAAAGATGGTGATCAGCGATAAAGCTCACAACTCTGTATCATGTCAAAAACCATTTTCAGGTTCTTAATAATGTTTGCCTCTTTCGTTCAGTTATTGATGCTCAATTTTTATATATACTACAATGGTAATAGTTGTGGTATAGGTATTAGCAGCAGAGGCTCTGTGGCAAAGTACCGAAACAGCACTACAACCAGCTCGAGGTATGTCTTTTCTATATCCTAAATGTGTTTCCTATAGCTTTGGTTTATATGTATGTGTTTAAGATTTTTGGATTCATGAAGCTGCAAATAGTGGAAACAGTGAAAGTGATTCTAAAGTGAGTTTCGAGAAAAACTGAAACTGCGGACAGAAAAACAAGGCAAATACCTGCAAATGATGTTGGAGAAGAAAAACTCAGCCGATGGCCTCAACAATATAATTCGCAGCCAAATCTGAACAAGGAAACAAGAGAGCTGCTAATTTAAAGGAGCTCGAAACAAAACAAAAAAACAGTAAATGCCAAGACCCATAATCTCCATAGCCAAAGCTCTCCAAACCCAATAGCTGAAAGAATAACATAACATGTATCACTCCTTAGATATAAACGGAACTTGGATTAGAGTCGGTGTCTCTAAGAATGATCGTTGTTTCATTTTGGAATCAAAGTCACTCCAGTAAATTAGATCGTAGTATAGTAGATGCCAAAGCCCAAAGGTACCATGTCTCTCGGTGGCGTAGATTATATGAGATAGGAGACGAACCTTCCCGTTGAATTAAGGTTTTGTTTGTTTCTGCTTTAGATCAGGTAGCTCTGTTTTTAGGCTGTACCAATGCTATTAAATATGTTGTTTTTACACTTGCTGCAGCCTTTTCTTCTTCTTTACTTGCCCGGTAAGATTTCTTGCCTATATCAAGGATAAGGCTTAAATAAGCCACTGTAACAGTCTAGACAAGAATTCAGCTCTAACTTTAAGTTACAAATAATTTAGTGTCGTCAAGTCCCTCTGAAGTTAGAAAGAGCAAAACAACTCCCTACCACCATAGCCAATGTTGTCAACAGACTGGATCTAACATAACTCTTTTACCATACTTTGAAACGGATAAATATTTCTTCAACATCAACCCTAATAGTTAAGTAGTGATGGTCAATATTAAAATTTGAGAAGAGTGCACTCACACATCCCCTCATATCATCAATGCCTGGTCAAAGACTTAAACAATAGTCGAGCCAAAACCAACAGTCATTGTAATTTACAAAAATCAAAACTAATATCAAATCATCTTACTAATCTATAAAATTCAATATATATGTAAATTATATAGACATATAATGTGAGAAGAACACGAAAAAGAGGTTAGAGAAAAATATAAAGAAAAGAAAGATGTTAAGGAGAAGCAAAAGAAATCTATGTTAGGTGCCAAAATGTATTATTATAGATAGTTGATATAAAAGAGCAAAAGTGGTTTAACAAATCGTTAATGTTAAATAACATTGCCAATTTTTTATGGTTATGGTGGTTTGAGTGTTCGATCATGTGGTTATTGTGTATTGTTTGGGTTAGGGTTTATATTATAGGGTGTGGTGGGTGTGGGGGTGTTACACTGTGGGATTTGGGTTTCAGGTTTAGGGTTTATATAGGATGATGTAGGGTTTAGTTTTTGGTGCATTCTTAAAATTTTGAATTATTATATACTACATTTCTAAATTACATTTACAAATAGAAAAAACTAAAATAATTAAAACAAATTCAGAATCAAAAAATAACAAAACCAATAGATTTTTAAAAGATCTCGACTATCTAATGATAAAAACTATTTTACAAATCTTTGAAAATCTAAACTATCGAATGAAGTGATAGGTGAAATACAAGACGTATAAAAGAACGAATAATAACACTGAGTAAAAGAAAAGAAGACGGTGAAAAAAAGATGGAAATTTGGAGAAGAAGAAGAAAACTCGAACATGAGGAAATAAAAATCAAAGAAGAAAAGATGGAATGTGAAGAGAAAAAAAAAGACAAAGAAGAGATCAATAAAAACTAGAATAATATGATGTGGAAGAAGATACGATGATAAAATAGAAAGAGGGGAATGAGGAAGAAGAAAAACCGGAAAAAGAATGTAAAGAAAATTAGAAAATAACAATAAAAATAGTGAGTTAGAGAATATAAAGACATCACAAGAAAATATTGAAAAACAACAATTGGAAAAATAAGAAGAAGAAAAACATAATGAGAACGAATACAAAATTGAAGGAAAATAAGAAAATTGAATAATTGGAGAAGAATAATAGGGAGAAGAAAACAAGAAGTGAAAAATCTTTTGTATCTCTATAAGCAAATGAAGAAGATTATGCAGAAGAATGAGAGAAAAAAAAGACAAAAGTAAAACACATTAAGATTAGAAAAATAAAAGTCGGCGAAAACAGAAACGATGAATACAATCATAAATTCTACTACTTATATTATTAAAATCTTTGTACTCGCACAAAGTGCGGGACCACAAGGTGCACAAGGCTCCATTTTTTGTGGGGGTAGGGTTATTGTAGGGTTTATATTGGTGGGTGTAGGGTTTAATTTTTTGTGCACTTTTTAAATCTTAGTTCTTGAAAATTCTAATGAAAAACGAAATAGGAAAACAACTAAATTGTTTAATCTTTTGTTCAAATCATATCGATTAAATAATAACATTTCAAATTCTTAAAATTCATATGAAATTTTGTGCAACAACAACAATTACACCAAATTAAGCAAAAATATTTAATTCAAATAAAAAACATTTGTCTATTATGTGGTTATGGTGTATTGTACTGATGGGGGAGAGGTGAGGTGTTTATTGTAGGGTTAGGGTTTAGAATGTAGGGTTTATATTGGTGGGAGTAGGGTTTAGTTTTTTGTGCGTTTTTTAAATCTTAGTTCTTGAAAATTCTAATGAAAAGAGAAATAGCAAAACAACTAAATTTTTAATCTTTTGTTCAAATCATATCAATTAAATAAAAACCTTGCATATTAAATTATAAATTTTAAAATTATGATATTTTATCCAATAATATAAATAAAACATATCAAATACGATAAATAAAATTGAGAATAATATAACAAAAAATAAAGGAAAATAATCATTAAAAAAAATCCTCATTAGACCATCTTCTTCATCAAGCAAACTTAGTGCTAGATATATTTATCTGAAAGTAAATTAAGTCAATTAATATAATGAAGTTTTATAAACATTTGGTATGATTTGAATATTTAAATTATTTTAATAACCATTGATAGTTTTTTGTTATTTCAGTTTTTTAGAAAAATTATTGTAACGTTTAAATTATGAAAAATATTAGTTTTTGCTTATAGATATTTTTATTTTCAAAAACAACTCATGCCCGCGCAAGGCGCGGACCAACTACCTCGTTCACAATATATACATAATATTTTTATTAGTATACATATATGTCATTATTTCCGTAAATATATATTGTGTTTAATGTTATTTGCTACTTTTAAAATTTTGTTATTTAAAATTACTATATTTATTGTAAACATAAATCAAAGAAAATAAAATTGTTATAGGAAATCTACTTTCTTTTCACAAAAATTGCCGCCGCCCATCTCCTCCGTCTCAAGTTCTAAATTTCTGTAAAATCATTCTTCCATTTCTTTTTTTTTCATCTACAATTTTTAGTTTATCTTACATACCAAAATAGATCAAGGATAATACAACTGCAAAAAGCACAACAAAATTGTAAAAAGACCTCACAATTTCAAAAACCGGATTTGTGTAGTTCATTTGTTCATTGGATCAAGCCGATTCACCGGTTTTAGCCGGTTTTAATACGGTTTTTTTTTTTTCAATACCAAATTTTAGCAATAAACCAAACCGGTTAAGTTTTCGGGTCACTGTTGAACCGGTCCGACCGTAGCTTTGTTTCTAGCTTCATTCAAAAATCAAAATTATACAATGGTGACACGACATTATTCTTAACCGACATTTGCCACGGTTTAGAAAGAGAATAAAATTTGCCGCTAACAACAAAATTTATTTGAGGCCAACACAACACTACACTCTATTCAACGGCAAGACGTCATCACAAAAGAAAACAAATAATGCTCTCTTCTTCTACGCCGGAATCGCTGTATCATATTATTCTTTTTCTTTTTGTTGTTTCAATCGACTCCTTTTCTTTGTTCCAACGCCTAAATATCTTCCCCAACTTGTTCAAAAATTCTCTTTTCCGATTGATCATTTCTTGATTCGTAGATTTAAAGCTTCGTAGAAGATGAAGCAAGAAGCTGAGAACTCTACCATTGATTCCGGAAGCATTAGAGATGCCATCTGCAACGCTGGCGCCGGAGCCGCCGCTGGTTATTTCCGATTACATCTCATCCGTCTTCTTAATTTTCAAAGAAAGAAAAGAAAAATAAATATCGGTTGTTGGTTGATGTTGAGTTTTCAGGTGCAATAGCTGCGACTTTTGTTTGTCCATTGGATGTAATCAAGACAAGGTTACAAGTTCTTGGCCTTCCAAAAACTCCAAAGTCAGGTCAAAGAGGTATTAAGACAAATTTTATATGATGCTTTGCAAGTATCTCAAATTTGAGTTATCTTTAAAGAACTTGAGATGTGTATGCTTCTAATATCAGGTAGTGTGATCATAACAAGCTTAGGGAATATAGTAAAAAATGAAGGTTTCAGAGGAATGTACAGAGGCCTTTCACCAACCATCATAGCTCTTCTTCCTAATTGGGCTGTGAGTTTCATCTTTCTTTATTTAGTTATTTACCTTTCTCAAGAGTTATAGATATTCAAGACCCAATGGTGTATTCAGTGTCACTATAGGTCTCTTCATGCATGTCTTTTCTTTGTTAATTTGACTTCATTCGTAGGTTTACTTTTCTGTTTATGGAAAGCTAAAGGATCTGCTCCAGCAAAATGGTAAGTTCTCAAGTACTTACCAGTTACCACTCTGTTTCTACTTTAGTTTTGATATTGTATCTCTGTTAATAGATGGAAAGCTAAGTTTTGGAGGGAACATGGTAGCTGCTGTTGGTGCTGGAGCTTCAACAGCTATTGCAACTAATCCACTTTGGGTTGTCAAAACAAGATTAATGGTTAGTTTTTTTGTTGCTTTGTGGACAAGTCTCTAAAATTCTTTCTTATTAGTGTATTGTGTCTCTCATTTCCATTTTTATCTCCTCAGACTCAAGGAATGAGACCGGGTGTGGTACCTTATAGAAGTTTACTATCTGCATTTAGCAGAATTTTTCAGGAAGAAGGACTCCGAGGTTTGTACAGGTCAGTGACTCCAATGAATCTTGAAAATTCAAGAAACTCTTTAAAGTTTTAAAATTTATAATCATATATGGTTTGTTATTTGCTCTGTGATGGAATCAGTGGCGTTGTACCTTCTTTGGTAGGAGTAAGTCATGTTGCAATCCAGTTTCCAGCTTATGAAAAGATCAAACAATACATGGCTAACGCAGGTAAATAATAGGTCTAATTTTTTGTTTCATGATCTCACTAGTTTTCTTGATCATAATTAGTTTGGAGTTTCTCAGGTAACACAAGTGTGGACAAGTTAAGCCCTGGTAATGTCGCGTTCGCCTCTTCCATATCTAAAGTAATTGCTTCTGTAATGACTTACCCACACGAGGTCACAAATTTCCTTTCATTTCCTCTGTTTCCTCTGTTTTCTCTGTTTCACTTCTTGGTCATCAGTTACAAAATGTTCTTTGTTTAACATTTTCAGGTTGTTAGGTCCAAGCTTCAAGAACAAGGGCAAGTAAGAAACGTAGAAGCTCGGTATTCAGGAGTCATGGACTGCACGAAGAAGGTGTTTCGAAACGAAGGGCTTCCCGGGTTTTACCGAGGTTGTGCCACAAACCTACTCAGGACAACACCTTCTGCTGTCATTACATTTACAAGCTATGAGATGGTTCATAGGTTTCTTGTACAAGTACTGTCTCCAGAGAAGGAAACATCATGAAAGCCAAAGTCAAAAGAAACATAAAGAGTTTAGGTAACCATGAAGAAGAACACATAGACTTGGATTTGAGAGAATCACAAGATCCAATATAATAAAACCAATACCATTAGGAAGCAAATAAGTTACAAATGTCTTTACCTTTTTTTATTTCTTCTTATCTATGATAGTGATGATAAAATGTTTGAAAATGCAAACTTTTGTTTCGTCTTTATTAGCAATTCAAGAATAAGATTTGTTGCCAAGATACGAAATTTTATAAAAGGATATATATTTTTTGTTCATATAGGAAACAAATAGTTTCCAAAGGTCACATGAGAAAAGCAAGAAAATGATTACATTACTCAGGAATGGTACCAAGCTTAGGCCTCCAAGCTCGCTGGAGAAGCCTTTTGCTGAATCCAAACCAAACCGGTGATGCATCAGACTCCGATTGAGAGTTCGAAGCAGCTGCATTCAATTTAGCTGCCATGGCTGCAAGAACTTCTTCTTTTGTTTTCCCTTTCTTTCTCTCCTTCTCTTCTTCTTCTTCCTCTACAGAAGTCGAAGTGACGAATAAGTCTCTCAGTTTGCGTCCAGCTACGTCCTTCTCAGCCGTCAACGAGCGGCTCTGATGAATCACCGGCTGCTCTCGGCGGCTCGGCGATCGAAGACTCAGAAGCATCTTTAATGTTGTCTTCTTGCGACGAAACTGTACCAATGGACTTGTTCTTGGGCTCGGACTTCTTGTAGGACTCTCTGCAACTCCACACTGCGTCGCTAGGAACTTGAATCTCTGCAACGTCGCCATGAATTTTGGGGATTTGAGAAAAACTTGAGGGTTGATAAATAATAAATGGTGGTGTCTTGTTATTATAGTGAAGATGAAGAATCAAAAATCTTGCAACACAAAAAACTTTGTTTCTTTTTTTAGTCTTTTGAAGCAATGTCTCTCTTCTCAAAAGTGCGTGCTTTGAATTGGAATTTTGTGGACCTTGACGACGCAGTTTCCAATGAAAATTCCCAAATATTGTCATCATTATTGATTTGAGTCTTTACCGAAATTTTGAAAAAGAAGAAGTTTTTTTATTAATTTGTTTCTTTATTTTAATTTTTGTTTCTTTCTTTCTCATGATGTTTGCACTTTTACTTTCTTGAATGTGCATAGAAGGAATCGTTTGGTGTTGGTTTTAGTCCTTTTTTGTAAGAAAAGAAAAAGAAATGTAATGTGTGAGCTGATAAGAGCCATGTGTTTTTTTCTTTTGGGTCATAGATTCATCGTCACAGCTTTTAAAAATTCTTGTCTTGTAACTGTGTTTAGAATGAGACAATGACCTTTTTGTGATTTTGGTGACTTGTAGTTATTTTCATATACGCCATTGATTTTTGTAGAAGATCCATACGAACAAGACAACTAAGAATTAATACTATATAACTATAAGTCTTAGTAGATTGTATATATGTATCTATGCGGATATAGTAGGTTTGATTATAAATACATTTTCGGTTCTTTAGCCTAAACTCCAAAAATAAATTCTGTGAATGAGTAATTTATAAGTCTTATCGACCGATCTTGATTAGAAGCTAATAATCTATGTTGGAATGTCACTAAGCACATTCTTTCACTACATGACGTAAAAAGAAAGAAAATAAACTATGAAATAAAAACAATTTTGATAAAATATCGCCGACTGTGGGGATCGAACCCACGGCCACGGGATTAAAAGTCACGCGCTCTACCACTGAGCTAAGTCGGCTTTTCTTTCATTTAATCAAATACTTTCTTTAAATTTGCCTCTTATCTTGATTAGCTACAAAGACAAATGAAAATTCGGTCATAAATAAAAACAAAATTGGGCTCAATGATACAACAATTTGGATCATTATTATTGACAATTGAAGCCTCCTTTCAAACTCGATTGGCCCAACCATTGGGACATTTTCCGGCTGTCAAATGACTCAAATCGGTGGACCGCCTCCATTTTAATCAGAAACAGTCGTTAATCATTAATCTTTTCCTGTCCAAATCATATAATCATATCTTATTCTAATTAATGACTTTTCTTGCACTTTCAGTCTTTCACTATCCAACATGCTTCTCAACTTGATTCCACATTATTTCCATGCACAACAACCAGAATCACCAACTTGCACACACACACACACACTCACCCAAAAATGCAACAAGAGATAAGCTTTAATCAGCTGTTGATAATTCTAACAAGTTGCACTAAAATCTAACTCTAACCGAAACAAAACTCCAAAATTTGCCAAAGTAAAACTAATTAGACTTCGCTTTGAATTCTCTATGTAGTATAACACACAAGTTTAAAAGTCAAGATGAAAACGTAACCATATTGATAAGCCCCTCCTAAATTTAACTAGCAAGACTTTGATCTGACGATGCCTTCTCACAGAAGAAATCGTGGCGTGCGTCTAACCATAAAACCTTTTATTGTGATTTGGACCAAATCTACCTCCAGATCATTCTGGTAGGAATCAATCAGATAACTTATGGCTATAAACGGTACTTTGTCTTCCTACACATTTCAGGAGTGACACGTGGCATGCAATCTGTGGTTTACATGTTGTCGTTGTCCCTACACAATACGAAACTGACTCAGACCGGGTCCACAAGAGCTTCTAGCACCCTTCCCTTTTTTTCTCTGTTTTTAAATAATTCTATAAATTTCTGAGCTATTTTCCCAAAAATTTTTTTTAACATATTTCCGAAAACTTGCTATATATAAAGAATTATTTTCCACTGTTGTAAACTATAAACTTAACTACCATATATATTTATGTGATAGCAACTTATTATTTGTATAATTTTTTAAAGTTTCTTTTAAAATAAATGCATGTATCTAAATTAATTTTTTTTCTTTATACATATTTGATAAAATAAATAAATAATGTACATGGAAAGAAAAACAGTTGTCATATTTTATGCGTTGTCATCTATATCGTATTATTCTTTAAAAAGAAAACAAAAATATCTTTTCATTGAGGACCTCCTCAATGATCCACTTGAAAAAGCAATACCAACAACACAATTATTTTGGACGCCTCAAATCTAAACCTTATTCCAATAATTGTGAAGAAAAAGGCAACAAAGAAAACAAAAACAAAAACTAAAATAAAGCAATAGTATTGTGGTAGGTTGTTGGAACCACTCATAATATTTATGATTCCAGTTTACTTAATAACAACAACAAAAAAAACAAGAAAAACTATTATTTATTGAGGCTGAGAGAGATAGTTTAAAAAAATAAACACAGAAAATACATCTGGCAGAAGATGACTCTTGTGCCTTATCTTTCCCCACTTTTTTCCTACGTGTGCTCAAAAAAACTCTCACACTCATCCACTAGTTATCTGACACGTCATACATCTCTTGCCTTTATAAACTTTGCTTCATCTCCTACATTCAATCCTCTTCTCTTCTCCACAACCATTTTTTCTCTCTTAAACAAAAACAAAAAAAACAAACCCTAACTATTCTCCTCTTCTTCTACAAATGGAGGTTCCGATGATTAATATAATCAGAGATTTCGAAGTTGGTATAAACTCAATAAACGACCCTTCGTTTCTCTCTCGATCCGTCGCTGTTTCCGGCATCGGAAAGCTGCACCAAGCTTACGGATTCTGGAAATGGGGAGCTTTGATCATAGCTTTCTTAGCTTATTTCACGAATTTCGTAACTAGGATTAAGAGTTTAGTTGTTAGATTAAGAAAAATTGACGTCTCGATTTCTTCACCGACTCTTTTCGATGATTACGATTCCGATTCCGATGTTTCGTGTTCGTCGGCAGCTTCTTCAGACGACGAGGATGACGAAGAAGAAGATGAAGAGGAAGATGAGGAAGACGTTGACTCGATCTATGATCGGAGACGGGTCAACGGAGGCTTCCGCGTGAAAGGATCTGATTATTATTTTAACGGTGAAGGGCAAATTGGGAATTTCGCAAGTTTCAGTGGCAGTTTCGGAGATTTGTTCTCGTGGCCGGATCTCGCCGGGATCGGATCGAGCGGAGTCGTGAAGCTTTGGGATCATTTAGATATCGACGGAGACGACGACGGCGGTGAGTATGACGATGGTCAACGGAATGTGGTGGCGTCGTTTCTCACTTCACCGTCGTCGTTTTTTCTGACGGCGGAGAAGAAAGGTTACGACGGCGTTAAAGTGGCGGCGTGCGATCCACGCGCGGGTTTTCGAATGCCGGCGTTGCTGGCGGAGTGGAGGCAGCCGGGGAAGTTTCTCGGGAATATAATCGGAGTCGACGTCGGAGGAGTGGAGAAGATCTACGTCAGGGATGACGTCAACGGAAAAATCGCCGTGGGAGATTTGAGGAGGTTTAACGGTGCGTTGACGGACTTGACGGAGTCCGACGGTGAGACTTGGTGGGACGCTGACGTCGTTATCACGGCGGACGGTTCCGTTGACGAGATGCATTAAAAAGTAATCAAGATTTGATTCAGACGCGAAAGATTGAAATATTCAACGCGAAAATGTTGTAAAAAGAGAAGGACGAACATTTTGTAAATAAAATTTGTCTGTTTTTGCTTCTCTTTAAATTTTTATTTTAAAAATTTTAAAATAAAATCAGCCTCAGATTAATAAAGTTTTCTTTTGTTTTGTTTGGTCGGTACTTCACTTAGACCATCTCCATCCCTAAAACCATGTTTTTGGTTCTACACCATTTTTTATTACTAATTTTCACATAAACCAATACTAAAACTTTTATGTGGTTTCTTAATTTTTTCTTCCTCCATCCCTAAAACTTTTTCTTTGGTTCTTAACAACAAAATTTTAGATTTTACCAAAATTATAATTTTGAATATTAACAATCCTTCCTTCTCTTTTGTTAGTTTGTGAAGTGGTCTCATTGTATGATTTCCATTGAGCTAAGGTCTAACTCCATGACATCGACTTTAGCACCAAGGACTTGGTTGACAACATCTTGTTTAACTTTAGCACCAGAGCCAGTGTTCCTCACAGCCATAACCACGCAATGCAGGAATATGAGCTGTCTCGACTCCTATACCACTCAATGCTCCTGAAAAATTTGAACACAAATATAAATACAGTTTAAGGAATTAAGCAAGTCCAGCAAGCTTAATGCAGGATCATTCTTTGCCATTTCAACACAATGATATGATGATTAAGAACATTACATTTCTGCATATGAGCCTTGTACCTAACCATGGATACATCCAAGTATAAAATTAATAAACACTATGATGAGCTCGTGAACAAAATCTACACTTACATCACAGAAATCGAATTAAACTTCCAAACAAGTAAGAGAACAATACAACTTTCGGAAACCATTATATAGAGACATATTTGATTTCTTCACCAAAAGACTGCACATAATCATAAAGGACCTATAACAAATAATATATCACTGAGGCACTACTAACATATACGAAGTATCTACTCAAAGCAAAACCAATTTCACAGTGTAAACGAAGCATATACTTAGCTAGATCAGGAACAGAGATTACCTATGCATCATGTTTGGTTCCGATACAATGAGTTTATTACAAGATTACTTCCTATGTGTTTAACATATTGACAACACAACTATACGGACAAGCAACTCGAGTCTCATCATATCCGCCAAGTAAACTATGTTTATGGTTTCAAGGGATCTAACACTAACCTCTGTTTAAGCAGAAAACATTAGCTCTATTCAATTCAAATTCTCAATAGACAAAATTACAGAGAGCGGAAAACGAAATCAGCAACATGCAAAACAATCAATAAGAGAAGAGAGAAAAGAGATACTTATCTTTTCCGATCGGCGTCCAGGGAGAGCACCGGCGTAGAAGAAGTGAGCTATTGAGAATTTGGAAGAGGCGGAAATGGTGATCGGAGAAGGAGAGAGATAGAGATAGAGAGATCAAAAGATGGAGAAAGAGACATGCAAACAACATCTCCCCAGATCGGAGGTCGTTCGCCGGAAACGAAGCACGAATATGGAGGAAGGCGATTCGACCGGCCGAAGGAATTGTTAGAGTAGATATATACGAATGTATTAGTTGAGATATTATCCCTTGTATATTCTCCAAGGATCTCGCATGATCTCTCCTATGTAATCCCTATATATATTGTGATATATGATACAATGAGGCATCGACCTCTATCCCAACTTACATGGTATCAGAAGCTTAGGTCTCTCTTTCTTCAACCTCCCTATTCTCTTCATCCTTTTTACCCTTTTTCTCTCTTTTTCTCTCTCTTAAATGGCCGCCACCGCCGACGACATCGCCGCTGCTGCTGCCGCAGCCCTTGCTGCCCCTGCCGCTGTCGCCAAACCATCTGAAAAACCTTTTGGGATATCCCAAATCAAGGCTTACATTCCCGTGATCCTTGACATGACCAAGTTCAACTATGATCTTTGGCGTGAATTATTCGAAACCCACTGCTCCACCTTTGGTGTTCTTGAGCACATTGATGGATCGGGGAATCCATCTCCTGACATCGCGAAGGCTTGGAAGGAACGCGATGGTCTCGTGAAGATGTGGATCTACGGAACCATATCCGAATCACTTCTCGACACAGTCCTCACGGCAAAGTGTACTGCCCGTGACCTCTTTATTACGATAGAGAATCTCTTTCGTGATAACAAGGAAGCGAGAGCTCTCCAACTCGATCAAGAGCTCCGCACTGCCACAATTGGTGACCTCAGCGTCCACGATTACTGTAAGAAGCTCAAATCTCTCTCCGATCTCCTTACAAACATGGACTCCCCTGTCACCGATTGTGCACTGGTGATGTATCTTCTCAATGGTCTCTCTGACAAGTTTGATAACATTATCAACGTGATCAAACATAAGGAGCCATACCCTACATTCTCAGCAGCCCGATCAATGTTACTCCTTGAAGAAGACCGCCTTGCAAAACAAGTCAAACCACAACCAAGCAACACCAAGAGCTCATCTGCTCCGAACGTGCTGTACACGGAATCGGCTCCACCACAGCCGTACCAATCAAAACCACAACCACAGCACCAGGGTCGTGGCTACTCATCTCGGGGTCACGGTGGACGACACAATAGAGGCCGAGGACGGTACAACAACCAATGGCAGCAGAACTACGCACCACCACCATGGTCGTATGGGCCACCACAATGGCCTATGTCTTACGGGTACAATCCATACCCCTCTCCTGCTCCATTCTCACCTCCTCCGCCATATCCACATCCCTACTCGTCTACTCCTCCATCTCCGAGTATCCTCGGTCCAGCTCCTCATCACCGCGCTCACACCGAAGCTCACGTGGCTCAACAATCTCCGGTGCCACCACAATCGTCAACGCCGGCACCAAACGAACAGTATCTCCCGTCCGAGATTACCAACGCATTCAACACCATGACGCTACAAGACCCGGGAGCGAGCTCATGGTACATGGACACTAGAGCTACAAACCACATCACCGCGGATTCAGGTACCCTCTGTTCTGTCTTTAATACTAGCGCTTCTCCTCCGGTGAAAGTCGGTAATGGCTCGTTAGCTCCTGTAACTAAACTTGGCAATGGTACAATTCCATCTTATTCTCGTCCTCTTCATCTTAAAAACGTTCTCGTATGTCCCTCCATAATCAAAAATCTAGTCTCTGTTCGTCGTTTCACTATTGAAAACAAATGTTTTGTTGAGTTTGACCCTTTTGGCTTTGTTGTAAAGGATCTCCGAACCAGGACACCTCTTCTCCGGTGTGACAGTCCAGGGCCTCTATATGCGGTTATTCACCCCCATCGCTCCCAACCACATGCTCTTGTCACATCCTCCACCAATAGCGTTCTCTGGCATCGTCGTCTTGGCCATCCAGGAAACGTCACTCTTCAAACACTTGCTTCTTCTGGATTCATTTATTTTAATAAGGCCGATATGACAACTTTGTGTCATGCGTGCCAAGTTGAAAAACATGTTAGACTTCCTTTTGCATCTTCTACTTCTGTTATTTCTAAACCTTTTGAGATTGTTCATTCAGACATTTGGACATCTCTTATTTCCAGCTTTGGAGGAATAAAATTTTATGTTATTTTCCTTGATCAGTTTTCTAACTTTGTTTGGGTTTACCCTCTCAGGCGCAAGAGCGAGACTTTTAACAAATTCTTACACTTTTCAGCCTTAGTTCGTAATCAATTTGGTTGCTCCATCCAATCTTTTCAGTGTGATAATGGCGGCGAATACAACAATCGTCAGTTCTTATCTCATCTTGATTCCGAGGGCATCAAAATTCGCTTCTCATGTCCATATACCTCTCAACAGAACGGACATGCAGAACGGACGTGCAGAACGAATGTTACGAACTATCAACAATCTTGTGCGAGCCATTCTCTTCCAAGCCCACATGAAGCCAGAGTTTTGGGTCGAGGCACTACACACAGCCGTACACACTCTTAATATCCTTCCATCTGCCTCCATTTCTAACGCCATCCCTTTTACCAAACTATATTCAAAACCAGTTTCTTATTCTCACTTGTGTGTATTTGGTTGTTTGTGTTACCCTAATCTCTTGCCTCAATCACAACACAAGCTTGCTCCAAGGTCCACGGCGTGTGTCTTTCTTGGCTATCCAACAGATCATCGCGGCTACCGTTGCTTTGATTTGTCCACCAGAAAGATCATCTTCTCACGTCATGTGTACTTTGATGAAAACACTTTTCCTTTTCAAAACTCCACCACCACACCGTCTATCTTTTACGATCCCTCTTCTCCTCCTCCTCCTCCGATCCCTCGTCTCACTCTTGCCCCGTCTAATGAGGCTACTCCTCTGCCTCCATCTAATGAGGCTACTCCTCCGCCTCCATCTCCGGTACCTCCTCCATCTCCGGTACCTTCTCCTTCTCCTTCATCTCCCTCTCCTCCTCCACTGCCAACTCATTCTATGATCACTCGAAGCAAAAATGGTATAGTCAAACCTAGACAACCTCTTTGCCTTCACACCTCTGTTGTTTCTCCTCTTCCTACTTCCCATGTTCAGGCAGCTAACGATCCTTATTGGAACGGAGCTATGGGTGAGGAGTATAGCGCTCTTATTAAAGCTAGAACATGGGACTTGGTTCCAAGGCCAGTTGCTACTAATATTGTGCGTTCTCTTTGGAATTACAGGCACAAGTTCAACGCACAAGGAGAGCTCTCTCGGCATAAAGCGCGACTGTGTGCAAATGGAAAATCACAACAACAAGGCGTGGACTGCGATGAAACTTTTAGTCCAGTGGTGAAACCAGCTACAGTCCGGACAGTTCTTCATGTTGCCGTGGCGAAAGATTGGCCGTTGCATCAACTTGACGTGAAGAACGCATTTCTCAATGGAGACCTCGAGGAAACAGTTTACATGTTCCAGCCACCCGGTTTCGTTGACAAATCTAAACCCGATCATGTATGTCTCCTGCGCAAATCTCTATATGGCTTGAAGCAGGCACCACGTGCGTGGAATCACAGGTTTTCAACTTTCGCCAAAACCATCGGTTTCTCCCAAAGCGTCAGCGATCCCTCACTCTTCATCTACTCCAAAGGAAATCAACTGGCGTACTTGCTTCTCTACGTCGACGATATCGTTCTCACGGCTTCATCCCCTGCACTCCTCAAGTCGATCATCGCATCTCTTCACAAGGAGTTTGAGATGAGTGATTCTGGGGAACTCTACTATTTTCTTGGTATCTCTATCAAGCGTTCTGCTTCCGGTCTCTTGCTTCAACAACAAAACTATGCCACTGACATTCTCCATCGTGCAAACATGACTAATTGCAACCCGTGCGCCACTCCTGTTGACACAAAGGCCAAGCTCTCACTGGAAGGAACCCCTGTTCCTGATCCCACCTTATACCGTAGCCTTGCCGGAGCTCTCCAATACCTAACGTTTACACGACCAGACATTGCCTATGCTGTCCAACAAGTGTGTCTTTTTATGCATGACCCTCGCGAACCACACTTTGCTGCTCTCAAGCGCATTCTCCGGTACGTCAAAGGCACTATTACTCACGGTCTTCATATTGCTAAGTCACCAGTAGATCAGTTGTTCGCTTACTCAGATGCTGACTGGGCTGGTTGTCCATCGACTCGTCGCTCCACCTCTGGTTTTGGAGTCTTTCTCGGTGACAGTCTCATCTCCTGGTCTGCCAAACGCCAGCCCACTGTCTCTCGGTCCAGCGCTGAGGCTGAATACAAAGCTGTTGCCAACGCTGTCGCTGAAACGACATGGATCCGTAATCTTCTTGGTGAAATGAAGTGTCCCCTGTCCAAAGCCACGATCGTCTTTTGCGATAACATTAGCGCAGTGTATCTGTCTTCTAATCCTGTGAAGCATTAACGTACGAAGCATGTTGAGGGAAGCATGTTGAGATTGATATTCATTTCGTCCGAGAGAAAGTTGCTCTTGGTGAAGTCCGTGTTCGTCATGTGCCCTCAGCTCTTCAGTATGCCGATATATTCACTAAGGGATTACCGTCACAACTCTTTATCGATTTTCGGACCAGCCTCAACGTCCGACCAGCTCCCGTTGCGACTGCGGGGGAGTGTTAGAGTAGATATATACGAATGTATTAGTTGAGATATTATCCCTTGTATATTCTCCAAGGATCTCGCATGATCTCTCCTATGTAATCCCTATATATTGTGATATATGATACAATGAGGCATCGACCTCTATCTCAACTTACAGGAATGAGAGAGAGAGAGAGAGAGAGAGAGAGAGAGAGAGAGAGAGAGAGAGAGAGAAAAGGAAAATCGATTTTCTCCTTTTGTTTTTTGTTTTAAAAAGTCCGATTAACGTGATGTCGACGCGTGTCAGTTCTAAGAGAGAAGAAAAACTCTAGCTAAAAACTCGGTTCCACAATTTTATTTTCTTTTTAATTTTCTTAATTGCCTTTAATTGTTAAAACCCACTTTAAAACCCACCTTAGATACAGGGATGGAGATGCTCTTATAGTGGCTCAATAATGCGAAGCTAATTAGGACGGTTACAAATTTCTCAAACAAAAAGAAATAATTTCTCAACCAAAAGGAAAGGGAGAGGACATATATTTTATTTGTTCTCCCAGGGAAAAACAAAGATACAAAAACAGAACAAGAGAGAAAAGTTCCATTTGTTTATACATTAACATCAGTCACATCTTATATGTTTTTATAATACCAATAAATAACTAATTAATAAAATAAAAATTTTGAAAATTTAAGTTATCAATTCAGACTTTGTCAAATAAAAACTAGATTTTAAATTAAAGTATTGAGTAAGTCAAGAAATTTAATTGGAAAACGAGTTTTTGTCTCTTAATTTAATGTTGACTTGTGACTTGTGAGGTTGGAACAAAAGAAACCCAAAACGTGTTGATGAGGGATGTATTAGGCAAGATAAACGAGTGAGATTATTGAACAGTTATTTGATTTTGGAAGTAACGTTTATCTCAAGCATTTAACGAAATAGGCTTTACTTTTACATTTTAGTTACAACCGGTTGCTTTTAAAATTATGAAAAAGTGTGTTACGTACACCCTGGAGTTTTGGAGTTTTGGAGTTTCATCCTGTTGTATTAACTAGTATTAACAAAACAAGAATTAGTTTTGTGTGATTCATATGTATTTGTTGAACCAACTATTGGGTGTGCGATACCCTTTTTATAATTATGGACTTTCAATCAATTATGAATAGAAATGTTTCAACAAGGTAACAGTTGTTTCAACTGCAAATATGAATTAGTCTTTTGGGCTCAACACGAAGGCCCTATAACGGATATAGAGATGACAAAATATATGTAGACAAGTTTTTTACCTTTATGGGGGACTCTCAAATGATGTTAGATATGAAATGTTCAATAAAATTTAACTCATACATAATTATGCTTCTTTGCTTTATTTTGAATGATCTAACTTTATATATATTTTTTTTTTAACACTGGATTGACTAATCTATTAGACAAATATAAGAGCTGTTACAAGACAATTCTACAACGGACAATTCTACCATCTTCAAAGGTTCCTCGACCGACGGCTCCACGTGCACCATTCTTTAGACCTCATGTAAGCTTGTCTCCAATAATCTGCATAAATTATTAGCAAATCGCATCCGCCGGGATTCGAAACCCAGACCTCCTGGTGTAGAAGCATCAAATCCCTTCAACCACTAGGCTAAGGGGTTTCCACATCTAACTTTATATTTTAAGTCACAGGTTATAAACAAAGGAGATAATAAGTAGACAAATTATTTTTACTACTCCCTCCGTTTTTTAAAGGATAAATTTTCTAGTTTTTTCACATAGATTAAGAAAAAGTTGATTTTCAATTATTAGTGCATAGATCTTTCTACAATAAAACAACTTTTTATAATTTTAAACCAATAAAAATCCAACAAATACAATCAATGTTTCTTGAAAACTGAAAAAGTGCATCAAAAAGGTAAAAAAAATTATCTTTGTGAAATAACACATAATTGCTAGAAAATTCATCTTAAAAAAATGAGGGAGTATTAGTTTTCTAAAATGTATTATATGTTCAAACTAGTTATAATTCTTCCTTGTTCAAAAAATACTACCACTGTTGAAAATTTCTAAGACTAGTATTGATTCCAACTCTTAACACTTCTTTGATGATGTCAACCATATTGACATGCTCTGCTACATTACAACATCATGAGTTAAGGGTTACGCAACAACAAACTATTAGTGTATAATTGTGGGAAATGATGGGAAGACATCTAGATGACGGGTTTTAGATGTATTAACTAGATGGAGATCTACTCATCTGAAGTTAGATGAGAGAGTTTGGTGTTTGGTTCAAACAATTTGGTTGATTTTTTCAACAATTTAACTTCCATTTATTTTTCAGAAAAAAGTTTAGCTTAAAAAAAAACACCCAATTTTAGGGCCTCAGTTTAGAATTCAGAATTGAACCACCTATATCTCTGATCAGACTCTGGTTTGGTCTTAAGCTTGATCTTTAATGGATATGGACACAACTTTTCAAAGAGAAGAGTGAAGATATGCAAGACTTCCACCCACTTATGTTGTGATCATCAAACAGTGTCCCATTTAGGAGAAGAAGCAATCATCGAACTGTGCTAGTGTTCAAAAAGGTTGCAATTAGGTACAAACTCATACACCAGTAGAGGTATTTCAGTCTCAAACAACATCCTAAAAGCTTGACAACATTATTATGTGGTTAATTGTGAAAAAAAACAAGCACGAACTGCTCTAGTTGAGTATTATCTCCAAGCCGTACTTTCTTTATAGCAACCGTGGTGTTGTCCGACAATATCCTTCTACAGTCACCATACCAAACCAATTACATGTCAAAATCACAAAACCAATACCACGATAGCTAATATAATCCATTCTGCAACCAACCAAATACTACAACTAAATCACTCAAGTTTCAAAGATGTTATCAACTTTTACATCACATATTATGATATTGATGAATCAAACATCATGTCAAAATCAATAGACCACTTTGTGAACGATACAACATTAGCTATAAAATCCATTTTGCAACCAATCAATTACTACAACCAAATAAATCAAGCTTTAAAAGATGTTATCAACTTTTACATCGCATATTGTGATATTGACGAATCAAATATCATGTAATTATTCGAGTAGATTAATAAACTTTATTCAGAAAATTATATTATGAACTCGGCTAGACGCCACACAATGTTAAGTGTTTTCAAAACCGAAGATCTTAAACCAAATTAACAAATCAATATTTTGAGTTGTAATCATTAATTTCATTAAAAATGTATTTCAAATTGGCACTGCTACAAAACAGTTTGTTCTTATTATAGAAGATAAATAATTTGACATTTTTGACGATTAAGATAAACAAAAAAATATCTCCATTTACTGCAGAAATGATTATTACAACAACCTTCATATAGAAAATATATATATTATATGGTATTTCAAAAAATGATCCACTCCAATTTTAAAATACAAGTCTTAACTAAAACAAGAGTTAATAACTAAGAGGTACATACAAACTTTTAGTAAACCCAGAATATATCTATGTCAAGTTGTCAACCATAAAAAAACATATGTTGTAGAAACGATATTATATTGTTCTTATATACTCTCTTAACCTACCAACAAAAGGATAAGAAAAAAAAAAAACCTGTCACGTTTTGAATCAACAAAGTGGAGAATTTCAGTGACATCTTTTTCTTTTGTGAATTAGTGACATTTTACACGAAACTATTTCTGACTAAGTGAAACAACTTATTACATACAGAAGTTTTTTACATACAGTATATGAAACGAAAACATACATGTGTTTTATACTTTTATATGGTAAGACTTTTGTGAACTTTGAAATCGAGGATTTAAACCGGGTCGGTCCGATTCGGTGACAGATAAAGAAATTGAGTTGGAGAACCAAACAAGGTCATCGAGCTCGGCGTGAACAATGGAATATCAGCCAGGTTTTGTCGTAACTGTCTCTGACTCGTGTCATCATCACCGACAACGTTGATCTCTTCCGTTACCACAGAAGAGGATGATTCGCTAACATCGTTAGGGTTCCGTCTAGTAACCTCGTTGACACCTGTGAGCCGTTGAACCAAGGCCATGAAGTCTTCAGCGCGCGTGTGAATCACTTTCGGAGAGTGCGCGTAGATGATTACTGGAGCCTCCCGTCCAAATCGCCGCGGATGCTTCACGACGTTACACGAAGTTGTTTTCTTGATGGAGAGGGATTCTCCGGCGACTTTTAACGACGGAGGACGTGAGCCGTTGATCTCGTGGCATCTTGTAGGAATCATTGTTAGTAATATGTCAATAGAGATGAAGAAGCAAAGATCATGAAATGGTTTTTGAAAATAAACGGAGTTCTTGTTGATTTAGTAATTTAGACAAGATATACAATGAAAAGATTATATATAAGTATACATGTAGAATTATATGCGTGTAAGTATGATTAAACACAAAATCATAGAATATTGCAGCCAACGATTCTGACCGTTGACTTTATATACGATGAGGGTTTTGAAGTGGAACGGTCGTTGTCTTTGAATAGTACTAACATGGCTCAGGTAAATCAACTAAATTCTTTGTTGAAATTATTTTCTTAAACTTTGAATTCAAGATTTCTTTTCTTACTAAGATATAGTTGAACGTTCATGCCAAAACAAAGAAAAATACGAACACTTTCTTTTCTTTTCTTTTTTTGTAAAAGGATATAACAAACATTTTATTTTCTTATGATAAAATTCCACACGATCCCTATAATCTGTATTTCACTTTTATATGTTCTACACAGCCTCAGATTTTGCTGTTAACAACTTAATCAATTGCTATGATTTTGGAAATGCTTGATTGTATCCAAAAATATTTAGTAATATTATTTTTGTAGATATATAGTTGTTCATTTGTTCATCTTTGAATATTACTGTCTGCGACGGTGCAAGGTTGGCTGCAGATGGTTGAAACTGCTTCACTTCTCTCCTTTAATTACGTAATGAGATTTTCTTAAAAATGTTCAAAAGTATCGGCTTCTTTTAATTAAACCAACTTACAGGCAGCGGAAAGAATTAACCTATTTGTTAACCTCACATTGCTGGTATTATAATGATTATCAACTGACATTGTTTTGTTCTATTTATTTTATACATACACTAAATCATCTATGAAGAATAAACAGAACAACAAATGATTTTCTTTTCCAATTGGGGAATCTAATTGTCATATCTTAAGTCCTTACAGAATTTGACTTTTGCTCTATCTAGGCCAATTGGGCTATATTTACGTATCTAATTAAAAAAATTTACTATACCTAAACCACAGCTGCCTCATGTTAAAATAGATTACGTCCTTGTCTTTACATTTTATAAATATCAAAATCAAGAGATGTTCAATGATGCTAATTATATAGAATATTGGTTTTTGTCAACGCAATTAGTATTATAGTATTCGATATTTATATAACGGTGTACATGTGACATGAGAATTCGAAGACGACTTGTAGAACACTGAACACACTAATTGTCTATCAAAAGTCAAAAGCTTATTTGGACATATTAAAGTTTCCATTAGCAAACCAAAATAGTTTATGTGAAATAACAAGGCTACAAACCTACACTTCTGTGGTTAATTAAGAGAAGGAGAGGAATCTAAATCTTATTAACAAGATCAAACCCAAACTCAACTTATTTCCAAATCTAAATCTGTTGTAATAATTGTTTATGTCAGGTTTAATATCTCACAGTAACAAATTCAAACGGTGCAAACAAACTCTCTCACACACCCATGAAACTAAGGAGTAGAAAATGAAATAGGGACAAACATAGACGAGTTCTCATTTCATCATAAAGCAAGATGAAGAGTACATTTCGTCAGAGACTTACCCTAGCAACTATTTCTACGGCTTGGTCGTACATGGCAATGGCATATACATGCATTCTGATTCTTTTTCACTAGTGTGATATGACTCACAATAAAACTTTCCATCTCAAACACATCAAAACTCTATATTAACACTGTTTCTTCCTCAAACTTCTTTCACACATGAGTGCTAATCGAGTTAGAGAGACTGGTTTTATGTGTTGAAGCTCGAGGCTTTATCATCTATAATCCGCATAAGTTTAATTTTTAGTATTGCACCCAAAAAACTTGAATGCTAATATAAGGAGTATAATATTGATATTTTCCTTTCTCTAATGGGTTCTAACGAGAAAGAAACAAGTGTACAATGTGTAAGCCCAAACGTGAGGTAGACGACGATTAAAGCCCGAAGCAAAGAGCAACAAACAAGTCGCAAGCCAAAACTTTGGAGCATTGTAGAATAATGAATTATATAAACTGGAAAAGCTGAGGCCTCGGGATTATAGGATCACGCGCAAAGGCACCGCACGCGCACTATTTCATCATGTAGCTAAACATTTGGATTTAAGTGAGCTACTTGTTTAGGTCCTGTCATGTTTAGTGGAAGCAAATTATTGTGCTTCGGGAAAGAAACATCGAATTAAAATTAATTACTTCAATATGAGGAACACTATTCAATTTTCGATTATTTTTTCCCTTATTCCTTACATTCCTTGGATCTCTCCCATCTACTGTTCTATGTCCCCTTTTTTTGTCTGTTCATTGTCTCTTATATAATTAATTAATTTGTTAAACATTTCTTTGTTAAACACATACTTGCTTCAAGGCTCAAGCAACAGCATTGCCCTTTCGTTAATAGAAACGTATGATCAGTTCATCACGCATGTCATTTATATAAAAAAATTGTACTTACTACACTTGTCTTCGTAAAGCTATATCCAAAGTATGTGTGGATGATTAGACATTGACATTCTCGTGAGGTGTTTTCAAATTCACCATATTTTTCTCTTTTAAAAAATCATGTAATTATAAACTTAAGGAAAAATTGAATTAAAAAGCTACAATATTTTTAAACAGTTGAAAGTCCGATATATATATATATAACCACATTTTATTATAGTTTTAAAACAGTGCAGCCCATGCATTTGCAGAAATCAAATGTCAAAATAAAATGGAACATGAAATTCGTAATAATACATTTAACACAAGTAGAATAATGAGAAACACACCAAAAAATTCCTACATGCACGACTTATAATTCAAAGCTTATATACATGTGTTTTCTTTTGCATCTAAAAGATAAATGAGGTCCGGCCAAATCATGAAAAATGTGCGATGCGAAGCGGAGAAACTGCAGATAGATAGTCCCAAAGTCTACACAATCATTTCTCCCTACAATGTAGTCGTACCTCTTTCCAATAAACGTTTTTCTCTTTTTATCTTTTGCTTCATACAGCCCCACTGCTGTGTACAGAGAATTGAACACAAGACTCTAAACGAGTGAACTGGATTAAAAAATTATTGTTTATATTTCAATGAAGATACAATCATACAAAACATTTCCACCATAAGTCGCATGTCGTAACCGGTAACCATACGCTTACGCTGTTAGTACGCATGCCATAATTATGGCATGTGTTAAGTTTGACTTTTAGTTATACTAACCTTTTGACAAAAGGGGTTTGACTTTCTAAGTTCGACTCTATGAAACATACAGCACTGTTCGAAGAATGTATTTGTATATTATATAAAATACAATGTCACGAGACTGGGAGGGAAACCAGAAGGTGCAAATGCAAATAAGTCCGTACTTTGATACCTTATTGTATATGAACAAAGATCGAATAATCTGGTAGGAGGTGGTACTTATATCGCCATTTCACATTTGATGTTGAGTTGTCATTTGCATGTATTTAGACAATTTAGGGACAAAGAGAAGCTTCCTTTCCAATCAGGGGAGATGCAAACCGGATAACTGATTAAGATCAATACTTAATTATATCTTCTTGTTTTTGCTTCAAGAAATGTTCTTTGTTTTGTTATCTTATTAAATGGTGTCACAGATCCGGGTTTTCAACCGTAGAGGTTCTTAATACACGAATAAATCATATAAATATTTTTCAGTTTTTCTTTTTCACTATAAATTATAAGATCAATAATATTCAAATTCCGACTGACATGCCACCATATATAATGATATATACCTTAATAGTCAATACATTTAAACTCTTAATTTATTTCAAGTAAATGAGAAAACATTTTTAAACTATTTGTATTAAAAAAAAAATTATTCAATTTTTTGTAACAAAAAAATTCATGTCTTCCCCCATGCACATGCATTTAAATCAATCAGATGGATGCGTGATTATGTCTGATAGTGATAGAGACAGCTTAATGGATTTAGCCTTCTCTTGCTAGAATGCTTCGAAAGCAACCAATTTCAAGCTACTCATAGTTGTTGCTTGGGAAAAATTAAATATATATGATCACAGATTCACAATCATGATACAATGGAAAGTTAACTCTTTTACAAATTATTACTCCAAAGCCGTAAACTGGTTATTTTATTTGAATTCGGAAAATGAAGTATGAGGTAACTGTTAAGTTGTTTAGGTGTTAAAGATAGTTTGTTATTTCTTGTCTACATTATATAAGTCATCAATCATAATATAATAAGATTATATTTTCAAAGATTCATTTGAATAAAATTTAGGAAACCAAAAATCATGAACACCGAACTGAAAATAATATTAAAATAGTTATAAGTTGATAGGTAAAACCTCATGGTTGTCCCCTACCATATGCATGGACATAGAGAATTGTTGGTAATATATGTTATGTTATTTTGTTCCGTCCAAATATGATACAAAATACTAAGTGGAAAGCATACAAGTGGAGCTGTTAATAATTTTTGTTTTTAACCACCAAATCCTTCCTCGATGTTGAGTTTAATTGGTGAAAAAAATGAAAACAATAGATTAAACGTCTTTATCAATTATCATCATCTATACCCCCACATATGAAACTTTCGTAATTTGAATCCCATGAAAAAACGTTAAGAGCATGTCCATCAAAGGTCTCTCACCCATAGACTCTCACAAAAAAAGAGGCAAAATATATACAATTGTATATATACAATTGTATATATTTTGCCTCTTTTTTTGTGAGAGATTATGGGTAACATACCCTTGATGGACATGCTCTAAGAGTTCCAAAACATGGATATGAGTAAATTGGTATAGTACGTAAGCCAATTGACATATGTTTCCAACATATGGGAGTACGGGACCACTTACTCAATTTTTATACTGCGGGCAATACACAATCTAGCACCCAATTGTGCATGCCATGAGGTATCTATAAGTTAGCTAGGTACATATTTAGTTTCTTGGATTGGAATGAAAGAAATAATTGTTTATAAAGTGTTGTTGACCAAACCTATTATCAATGGTAAAAAGTTTTGATAGCAACCCCTGCAGTCTACAGTTTTCGTGCCAATATTATTGCCTTGGCTTCTGATCAAGTACTATCACAAATGATGACACTTTTACAAAATTGCAAAGAATAATTGTAAACAAAGAGAGAATAATAAATGAGTGATAGAGATCGATGGAAATATTGATGTTTAGTGGAGGAAGTGTACTTTCTACTTTGTATTGCAATTGTAATTTTTATCTATACGAGTTTTGTTGTGACATATGATTAATTAATTTCAGGAGTAGCAAAATAAAAATTTCGTAAATCCATCACGGATTCATCGGTCGGCCAATGTTCAAGTGATGTAATATTCCATGCAGTGTTAATAGTTAATACACAGTATAATTTACGTTCTTTGTCTTAAAACCGTACCACAAGTGGTCACAAACAATGATCGTATTATTATTACACATTATGTTCCATCTATTATGCTAATAAAAAAAAAAATTCTATTACAAATTGTAACGTGGTGCATGAACTTAAAACTCAAAATATCTTGTGACAAGAGCGTAGATCCACGGCTAAGTAGATGTGGAACATAATGTCGTGTGGGAGATGTATACGAATCCAGAAGTTCTTTATGTTCATTATGATGAAGATTTTATATGAAGCTAAAAGTACTTTTAATAATAACTTGGACCAAAAAGGAGGCTTTAAAGTCCAAACAAATCATTGCTGAGATCATTAAAAACTAGCCGAATAAAATCTATCTAAGATCGTCTTTTAAGATTTGAAGGATTTCGTTTGGATTAAAATTAGTTGTCATATCTTGTGTTCTAAAAGTCGGCCGAGTTGCCGAGTACTCGGTCCTAAAACCGCCAGAAGGAGGTTGCCGTTCCGACTTTTTAAAAACCGAGTAAAGATATGGTCAACCGTTGACCGTACTTTGACATTCACATTATTATAAAAACCAGTAAGTAAATGTTAAAATCTAGTGGGCTAAAGTTTGATTTTTGTTCACAATTAGCCCCAATTCGCCCAAAGTGTGTAAAGCACTTTTCATTCAACATGAAACCTTAAAAATGTAGTATATGACTTTTATATTGATGTATTATATATAAAAAAAGAATGTTATTTGGTAATAATGTAGTATATGATTTTCATGTTGATGTATTATATATAAAAAATTAAAAATGTTGGAAATATATAAAAATGTACTTAAAATTAATTTCCGAGTACTCTCCGATTTATTTCCGACTTTTAAGAAAATCGCTAGAAGGAGACGGAGCGCCCTAGTACCGCCTAACGAGTTTTAGAACACAGGTCATATCTGACTTCAAATAAGTTCGTGGGTGGTGTCTGAATCTGAAAACCCCTTGCGCTTTAGTTCATTCAGGTTGTATCTTGAATATTTTTTTAAAAAAATTGGCTATCCATTTTAATTAGTTACTCAAAATGAAATGTTTGTCATCCTTATAAAGTGGCATGCAATTCGTGTTTTTCCTTACAAAGCTCATAGCATGAACGAGGAAATGTAAACATCAAACCATTGTTTTTCTTACAAAACTTGAATTTGATGCATTAGCAATCAAGCATCGTAAAACTTAACGATAGCACCAATGGATTACATTCAAAATGGTCTACACGATTTTTTATCCAATGTTTCTTCTTGCATTTTTTTTTTCGTTTTTGTTATTAATCTACTGTAAATTATTACTCGCACGTAACAATGATCATCACATGGTCTTTAATTACCTCGCTAGAGGGTTGATTCATAGAGCTTTTTATTTCATTCAAAAACACTAAAAGAAAGATATTTACAATAACAAAAACAAAAAGGTTTTTTTTTTTTTTTTTTTCTGATGCTAAATGCAAAGCTTGACAGTTAGCTCCTCTCTCAATGCCGTTGCTTCCGCATCCCACACACACATTTCTGCAGTCTAGACAAACAAAGCTCCTAAATTTCTAAAAGATCAAAACTTTTTTTCCCCCTTCACATTCTAAAAATCAAATCTTTTTTTCGGTTAAAGGTAAGAAGATCAAAACTTTGAACAAATTAACGGACTCTTTTGACAAAAATGACACAAAGACTACAGAAAAGGTAAAAATTTGAGAGACTTCTTTTTTCCCCATAATTTCTGAAAAACGGAGGTTTTAAAGTACCAAAAATGGCGGAGATCATACTTATCATATGTTTTGGGAAAAAAAAAAAAAAGAGTACCCAACCAAAAAAATTGTCCTTTTTATATTTTTTCTCATGAATGACAAAAAAAAAATTGTTCCTTTTTTAGTGAAAACAAAACAAAAATGAGCTGGAAAATGGCTGGAAAAATTAACCTAATCTTTCACCAACAGCCGATTCACAATCTTTACGCTTGGCTCCAATACTTGCTTCTCCCAAATCTCTCTCCACTCTCTTCTCTTCTCCGGCGACGACGACGACGACGAACCCATCGTCCTCATAACCGCTCTAAACGACGCCGTTGCGTCAACCCTCTTTATCTCCCACCCCGCGTCTCTCAGTTTCTCAATCTTCCCTATTTGTCTCTTCGCTAACCTCCACGTGTTCTCTTTGATATCCTCCACCGCCTTATCGTACGCCGCTTTCCTCTCCGCCTCAAAGCTTCCACCTTTCTTCTCCTCCGTCTCCTCCGGTGGGAACATTTTGAAGTAATCGTCGAACTCGGGGACGCCTATAGCTTTCCGTATCCCGAACCGGGTCGCACTCGATTTAACCGGGTCGTAAAACCCGGATAGCTCCTCGAACATACCCGAACCCATCATTTCGTCGACCCGTCTCACGAGATACTCGTAGAGCACCGTCTCCGACACGTCGACCCAGAGGAAGCAGCAGTCGTAACGCAAATCGCGGCAGATTGAAGACGACGACCCGGAAGCGAAAGGATCGATTTTGGAGTCGAATCTCTCGGCGAGGAGTGCGTGGACGAAAGAGTTAGATCCGCCGGCGATTATCGGAAGCTTTTTACGGGAGATTACGTCGGAGATGGTGTTTGAAGCTGCGATACGGAAATCTCCGGCGGTTAGCTCGCCGTCTTCGGGAGGGATGCAGCCGAGGAGGTGGTGAGGGACGCCGCGACGCTCCGGGATGGTAATCTGATTCGTAGTGATCTCTAGTCCTTCGTAGACTTGGATTTTGTCGGAGTTTATGATCTCTGAAGGGAAACGCAGGCCGAGATCGACGGAAAGTTTGGATTTTCCGGCGCCGGTTGCTCCTAAGATGACGACGAGTTTGTCTTTGAGATACCGTGACTGCTCCATGCGTACGGAGACTGGTGGGTTTCGTTGTCTTCTGCTTCGTCGTTTGGTGATAGAGAGGAGAGAGTAATGTGACGAAAATGACGGCGACGTCATCGCCGACGTGAGACGATCGGAGATTATTGGGAGGAAGTTGAGTTCTGTCATAGCACGGAAAGAGACAAAAAAAAAAACAAAACAAAAAGGCAACAAATTTGTGTGTTTCGTACGGACGTTTGTTATGTTTTTTGTAACGATGCAACCACACTATATAAAATCTCTCTTTTCTCGATTTTCTGATATTTTGATTTCTCGGTTTTCTCTGGCAAAGAGCTTCACTTCAATGGAGGTTGTCGATCTCTCTAATGCGTCACTACTTGTATCGCTCTCTTCTTTATTTTTTTTTTCTCTTTCGGTTTTTGGGTTTCGTGAGGGTTTTGGAGGAGAAATAAATCATGAAATTTTGTTTATTTACAAGTTTTAAAATAACAGTTGCATGATTAATCGGATTTATCAGAGAGAGTTTTGTTTTGTCTCTGATTTATAAGTTTTGAAGGAAATAACAACCATCTATAGACGTGAATACAAAAGTACAATCTAGAAAACAACAAAGGCAAAAATGTATAGTACCTTTTAGTCCAAGATTAAACCTTTTTTCTATTTTGTTTTTTTTCTTCCTGACATTTTTTTTTAAGGAAACAACAAATGTGTTTGAAAGCATTTTTGTTTTTGAGCTAAAAGAAAAATGTGTTTGTTTTTGGGTTTCAATGTGTTCCATCATTATAAAACATAGAAGGACAAACCTGAAGCCATTTTTTTATTGATAGATTATCCAAAATGGCGAAAAAAAGGAATAACTTTGGGTTTTAAAACGCATTATGAAATGTTTTTTGCCACGTGGCGGTACCTAGGAAGCGTAATGAGAATGGGAAGAAACGAAGTGAAAGGTGTGGCAAAAGAGAGACGCGTGGGATGATTTATTGGGGCTATATTGCGAGCATGAATTACAGCATCACATGCCTCTTATCTTATAACCACTCTTTAATTGTGTTTCCTCTTTGTTAAACTCTACACGCACCTATAATCCTCGTATATTAACTTACAAGCAATGATCCAAATCCCTTCTTTTTGGTTTTCTTTTCTCTAAACCGAAGACTTTAAATATGCCTCAAGTCGTATGTGGAGGAAACATATATTTCTTGTATGGTAAAGAATTTTAGATGTTCAAGAGTGAAGAAAAATGTATACATATGCGCATAAATCTTTTCGGATTCTGCATCTAGACACATAAACAAACAACTTCACAAATCATAACCATATAGCTTTAGTCATGCATGACTGAGAATCGATCAAGTTTAGTGTGCATGGCACTTTACTTCCATGAAACAATTAACACACACTTTACTTCCATGAAACAATTAACACACTAGCAACGATCACTTGAACATCGTGTTGTTGTATTCCTCGTACGTCCTACACCTTTAATGTTTTTTTCTTGATAACTACGTATTACACACATGAACATACCCTTTTCGTTATTAAGCTCTAGTATTATACTATTATTCTATACAACAAAGGCCGAGGGGAATAATTTATATGTGCTTACGTTGAAGCAAGATGGTTTCTTCTGTTTGGTCGTAGGCTGGTTATGTTGACGTATGCTACTATCGTCGTCTAGCTAGCTACTCCTTGTGGGGTTATTATATAGTTAAAATATGTAGTTATGATTGGTTATTTTATAAGTTGTATATCATGTTTTCTCAAAGTCAACGACTTCTCTAATCCAATACGAGAAATTATAATACTTACTAACACTAATCAGGTTTTCTTATTCGTATACTTCACTATAACTTTCCCTTTCATCCCTTTCATCCACATTATCATCAATTATTATAAGATAAACCGACATTGAATTCAACTATACCGATTTTTAAAATACATATAACTAAACAATTGTATCAAATAATGGTCCAAACTGGGTCAACCGATTAAGATGGATACACAATAATCTACATATATACAAATGGTGTTTAGCAATTCAAAATCATAGTCAAAACATATTGTTTATTAGACTATAAGTGAAAATGTATATATACAGCAAAACACACATCTATATATGATCAATCAGTGGTTGAATATTGACATGAGGTTTAAATTCTTATGCACACATGCGTGTTTGTATATACATGGGCATATTTTGACTTTGAATTATTTAAGTTCATGATGCTGACTTTGAAAGAAAAAAAAATCATCTATGAGAACTGATCAAGGCAGTGCCCAATGTAGTTAAACGACATAGGTATTATGGATTTCTACGTATAAAAAACACCTAGTAACATCAAAATTAGTTATACTGTAAATGATACTGTAATAACATATATATTGAGTAAAACGTTTTTTTTTAATCTCTTCTACCGTTTGCTTATGATTACTGTGATTTTCTTTTGCCATTAATCATCTTGAACTTCGACTATTACACCTGATTTGAGATCTTGATAGGGCGATATTTCACAACATGGTTCAAACTTCAGAATTAATCATACTATTATTTTTAGCCTAGCTTTTGTCAAATATTTGCTTCATTAGAAAGAAGCCGGCCAGTCGTATGGGGAAAAAGTTATAATTTGAGATAAATGACAAACAAAAATTGGACAAAGCCTCCACTTGGCTTCGGCACAACTCAGTGTTGCGCACACCATCCGAACCTGAGTATTGTATATGTATCTAATTAATGGAGTAACCTGTGGCTCAAATCATGATTAAGTGCCGTATGTCTCTTATGGAATATAATTACAGATTATATTGTGACTAACTTCGTTTCAATATAATTAATTAAATAATTATAGATACGTCCAAAAAGTGTAGCGCTAGCTAGAACTGAACTTATAGAATAATCATTAGACAAAGCCTGCCATATGATAAATCGAATTATATAAACAGATTAGTGTAAAGGTGACTTTAATCTCGACAAAGTTTTATGGGTTCGATTCAATGACTTGAGCATCCATATATGTATCTAATCCATACAATATAGAAAACAAAAAGGCCGGTTCTTTTTGAAAATAATGACTTCCAAATGTGCTTGTAACAACTTCTTTAACAAAAAAGTTCAACACGGTATAAATCAAATAAATCAGTTGCTCTCATATAACGCACTTTGCGTACGCAAACGTCGATCTCTTATGATGATGATGAGACCACGTTAAACTTGACAGTAAGTACTAAGATTGCTTCATCAAAAAAAAATTAATCCTGTTTAGTTGATTGAAAATAGCACTAACTACCATTGTTAATTTGTTACCAATAGAAATGACGACTATCTTTTAGAACAACGATGACCTTTATCAGCTGCAACGTAAATACATTGCCAATTAATTTGTTTATTATTTTCATATTGCTTATTGGCTTTTCTTGGCGCCAGAATCTGCTTTTTTATCATATGGAACAATATTATGTTGGGTTGTGTAATTTTTTTTGTAAGTCGAGAACGAGGTTTAGGTACCTAGCTAATGACGTAACAAAATGATGAGAGAAAAACAAAACAAATGTTGTAAAAACTAGTAATTGTATTCTTCAAGAGTTTACACTAGGGAAACATAAGATTATGATGATGTCCATAGAATTGTGAATTTATGCTTATTTTATCTAGTATCAACAACAGCAGCAAAAGTAATCTACTCTGCAATTTGAGCATCCACATGTTGTCATGCTCTGCCTCTACACACGCGTGTCCCTAAACAAACCATATTTAGACCCCGAACAAAGTACAGCGTACTTAAATTAATAAATTGCCTATCTAACTATATATGCTCAAGTGCTCAGTATATGAAAAAATATCTGAAAATTACATGCATTTAAATTCAATTTCCAGTTTATTATGATCATGATCATAATGATCTAGTAATACAGTTTATTTAGATTGTAAATTTAGAAGATTCAAGTTTTAATCATTTTTCTGCGATTTTGATCGTGATTGAATATGCACGCTTTAAATTGCTTAGTCGGACTAGATCAAACGAAAAATAAAAAATCATACTGTAAATTGTTAATAACTTTTGATAATTTCTTATGCTGAATATCAATGATTGTTAGCAGACTTTATTATAATCAAGATCAAAGTTCTTATAGTTTCATTTTGAAAGAAAACCAATTTTATAGTCTATGGTATTTTATGTAAAATTTTGGTTTTGAATTTAGTGCTTTCTGCAAAGAAACTAATTGCACTAGATTAGTTATGGATTTATACCTTTGAAAGAAAAAGAAAAAATATTATGGATTTATACAACTCTCTGATGTTTATGAACCTGCTTTATATAGTTTTGTAAGTTCAGGTATTAATTCGTGTAGCTATTCCGAGTTCACATAATTGAAGCCCAATCACTAATGACTAACCTCAGACATTGGTCTATAAGTTTATTGGGTTTTGGACCCAAGAACGTAGTAATGGGCTGCATCTGTATGCTACTGTGCAATCATTATTGAAATCATTATTGCCTTGACATTTCATCTGAAATAGCCTCAAGCTTGAAACATGATAGAGTTTGGAAAACAAGCATAGATTATGCTCAAAGAGCTTTATTGAATGAGATTAAACTAAGATATAAAATGGAAATAGCTCATAGAGCTTTATTCAATGTAAAAGAGAAAGAAAAGAGAAAGCTTTATGTTTATCTTCAAGAGATCAAAGGATTCGATTGATACATTAAAATGGAAAGGAGGGCTGCTTCAATGGCAGCCAAAGTTTCATCCATCAAAATTATAAGAACAATATTTATACTAATGCTTTTCTAAGAAACCCTAAACACATGGGCTAATAGGCTTTTACGATGACAATATCTTGGGCTTTATGTATGCTCTAATAAAACAGTCTTATGTTTGTATATCCAATGTTCAAGGTAAATGACTAAATGAGTAAATCAATCCCTCCATAAATCTCTAAACCGTTCGATGAAACTATTGCATTTTCTAGGACGTATTCTGAAAATTTGTTACTCAAGTCTGCAAATAGAGTGTTGGTTCTTGATTTGTTACCCTAATCAAGAACACTACTTCTACTTGCTTGCTTCGCTTGATGCCTGCTCTGATCCAAAGTAAAGTGAGAGTGTATATCAGTATATACAAAACATGCCTACTTTTATTCTCTTATAAACTCTCGAGTCTTGTTGATTACTTTACATCAGTAAGAAAAAAACACACAAAAATATATATATATAGGACTTACAATAATCACACAACATTGTCCCTTACTTGTTTAGCTAATGCATGTAACGCTACATCAACAGCATCTGGCAAATCATAGTTAGTAGCGTTTGGGTGCGCATAAGTCAATCTTGGGATCAAACCAATTACTCTTTCCCTCATTTGAACAACTTCGCTCTCCGAGATCTTTAATAGCTCTTGTTCTATTTGAGTGTTGTTCTTTTCGTCCATAAACACAGAGTAACTTCTTTTTTCGTCCGGAAGATACCACTTGTACTGTGTATACATAGTGTGTGGTGAAAAAAACACCGGTATGCATCCGGCTAATATTGCGTCGAACGTTGACCTGCGCGTGAACGAGTCTCCTGGTGCTTGTAGACAAAACCGTGACCGAGCCATCACTCCTAATACCGTCATTGGGTCGTGACACCTGTACATTGAACCCAATAAATAAGTGTTTCATAAGTTTTATAAATATATTGTGATTTGTAAATGAAATTGAAACATTTTCTGACACAAAATTGGTTACACAACAAGTCAACGAGAGACACTTATTCTAAACTTTCTAACATAGTCAAATAGATTGTGTTGAACAAAAAAAACGTTTTCGAAAAACATTTTATGATGTAGACAGTAGACAAAATTGGTTACACAACAAAACACTTACTATATAATGTATAATTACTATATTAACATGTAGTCAATTATATCGTGTTGTACAAATACGTTTCCTAGTACATTTTTTAGATGCAGACAAAATTGGCTACACACAAAAAAAACACTTCTAATTTGACTGAGTTTAACCAATGAGAATGTAATGTAATTAAAGTAAGCGATAGTGGCAGTAGTTGTCAATAAATTAAAACAGTAATGAAAATTGAATGATTATGGACCGCTTCGATACTGTATTGAATTATGAGGTCCAGGTTAATAAATAATCAAATTCAAAAAAAGTAAAAGAAGAAAAAGAGTGTATAAAAAATTAAAAACCTGGACCCTCCACTCTCACACTTGAGAAGCTCACAACGGCTCGAGTCGGCGCATTGTCTGATCAGCTCGTCTCTAATGGCTGCTTTCTCCAACCCTTTCCTCGGCCCACCGACAAAACTAAACAAGTTTGGTCTCTCGACTCTTCTTACCTTGTCTTGCCACGTCACCATCTCTGCTGACGTGTACGGGTGAAAATAAGAAGGATATGGTATACCAAACTGATTCTCACCATTCCACGGTTGCCTCTCAACAGTCAGCACCGACATGTTCATGACACGTGGCATTTGCATGAGCATGTTAGCCCCAAAGTCAGGTTCTTCATCATCATCTCGTCGCATGAAATCCCAAGCTGTTCTTCCGATCGCCAAGAAATGATCTCGACCGTTGCTTCTCTTCCACCACCGTTGACTACTAACAAAGTCGACTAATCTAACGGCTAGCTCGTCGCGCTTCGTTAGGTTTTGTTCTCTGAACACGCTTGAAGAGTAGAGCCCACCGTAAAAGGGAACGTAGAAAATGTCGGCATCGTTTGGCTCCCACGTGCGGCACGGGTGGTTTTCAACACGTGCGTGGAAAATCATCTCGGCTATGAACTGGTGCGTCGCGAACCACGACGTTCCGGTGTTGTCGCTGCCATTGCGGAGGAGGAGAGGTTGTCCGAGGCCGTTGTTGGCCACGTGAGGGCACATGTCGGTGTAGATGTTCAAGTGTCGGCAGTTTTGGAGGAGGTTGTTGTTGAACTCTTTGGGAAGATCGTAGACGTAGACTGTGAAATTTTGGTCGCACGTGCGAGTGAGTGATGCAAATGATGTTGTTTGTGGGTGAGATGTGAAGGGGGAAGTGAGGATAAGGAAGATGAGACAAATGGAGCAAAAGAGAAGAAGAGTTGGTATTGTTAACTTCAAGGGTTCTCTGTTTTTGGTGTATTTATCTTTCTCCGGCGCAGGCCAGAGATCGTCGATCTTGACATGCCTCTTAGTGTAAGACATGGCAACTAGAGAATGAGAGAGAGACAAAGTTTAGGTGGAAATGGAAACTAAAGAAAATGGTGAAAGAAGAGCGTTAATGTGACGGTGGAACATTTAAGTAGAGATAGAAAAACACAAACACAGAATATTTGTATGTTGTCTTTTGCGTTATTCACGGAAATAATGGGCTTGTTAATTTGGTATATAATATTAGATAATTTTGGACGAATGGTGAAATTGTTGAATAGTCAAGCTATCTAAAAACAGTAAACGTAGAGACGAATACTATATAGTTTTCAATTTTCATATAGCAATCGTAAAAAAGCTAGTTTTAACTTTTAACTGATTAATGATGCTTCGTCTTTTTGTGATATTTGTAACCCGTCCAAAATATACTATTGGTGGTTGGCAAAGAAATATACAAAGAAACGGAAATGGTGTGTATCTGTAAAGTACAGTAACAAAATTTGGAAATGAATATTGTTGACAAGATACCGTCATTAAGATTTGAAAGGTAACGAAAGTTTCACAAAGGCACCACCAGAAAAGGAAACTACAAGTAATTTACCATGTTACCTAACGTTTTTTTATTAACTGACCAATAAAGAAATGTTTAAAATATACAAATATACCTATGGATTGGAAGTTTTCCACTGTAAAAATGGAATTAAATATTTTATTTTTCAAGAATTGAAAAAGGAAATTTATTTTGACATTTGATCGAACCAGTATTTGATTTTCCATTGCCTATATTTTCAAGATTTTCATGCCTGTGTATATGTGTGGATATTGGGCCCATCAAGAATGACAAGTTTGTCATCAAGAAACAAGAATACGTTTTCTGAATGAGTAGCAGCGATAACTCTCTCCCATTACAGCCATCTTAATGGGCTTCCAAATATTAGGCCCTTACAAATAAAAGGTGCTTGATCCTAGCTTGCTTAGCCAATGCCACTAACGCTACATCAACCGCATCTGGCAAACCATAGTTAGTCGTGTTCGGGTGTGCATAGGTCAATCTTGGGATCCAACCAATGACAGTCTCCCTCATTTGAACAACCTCCTCCTCCGAGATCCTCGAAAGCTCTTGTTCTATTTGAGTAGTGTTGTTCTTTTCGTCCATAAACACAGAGTAACTTCTTCTCTCGTCCGGAAGATACCACGTATACTGTGTATACATAGTGTGTGGTGAAAAAAACACCGGTATGCATCCGGCTAATATTGCGTCGAACGTTGACTTACGCGTGAACGAGTCACCTGGTGCTTGTAGACAAAACCGTGACCGAGCCATTACTCCTAATACCGTCATTGGATCGTGACACCTACATTGATGACCACATAAATAAGATTAGAAGATATGATGCCTGAAGGCCCTGAAAATAAAAAAACGATTTCGAACTTCTTTTATAGTATTGGTTTTGTGTAAATCAAATTAAAACACTTTCTGACGTAGGCAATATTGGTTACATAACAAAACACTTACTATTGTGTAAGTCCATGTTATCAAATTCAATAAAAGTAAAAAAAAAAAAAAAGAGAGTTTAAAAACCTGGACCCTCCACTTTCACACTTGAGAAGCTCACAACGGCTCGAGTCGTTGCATTGTTTGATCAGTTCGTCTCTAATGGCTGCTTTCTCCAACCCTTTCCTCGGCCCACAGACAAAACTAAACAAGTTTGGTCTCTCGACTCTTCTCATTTTGTCTTGCCACGTCACCATCTCTGCTGACTTGTACGGGTGAAATAAGAAGGATACGGTATACCAAACTGATTCTTACCTCTCCACGGTTGCCTCTAAACGGTCAGCACCGACATGTTCATGACACGTGGCATCTGCATGAGTATGTTTGCTCCAAAGTCTTCATCATCATCTCGCATGAAATCCCAAGCTGTTCTTCCAATCGCCAAGAAATGATCTCGACCGTTATTTCTCTTCCACCATCCTTGACTGCTAACAAATTCGACTAATCTAACGGCTAGCTCGTCGCGCTTCGTTAGGTTTTGTTCTCTGAACACGCTTGAAGAGTAGAGCCCACCGTAAAAGGGAACGTAGAAAATGTCGGCATTGTTTGGCTCCCACGTTCGGCACGGGTGGTTTTCAACACGTGCGTGGAAGATCATCTCGGCTATGAACTGGTGCGTCGCGAACCACGTTCCGGTGCTGTCGCTGCCGTTGCGGAGGAGGAGAGGCTGTCCGAGGCCGTTGTTGGCCACGTGAGGGCACATGTCAGTGTAGATGTTCAAGTGTCGGCAGTTTTGAACTCATTGGGAAGATCGTAGACGTAAACTGTGAAATTTTTGTCGCACGTGCGAGTGCGTGATGATGAGGAAGAAAATAAGGTTGTTTGTGGGTGAGATGTGAAGGGGGAAATGAGGATAAGGAAGATGAGAGAAATGGAGCAAAAGAGAAGAAGAGTTGCTAATGTTAACTTCAGGGGTTCTCTTTTTTTGGTGTATTTATTATCTTTCTCCGGCTTAGTGTGAGACATGGCAACTAGAGAATGAGAGAGACAGTGAGAGCAACCTGAGGTGGAAATGGAATTAGTGAAATGGTGAAACAATTAGCGTTGCTTTCACGGTGTAACATGAAATCATATGAAGTGACAGCATATATAGTATATAATTGTTATGCTGTCAGAGAAAGAAAACGCAAACACAAAAATAACAAGTATATACTATATGCTTGCATTTAATAATTTTAATCTGTATTCTGTCTTTGCGTTATTCACGTAAAAATGGGCTAGTTCGGTCTATTAGATGAACAGTGAAGGATCTAACAGAAAAATTAGAGACGAATTTCTGTTAGAGGTGGAATGATCGACCTGCATCGATCACTCAAGATTGTCTAAAATATATAACAACGGAATTATATACTTTTCAAAAATGAATTTTGTATATCATTTATCACCAATGCATTTTTAAAATATCGAAAAACTTTGCTGTTGTGGAAAAGACAAAATATGTCTTACAAGTAACTTGTAAGAAAATAAGTTAGGTGTCAAATTTTAGAAGTGCAAATGGTGGTTGACAAAGAAAGTCAATGGTGTAGTGTAAGGACATTAGATCTGTGAAGTAACAAATTGGGGAGTGAATATTGCTCACAAGATACCGTCATCGAGATTTGAAAAGTACTGAAAGTCTTACAAAGGCAAGACAAAAGAAAAATAAACTACAAGTAATTTACCATCTTTTCCTCACGTTTTATAGGAATATTAAATATTTTTTTTTCAAAAATAATTATATGCGTTGAAAAAAAAAGGAAAATTATTTTGACATTTGATCTAACTATTTTTTTGATTTTTGTCAGTTCCTATGTTTTTAAGATTTTCATGCATATTTGTCATTTATATGGACGTATACTATATAGAAATGACAAATTGTCATCAATTAAGAAGATTTGTTCCTCGTGTGTTTCTCCATTTTGATTCTCCTCTTTGTTGAATACCAGAGCTCCATCTTCCGGTTCTCTCTCACTTTTTTTTTTTTTTTGCTAGAAATGTTAATATTCATTAAGATGAAAAGTTTAGGGATTACAAGATAATTAGCCTAAAACATAAACAACCTTGGCAAAAAAAGTTAAAAAACAAGGTTCCAGAACGTCACCGAACACAAGATTCTTTTCATCGGAGCCAGAGAGGCATGAGGCCATCGAAATGCTTCCTCCGCCTTCTAACCATGATAGTGTTTATGATTTCTCGGTAAATCTCCTTAGTGATGGTTGCCTGAGGTAAATGATCTTCGTTGTGAATGACGTTATTCCTCTACCTCCAAATATGGTAGATGATCGATTGAGCCACTAGTTTTCTCACAAGAGCTGGGGTTCTTGTTGTGTCGTTTCTCGTCCAGGAAAGAATCTCCGGCCAAGAGCGGAAGATAGCTTGTCTAGGGTCTATTTTCAGGAGAGAGGAAGACCAAATTTGAGAGCTAAAGCTGCACCGGAAGAAGAGATGATCCCTTGTTTCTGCTTCCCTGCCACAGAAACAACAGTCTACTGAGTTGGTGATGCCCCATGCTGCCAGTTGGGATCGGGTTGGGAGCCTATCAAGGTGTGTGATCCACATGTTGAAAGCATGTTTTGGAACCGCTCCTTTGAACCAGACAGAGGAAGTCCATTGCATAGGTTCCGCTCGCGGTCTCAAAGCCTCCCAGGTTTGGGCTGCATCAAAACCATTGCAAGTAGTAGAACCCACTGTCCAAGTATAAAAGTCTTCCTGCAAGGAGTCGGATGGAACAGGGATTGTTGTCAAGAAAGAGTGAAAATTTACCACCTCGTTGGATCGTGGTTGCGGCAGATTCCATATACCATCAGAGCACACCTCTTGCACCTTGGCATTAATGTCTACTCTGAGGTCTCTCGGTCCTTGGTCGCCTATGATGTCAATTAGCGGTCCAAGTGGAGTCCATACATCAAACCAGAAGCTTATTTTCAAACCATTTCCCACCACCGCTTTAATGAACTTCTTTGCTTCAGGTCTCAGCCTGAGAATCGAGTTCCAGGAGGAAGAAAAGCCTGCATTTTCTTTTAGACTCCAGAACGAGTCCCCTCTAATATAATGATGCTTGTGCCAAGAGCTCCAAAGAGTGTCATTCTCTGAAAACAGCAACCAGATGAATCTCAGACATAGCGTTTTATTCCACTCCGTGAAACGCCTCAGACCTAAGCCACCTTCTTCCTTAGGCAGACACACCGTTGACCAGGCTACCTTTGCTCCACGTGATGACTCTATAGCCCCTGTCCACAGGAATCTTGCACACATGGATTCAATCTTTTTAATGCATCCTTTTGGGAGGATAAAAGTTGATATCCAAAAGTTTACTGTTCCTGAAATCACTGAAGCTATCAGCTGGGTTCTTCCTGCGAAAGAAAGTGTTTTTGCAGCCCAAGAGTTGAATCTTTTTCTCAGTTTATCCATAAGAGGCTCATACTCCGAGATTCTTAGCTTTCTATGCATTAGAGGCAAACCGAGGTAACGTATTGGGAGAGAACCAACAGGGAAACCAAAATCTGTGAATGCTATGGATTCACTGTGAGTCACACCCGCATGAAAGAGCTGCGTTTTGTCCTTATTTATTTGCAAACCCGACCAACTGGCGAAGTCGTCCAAAGCCTCGGAGATGCCATGAAGAGAGGAAGTACCTCCATCGAAAAACACCATTACATCATCCGCAAACATGAGGTGTGAAATATTTAGCTCCGATGTTTTAGGATGGTAATGGATATAACCTGCACCAAACCGCGATTGCAGAAGCCTTGAGAAAACCTCCATTGCTAGCACAAAAAGGTAAAGAGAAAGAGGATCTCCTTGCCTCAAACCCTTGGAGCTCTCAAAGAAACCTCCGGAGTTACCGTTGACGGAGACCGTGAAGGAGGCTGTGGAAATACATTGCTCAATCCAATTTACAAAGCCACTCGGCATGTCAATTGCTCTCAAAGTTGCAGAGATGAAATCCCACCTCACAGAGTCAAAAGCTTTCCTGAGTTCCACTTTGAGCATACCTCTCGGCTCTATGTTTCTCCAGTTGTAACCATGTACTATTTCAGTAGCTAACAGTACATTTTCTGAAAGGAGCCTTCCCGGCATGAAAGCTGATTATGATGGAGAGATAACTTGCAGGAGAACGTGTTGTAGACGAGAGGCAAGGAGTCTTGAGATTACCTTATACAGAGTATTAAGGCAAGAGATCGGTCTAAAGTCCAACGTTGAGGAGGCGTTTGGGATCTTTGGAATCAATACCAGAGTGGTTGAGTTCCACTGGCGCAGCAACTTCCCCGAGTTGAAAAATTCCTACACCGCCTCTATAACCTCCGGGCCAACTATATTCCAACTTTCCGTGAAAAACTCAGCCGAGTATCCATCAGGGCCACAAGATTTGTTTCTTGGAAGATAAAAAAAAGCCTCTTTGATATCCTCTGAGGAGAACTCCGCCTGTAGGAAAGCCTTCTGCTCAGATGTGCATCTATAAAGAAGCAGGAGATCAATGTCTTCTTGGACAAACATTTTCTCCCCAACATCACCTCCCAAGAAATTTTGAAAGTGATTTACACAGTGGCTTCTAATCCCTTGGTCTGACTCCACACGATCTCCATTCTCGTCAACTAAGTAGTGGATGTGGTTCAGAACCTTTCTTCCTGCTGCAACTCGATGGAAGTAAGCTGAGTTTGAATCACCATCCTTCAGCCAAGTTACTCTTGATTTCTGCCGGTGAAAAGCGTCTTCTGCTGAAGCCAAGATACCCCAACGTTTTTGAGCTTCTAGCTCTAACAAATCATTATTCGGTGAAGGATCTGAAAGCACTCTTTGCTGTCTGTATAGCATGATCTCGTGCGCCTCAGCAGTACGCTTTTCGATGCCTGAGTAGTTCTGTTTTCTGAATCTTCTGATTGAATTTTTCAAAGACTTCAGCTTCCTAGAGACTCTAAACATGGCTGATCCAGAGATTGAGCAGGAGAACCAGTGGTCGGCTATGATAGATAGGAAGTCACTGTTTTGTAGGAGGTAGTTGAAGAACTTGAAAGGTCTTTTCTGAGAAAGCGAGCCGTGATCAAGAACTATACCGCAGGATGCATGATCGGAGAAGTCCGGTTCGCCAAACTTTGCGTACGAGGCGGGGAACTGATTCATCCAATACTCGTTGATCAGCACTCTATCAAGCTTCTTAGCTACTGGACGAGAGGCTGATTTATTCCACCAAGTAAAAGTTTCTCCCTTGAAGGTTAAATCTGAAAGATCTTCATTGTGCAAAGTATTTCGGAATTCCAACATTCTTCTGTTGATAGATTGTGCTGCCGGGATCGAGTGCTTTTGAGGGTTGAGAGTTTGATTGAAATCTCCCATTACTAGCCAAGCTCTCCCCTGAATTCTTCTATCCACAGATAAATCTCTTAGCTCAGACCATAGCAATTTCCTTTCTGTCTCATCATTTGAAGCATACACAACCGAGATTATTATCCAGTCCGACGAGTCTGGAAGCATCACCTCACAAGTTACCATTTGTAGCGATTTATTGAGAATCACTACTCTAACACTAGGGTGCCAAACCACCCAAATCTTTCCCAGAGCCGAGAAAAAGTAGTTATCCTCTAGAGACCAGCCAAGAAGCACCTTATCTACAAACTTCAAGCTTTTAGGCTCCTTAACATGCGTCTCTAGAATTCCTCCGAAAATAGGCTTATTTACCTTTAGCCACTTTTTTAATCTATTACGGTGGCTGCATATATTGAAGCCGCGGACGTTCCAAAAAAATATACTACACATAAAAAGTTAAGCGTGTTTGGGGCCCTTGCCCCTCGACGCCTTTTTCTGTCTAGAAGACAGAACCTCTGTGAATCCCGCATACTGCTCCTCTAGGCTAACATAGCCTTCTGATTCTGATGTAAAGACATCGGAGGAGTCAGCTTCAGCTTCAGATGATTTTGCTGATGAAGCCTTTTTACTCTCCTTGGTCTCCTTGGGGATCCATTTTTGGGTAGAGCTAGTTTCCCCTTTGGTTAGGTTTCCAGTCAGACCTGTAGCCGCTATCCTCCTGATCTGGCTTCCTTCGATGTTTGGATCTTTGTTTTTGTTTTTGGAACGGCTTCTTCCTCGTTTTTTCTTCCTTGGATCTTTTCCCTGAGCTCTTGGGAAATTTCCTGAGGTGTATGCTGACGATTTGCAATCCTCACAGGTGATTGGAGCCAGCTTGCAACGTTTGATTGTATGTCCAATCCCTTTGCAGTGTCCGCACACCGGAGGCATCCACGGACTAGAGACCATCACTCTACATATTTCTCATGAATTGAATTTGACGTTGACTGCCTCCGGGAGCGGTTTTCGGGGATCAATCAGCGTGAAGACTTTAGCTACTTCCAGGTTCGTCTTGTTTGCAGTGGAAGGATGAAGGCACTTAGGTTCACCCACTGCACTTGCTATCCTCTCAAGTGCCTCATCATTGAAGCATCGGAATGGGACTTCACGGAGCTCAAGCCAAATAGGTGCAGAGGTTAATTCTGGTTTTACTGGTATAACCCCTGGTTCCCACTTTCCAACGAACATTGTTTGCCCCTCGATCTGCCATAGTCTCTGCTCCAGGACTCTACTACGAGTTGCCGCATTTGGGATCCTGAAAAGAAACAAGAATCCCTCCATCTTAGACAGAGTAATGTCTCTGTAGTACTTGCTCCATATGCCATTTACTATGTTGTGGATGGTTCCTTGTGAGGGAGGGTCCGAATAGAATTGGCCTGAAGAGATCCCACGAATTCTTGTTCTTTTCAATGAGTGAGTCTGAGATCTTAACACAAGCCTCACCGGAAGCGAGGTTGAACGGTTTACCCTTTTTACTCAGACGTTTCTCAGAACCCTTGAAGAGGTCGGACCAGGAGTTTGTCGTCGGAGTAGACGAGTTGGGAAGGGGATCTGGGTTAGCCACTCGGGTAGCTTTCGCAGACATCTGAGAAGACGCTTCCATTTGAGCAGCCACTGGGGTAACTTTCACAGAGGTCTGAGCAGTCACTTCTAATTGAGGAGAAGCTCCTGTGCTCGAAGACTTGTTAGACAGTCCCGGGTCTGAAGATTTCTCTTCTAACTCAGAAGTGTTTGTTCCTGTCTGGATCTGGGAAACCGTGGTCTCAACCAGATCTGAAATTGTATCCGAAACCGGACCAGGCGTGTCCTGCGCTTCGATTGAGGCGGACGGTGAGGTAGGCTCCGGGGAGACTACTGGCGGAACTTCCATTTCAGAGCTGAGCTCTGCGACGGCTGGGGGATCTGACGGAGGCGGAGGTGGGGAAGACTCAGTCGAATCCGAGCTTCGGGAAGGTGAATCGAGATTCTTTTTGTGCTTTTTCTTCCTCATGAGGAGAGGAGGGCCTTGAAAAGGAGGGTGAACGGGTGTCCGACGCCGTGAGAGACGCCGGCGAATGAAGGTAAAGGAGGACACTTTTTCGCCCTTTTGAGAGAGAGAAAAAGTCGTTTTTTGGATTTTCTTCTCTCTCTCTTTCAGTCCAAACTAATTCTTTTTCTTTGTATCTCCTTCCCATTTTCATCCTTTGTTCTCGCATGAATCAATCACGTGCTTCATGTCCAGATCCGCCACCAAAAATGTCTTCTCCAGCGACCTATCAAATTTCAGACTTCTCTCCTTGTCGTCCCCTCCAAGTAGCATCGCTTTCGTGAAGAATTTAGTCTCGTTGTAATCTTCACCTTGGGCATGGGCCTTATACCTTTATTAATGGGCTCTCCATTGTGGAAAGATCTATTAATTTCTTCAGCAGAAGCCCACTACAACATTCATACGGTACCAGCTCATGTCGACGTTTTATTTTTAGGGGTGTGTTGTGTTATAACAAAGAGACCAAAATCCATATTGTCAGGTTATCATTAGATTATGCTGACTTACGGCCTGATTGGTTAAGGCTATAGTTTTAATTTCTTTGTTGTAGAATTTTGGCTTTATGTTTTATGGCTGTTGCTGTAGATTTGTTGCTGTAGAATATTAATTGTAGGATTTTAGTTAAAAACGAAAATTTAAATAAGGAAAAAAAAGTAAAGAGAAAAACTAGTATTTGGAAAAAATGGAAGAGAGAAGACCATAGCCCTTAAAATTTGACTCTAAATTTTTTGCTGTATACAGCAGAAAAAAAAACCAAAATAAAAAGGGTTGTGGTTTTAGAAAATAATGTAAAGTATGATTGGTTAACTATTTGGGCTATAGAGTTTATTTTTGCTCTGTGCAGCTTCTAAAGCAACAATCAATCGTCCATTTAAATTCTAGAATATTGTCAACTTATTGGCCTATCTCTGAAATCAATCTTCTCCTTTTTTTAAAAAGAAATGTAAAAGTTTAGAAAGCATCACAAACTATTTATTGTTCACTTGTCTTTCTTTTTTTTTTTTTAATCCTTTGATTTCCAGTTATTTTCTATGAATCTAATTTTTTTTTTCAACAGACTTTGTATTTTATTTTATGCATCTAGTTTGGACTCTTTGTCATCGATTTTCCTAGTTCTTTGGTTTATAGTTGATAACAACGTCTAAATTTAATATAATTCCAACTCAGCAAAACTATATTTCAATGTTCTTTTTTTAACATATAGAAAATATGAACAATAATGAATAAAGACTACAGAAAACATATATTGTATATTGATTATTAAATTAACATATTCAACTACCTGGAAGTTGTGATGTTTCAATAGAGGGTTATGGAATGCACGTTGTATCTTTATATCAACACAATTAACAACACCTCCATCTGATGCCACGACATCATTATCAGCCTGTTAAAAAAGAAATCAAAGTTTAGATAATGTGGGTTCGGAAACCACACTCAAAATTTATGTGTATTTTGTAGGGAGAAATTGCTGTGGAATCAGAGGTTAGATTCTGATGTAAGTCGAATGATTCGTAGACAAATATTTGACGAAATCGGACTTAGGCTAATCGAATAAAGTGGTTACAAAACCGGCCTGAAAGACCATGTAAAACACTAGGATTCGACTAAGCAAAAGAGATGGAAATTAGGTGGTGGCTGCGCTCGTGTAACGAGCTGCCTACGTACCCTGTTTTAGGGATCAAGCCAGAACGTAGTTCGATTGTAAGTTGTTCTCTATTTCGAGTCGTTTTCTGAAGAGAAATGACCACGAAAAGAGTTAAAGGGGGGTGAAGATGACGATAAATCTCAGGTTATCGGAGTGATCCGAAGGTTAAAGATTATGTCAAACTTCTGCCGGAAGTGATTTCCGGCTAGAAAGATCAGGGCTTTCTGGGATTATCTCAAAGACCAAGGATAAGATCGAAGAGAAAGATATGAGAATATCTCAAGATGAATGAGAAGAACTTCACTCTGTTTCTGCTGTGAAAAGATGATGAGAAGAACTTTAGTTGTGATTTTCGATTGAAAGAATCATGTCCCGAAAAGACTTGTGATTAAGGAATTCGTTCTCTCCGAAAATGAGAAGGATTCAACTTATCATCCAGGAAATGGAAGGAAATTATCCTTGTGATCAAGAATCGTCCTCCTTTTATAGCTCCGAAGTAGATCGCAACCTCCTCCGCGTATCTCGTCCACGTGCAACTACCGATCCCGCTATTTCCGGATCTGAACGATCAAAGCGAGATTCTCGTTTGACCCGTTCAAACTCAGCTTGCGGACTTGACTCCGTCGAGCTAGAGCTCGACTTCGTCTTCACAAGTAGCTCGGACAGTAAACAGCTGGATTTTGGACAAGGATATTTGGCGGGCTCGAGGTCATTTTACTGGGCCTGAGTGGACTTATCTTGACCTTAGGACTTAGGTGATGGGCCTTATGGGCCGGATTTCTGGAGGGAAATCCAGGTCCAACAGATAAACGTATTTGTTTAGTGCATGTTAGATAATTTATAAAGATAAACAAATGTTGTACAAAAAGGATAATTGATAAAGAAATAAAATTATAAAAACTGGGGTCTAATATACCCGTATAAAACACACAAATAATTCCACCTCTTGGAAGAGAGGAGATTTCTCGCGAGCTAACGTTTCGTGAACGATCTGCAAAGTCGGCTGCCGCTCGTTATGAGCAAGCAATCCAATTTGGAGCTAATGGAGTTGTGGAGATTGTCCATGTTGCGATTGAATCTACCCTTCGTGATGAAGTAGTAGGTCGGGTTCCTCATGCTGCTACTGGAGATAATATCCAAGTGACTCGTTTGAGACAAATTATCCCGACGAGTTTGAATAGCAAACAACGAGGATGGAGCTCGAAATGAGCAAGAGATGATAATCGGACTCCGATTTTGTCGAGCTCTTCGAAAAAGCGAGTTAACTCGACGACGAGTCCGTCATCCCATTTAGTGATAGATTGTTCGAAGGATGTGCCAGTTTTGGATAATCCTTGAACGTTTATACTGCGCCAATGCAGGCCTGCTGCAAATCAATCTCCGGTTTTGGATATGACGCTCGAGAGAGAGCTGTATGCGGCAGCGATGGCGGCGGATGAGAAGGTATGGTTTTACCTTTTCTAAGTTTTTGCCAATGATTTGATATCTTCGGACTTAATATTTGATGTCTCTCATATCAACCTTTGAAGGTTAACATGAAGCTCTCTGCTCGTTGTGAGCAGAGGTTACATGAAGCTTCTCGGTAATACGAGCTTGATAAGATGAAACACCTGGTAGATGAGCTCGATACTGAACTCAAATATTCGAGAAATAGAGTAGCTCGTCAAAGCGACTTGCTTAAATTTTGGCCTGCTAAGGATGAGCTCTTTTCTCGTTTAAGTTTCGAACAAGTTAGCTCGGCAAGGTTTTCATGCTTTGCGTTTGGATTTGATGCCTTGGAAGGCTTTTATCCTTTTATGTTCAAACTTGTTTGCTCGGGATGAGCTTGATATTTGATAAGTTTTCTTAGACGTTTGATGTCTTAGAATTTATCTTTGTTTTCCAGATCAATTGACTGTTAGCTCGATTGTTCGAACATTAGTCGTTTTGGTTTGATTGGAGATTTGACCTAGCGTGTAAGCTAACTGGTCGGACCGGCTGAAGCTCAGTTGATCTCTTTTGAGAATCGTATAAAGTTGAGCTAGTTTCTTTTCGAATTCCAGCTCGAGCTTTTAACGTGCGTGTTGAGCTTCAACTTGGAAGGTTGAGTCGGGTTGAGCTAACCTTTTTCGATTGAAAATGACTGATTTTTGATGATCGTCTGAATTCAGTAGGTGGTTCTACACAATAGCACTCGAGCTTCATCTTTAAAGATTACTTTAAGTCGAGGTGATTTCCTTTCAGACTTTCAGTCGGATTCGACCGGTGTTTGCCAATTGCATGATTTTGTAGATTAATCTACATGATCGGCAGTTGGGTTTGATTAAAGAAAGACTGCTCGGGGTTGAGCTGATTTCCTTTAAGATTATCAATCGGATTCGATCGATGCCAGTTGTGTGATTTCGTAGATTGATCTACACAATCAGCTCTGGTGCTTTTAGCTTGCAAAGGTTGCTCGAAATCGAGATAATCGCCTTTCAGATCTTCAGTCGGGTTCGACTGGGTTTTGCCAATTGTGTGATCTCGTAGATTGATCTACATGATCAGCACTTGGTCTTAATCTTCAAGGACCGCTCATACTCGAGCTGATTACCTTTCAGATCTTCAGTCGGGTTCGACTGGCATTTTGCTAAGTATTCGATGTCCTTAGGAGTAATTCGAATGTTAAGCTGATTTGGGTTGTTGGGCCCAAAGTTTGTTTTTAGTCCTAGACCGATGGTAGGTTCTAGGTGATCTCTAGGATTAGAATTGATCTCTCTTCCTAGCTTCTGAAGTCGATCTCGACCTCCTTCGCATATCTCGTCCATGTTCAAACTGCCATTCTGGCTGTTTCCGGGGCTCATCGGTATAAGCAACATTATCACATCACACGCAAAGTCCAGCTATTTCATGGTCTTATCGGTCTGCAATATCGTCACCCGACTCAAACAGACCAGCTATTTCATGGTCACATTGGTCTAAGCGATATTACCGCCTGACTCGTACAGCTCGGACATTACCGGAGCTCATCGATCTCAGTAGTATTATCGCCAAACACGTACAGCCCGGTCTTGAAGACTTGATTCCGTCGAGGTATTACTCGACCTCGTCTTTACAAGTAGCCCGGATGTAGTATGTACTTAGATAAGTATACTTGATGGGGTCAAGGTCAGCCTTACTGAGCCTGGACGGACTTTTCTTAGTCTTAGGATCTTGATAGTTGATGGTGGCTGCGCTCGTACTTCGAGCTGCCTACGTACCCTGAATAGGGATCAAGCCTAACGTAGTTCAGGTTCTAGATCGAGAATAGGTTCTAGATGATCTTTAAATTAGAGTCGTGCTTTTTTCATAGCCTCTGAGGTCGTTCTCGTCCTCCTCCCCAACTGTTTTCAGGGCTCATCGGTATAAGCAACATTACCGTCAGACACGTCAGACCAGATATTTCATGGTCTTGTTGGTCCGAGCGATATCGTCACCCGACTCGTGAGATCCAGATAATTCCGGAACTCATCGGTCTGAGCGATATTACCACCCGTACAGTCCGGACATTACCGGATTCCGTCGGTCTAAGTAATATCACCGCCCAACACGTACAGCTCGGCTTGAAGACTTGATTCCGTCGAGGTATTACTCGACCTCGTCTTAACAAGTAGCTTGGGTAGCGTATCTGCTTGGACAGATATGCTTGGCGGGGTCGAGGTCAGTCCTCCTCCCCAACTGTTTCCAGGGCTCATCGGTATAAGCAACATTATCGTCAGACACGTCAGACCAGATATTTCATGGTCTAGTTGGTCCGAGCGATATCGTCACCCGACTCGTGAGATCCAGATAATTCCGGAACTCATCGGTCTGAGCGATATTACCACCTAATTTGTACGGTCCGGACATTACCGGTTTCCGTCGGTCTAAGTAATATTACCGCCCAACACGTACAGCTCGGCTTGAAGACTTGATTCCGTCGAGGTATTACTCGACCTCGTCTATACAAGTAGCTGGGGTAGCGTATCTGCCTGGACAGATATGCTTGGCGGGGTCAATGTTAGTCCCACTGGGCGTAGATAGACTTCTCGCGATCTAAAGATCTGGATAATGGTGGCTGCGCTCTTGGGTGGAGCTGCCTACGTACCCTGAATAGGGATCAAGCCTAAACGTAGTTCAAGGGGGAAGAGAGTTTGTAGACGTTTTGCCGAACTACTTTGGTGATGGATTAGGTCATTCCAAGTTGGTTCCTGTTTCCTTATCACCGAACTCTCTTTGCCATGACGTATTAACTTGAGCTTGCTTTTTCGAGCTTTATTACGAGTTAATCATCGTGGGCTTTTTCTTGTGGAACCTATTGGTTTTCAAGAGTTTGGTTTTTAGGTCGAATCTTTCTAGAGGAAGAGCTCGTCTAGAAGATTTGACCTTTTGTTGTATGCTTTGATCGAGTTGTTCGAGTCTTAGCACTTGTTCGAGCCTCCGCGAATGAATTTAATTCATTTGAGGGTGGGTGGCTCCACTCCCCCGAAAACTTGTGAAATCAGCGTGAGCATGAGTTCGCAAAGTTCTTAAACTCGGGTTGAGGTTTTCGTTAGCTGTCTGAGAAGACGCTCCACTCCCCCGCGAGATTGTGAGCTCTGCATAAGCTAGAGCTCGCTATCTTTTGGTGCGGGCGGGCGGGTGACCGCGAGGGTCATTGAGCTGCGGCGTGAGCTGAGCTCTCTGAACACTAGGGTCGAGTCGAATCGCTTCTTGTGTGAAAGAGGTGATTCTTGAGATGATTCCGACTTCGCGTTCCCTTTTTCGGGATGCTTTGTCGTTATCGTGAGATGAGGGCTGATTGCTTTTTCCATCTTTGCCTCAGCTCTCTGCTTTTTAGCTAATTCCTTAGCTCTAGCTCGGCATTCGTCGGTGGAATGGCCGTAGATTTGGTGATGTTCGCAGAACTTCTCTAAATCGGAACTCGGGTTCGCGAATGAAAGAGAGTGTTGCGGTAATCTTCCTTTGCGATGTCTTTCTAGGAGGAGATTGATCTCCTCTTCAAAAGTAGCAAAGGTTGACGCGCAGCGAAGTGCATCGTCGAGTGATACAGGAGGTCGAACGATTAGTTCTTCTCTGAATTTTGATTTGTACCACAGGTTGTTTCGGAAGGCTAGTAGAGCTACTGCCTCGTTAGGGTTTTCGATCTTAGCAATGATTGCTTTGAATCTATTGACGTAGATCGAAGTGATTCGTTTGGAGCTTGAGAAAGCTTCCAGAGATCGGCTTCCGAAACTTCTGATTCGATGAAGATCGAATATTGGTTTACGAATGCCGAAATCAGCTGGTCGAAATTATCTATTGATTTTTCATCCAGCGTGCAAACCATTTTTTAGCTGGTCCGGCTAGGTTTTCAACAAAGAGTTGGCAGCAAGCTGCTTCTATCTCTTCGGGAGAAAACTGAGCTCGAAGTATTTCGAGATAAAGAGCTCGAATATAAGCTCGTGGATCGCTGTTACCAGAGTATTCTGGGATACGTAGCTTGTAAGTATCGCGCAGACAGGTGTTAGCGATCCTGGATGAGAAGGGAGTTTGTTGTGTCTCCCTGATTACTTTGTCGATATCTGGAATCAAACTCATTGTTTGGTTAAACGTTGAGTTCGCTTGCCAGAATGCGAGGTTTGTTTGGACCTGGAACCTTTCGAAAGATTCGCGGTCCAAAAGGTTTCGCGGATCGACAGGAATCCGGTTAGTTGAAATCGGATGGGATAGAGCTTGATTTGACGAGCTGTTTGCTTTTGTCAATCGAGCTAGATCTGTCGGATCGTTTGCTCTATGAAATTGAGCTCGATCGACTAGATCATTTGTTGCGGGAAACTGTTGATAGTTTCCGTTCACAACAGTTCGAGCTGTTGCAGGGAGCTGCGAGCTCAAAATTTCATCGGACTGATTTTTGAGCTGAGACATCGCCTGCAAGCTTGAGTTGGAAGCCATAGTTTCGGGCCATCTAAATATAGTTGGCTCGATACGTGATAGCTTTGGAGGTGGAGATGGAAGTCGCTCTGTTGGCTGAGATCCTATCTCCGATTTGCTTGAATCTGGAATGTTCAAGCTGCTCATTGGCGAGCTCATCGGTGGGACGAGAGTCTGGAAGACATGAGCGCGCAGTGGCGCCTCATCCCGTTTCGACGAGCTGTTAGGGTATTGGTGAAGAGTCGAGCTGAGTTCCCGGAGGAGGACTTATAATCGTCCGTAGCTCAGCAAGACTTCGTTCATATTTTTCCAACCTGATTTTTTGGTCGTATTGTGTTAATCAGGTCGGTGAGCATTCGCTTGATTCGGGCTTGGTCGTCCGGATTCGGTCGAGCCAAGGCAAACGATGTTGACACAGTTTGCGTCGGAGATTTCCGACTGATCGGTGTCGAGGTAATCGGGAAATCTTTAGATTTTACCCGAACTCGCAAATGAGGTTTCTCAATTGCGTGCGAGATCTGATTCGGTAGAATCGAGTTCTCGGCTGTCACAGGAGTGACGAGGTTGATCACCGATGGTTTCACGCGGGCTGGAACATTCGAGTTCGCTGCCGCGGAGGTGATAACCGGATCGATCAGGACGCTCGATCTACTAGCAGTTTGGCTGCTGCCAGTTGGCGAGGTGATCGGGTTTTTCGATGTGTCTGCAGTTTTGGCACTGCTGACATCCGAAGTGATTTGATCCGATGGGATCTGAGATTGGGAGCGAGCTCCCTGAGAATTTGATAGGACTGAGTCCATTTCGTTCTCAACTGGTCTAGGTTCGACCCTTGTGTAAGAGAAAGCTATTGTCTCCCCTCCTTCTAGCGCCAAAATGTGGGTTCGGAAAACCACACTCAAAATTTATGTGTATTTTGTAGGGAGAAATTGCTGTGGAATCAGAGGTTAGATTCTGATGTAAGTCGAATGATTCGTAGACAAATATTTGACGAAATCGGACTTAGGCTAATCGAATAAAGTGGTTACAAAACCGGCCTAAAAGACCATGTAAAACACTAGGATTCGACTAAGCAAAAGAGATGGAAATGAGGTGGTGGCTGCGCTCGTGTAACGAGCTGCCTACGTACCCTGTTTTAGGGATCAAGCCAGAACGTAGTTCGATTGTAAGTTGTTCTCTATTTCGAGTCGTTTTCTGAAGAGAAATGACCACGAAAAGAGCTAAAGGGGTGTGAAGATGACGATAAATCTCAGGTTATCGGAGTGATCCGAAGGTAAAGATTACGTCAAACTTCTGCCGGAAGTGATTTCCGGCTAGAAAGATCAGGGCTTTCTGGGATTATCTCAAAGACCAAGGATAAGATCGAAGAGAAAAGATATGAGAATATCTCAAGATGAAGAGAAGAACTTCACTCTGTTTCTGCTGTGAAAAGATGATGAGAAGAACTTTAGAATCATGTGACTTGTGATTAAGGAATCTCTCTGAAAATGAGAAGGTCATCCAGGAAAGGAACTTATCCTTGTGATCAAGAATCGTCCTCCTTTTATAGCTCCGAAGTAGATCGCAACCTCCTCCGCGTATCTCGTCCACGTGCAACTACCGATCCCGCTATTTCCGGATCTGAACGTCAAAGCGAGATTCTCGTTTGACCGTTCAAACTCAGCTTGCGGACTTGACTCCGTCGAGCTAGAGCTCGACTTCGTCTTCACAAGTAGCTCGGACAGTAAACAGCTGGATTTTGGACAAGGATATTTGGTGGGCTCGAGGTCATTTTACTGGGCCTGAGTGGACTTATCTTGACCTTAGGACTTAGGTGATGGGCCTTATGGGCCGGATTTCTGGAGAGAAATCCAGGTCCAAGAGATAAACGTATTTGTTTAGTGCATGTTAGATAATTTATAAAGATAAACAAATGTTGTACAAAAAGGATAATTGATAAAGAAATAAAATTATAAAAACTGGGGTCTAATATACCCGTATAAAACACACAAATAATTCTATCACCAACATTATTTATGTGTTTTACGTAATATTGATTTAATATGTCTTCTTAGAAAAAAACAAAATAAAGCAAAATGTAATTAAAACTTAAGCAAAATATAAGTAAAATATAATAAAATAAATTAAAATATCAAATGCAAATAAGTCTCGTCAGCCATCACAAACAATTTAACTCCACCAACACTTATATATGCTGATTTACTTTCTGGAATATTGCCAACTTACCGATGTATTTTTGAAATCGCTTTTCTCCTTTTTTGATAAAATGTGTAAACATTCTGAAAACATCACCAACTATTATTGTTCACTTGTTTTAACGACAGAAGAACTTATCTTTTTTACAAAAAAAAAAAAGAAAAAGAAAAATACATGTGTCATCTGTGGGATAATGCGTTTTTGTGAATGAATAGGCAATAGCTCTCCCGTAAGCCCATTAAGATTCTAAATATGAGGCCCTTAAAAATAAAAGGTGCTCGATCAAGGCTTTATTTCTTTTTAATTTTAATACCCTGTAAATTAGAATCGGATACCCTTTTACACTGTCAATATATAAACGACGTACAATTCTCAAACTTAAACATCATGGTTTTGTTCATAAATTATTTGGTATGACTAATTATAAAACACTGAGTAGTTTGATTTGTTACCTAATTTCAAACTATATAATAGGAATTTTGATTGTTGGTTGTTAAATCGATTATTTGAATCATTGTTTTAATGATATTTACCTATACCAATGACCAAAATGTTTATTTGATCGAACTGAAAAACCAAGACAATCAAAATGTTTTATCCTGCCCTTTACTAGGTTGGGCGAGTCTCACGATTCTCGATTTCGGAATAAGAAAGCTTGCTTATATTCATACTCTAATGCTCTAATGCGATTTCTGATGCTGTTTATAAACTCGAATACGGATTAAGTAAAGGTTTTACTTTCGCTTGATAATAAGAAAAAGGTTTGTACTTCCATTTCATCTAGTTGAATGCTATTGGCTATTGCTATATATGTAAATGGAAGATATTGTTTTATGAGAGATTTTCTGTGTAGTTCAGAAGAAAACAAATGAGAGAATAAAAAACAATGAGGCCAATTAATGGTAAATAGCATGGTTGCATGCGGCAAGGCTATTGTAGCCGTATACGGCAAGGCTATTGTAGCCGTATAGGTCTATTATATTAACTGTTTCTGATTTTCAGATATGAAAAAGGAAAATCTCTTCTTTCCCATTTTCATCATAGGCATAGGTAAATAACATAAAATGTTACTGCGACTGATATTAATCATGTAATTTAATATTTACAACCTCACTGTCTTTTTTCATCATCTTTTGATATATATTGTACGGTTTTAGGTGGGCGTACATTTGTATACACATAACCTAGCTCCTACTAGACTTGTAGTCCTAGCTTCAGTAGAAGCAGAAAGATACAAAATTTTGAGTTACATCAATAAATATTTTTACTCACTATAACAACAACTCGGTCATATTTACTTTAAACTTTAACTCAAATATAAAATATCTAAATGGGTACAATATTTGCTATCATCATCGACTAAAACTACAAGTTAAGATCAAGTCCCACGTGAGTCGTGACTACATATAACATATATAAGCTTTTACACAAGTTTCCAATAAGAGGCTTTCATTAATAATTTAGGTAAATAAAGACATTCAAACGATTAAACAAAAGAAATAAGAGAACGATAAATGAATTAATCAAATGAATAAGGTAGCGATGAAAAGAACATGCATGTAATAATGCAAAATGAGAAAACAAATGTTAAGGCAGCAACTTTAAACATTCTTCTGTTTCTTGGACTGCACGACGGTCCAGAGTGTCTTTCTCTCACTCTCTTTTTCTTTGTCTTAACCGTGACTTGTTCACATCTTCCGTTCGTGCTTCAAGTTTTTAGCTTTCTATTTTCTTTCTTTTTTTTGTTATAGTTTCTATGTTCTTTATTTTTCATTGAAATGTTATTTCTATAGTCTTTTTTTTGTGAAAAGAGTTACTAATATCTATTGTCACAACCATTTATTCATTTTGTTGATTCTCCGAATCTTTTTTACTCATAAACTAGCTAGGTTAGGAGTTAGTGTAACGCAATTATATTAATAAAAAACATTAAAAACAGTAAATATATATATGGAATCATTCTGAATACCTCATCCTTGACGATACTAATATAAGAAAAACTAAACATATGGTTTTTGTTACTACCGACTAATCTATGAAGTTACTCGATACAACGACTAGTATAACTGTGTCCTGTGATTGTGATTCAGCCATCTCATATTTCAACTAGATATGTAAATTTTTATTATTTCATTGTTAATAATTATCTGTCGAAATCCAAAATGTTCTCAAGAGCGGGAAAAGTCGATTTTTTTCTCATCTATATAAGCTGTTTCAATGGCTATTGTAGACTCGCATTGAATGGACTCGTTCTTTTTGCATTTTGAACGCAAAATATAATAATCTACGGATTAAGAATCTTTAGAAAATCCGTGGCAAAAATCAACATGATCAACCGAGGTAACATGAAAAGAAAATAGTATGTTGCAAAAAGACAAAATGATTGTGGCTAGTAGCCAAATTCATAGCCATTGTGGCTAGTCCAAATGTTTTTTTTGCTGGTTTTAGGCTAGTGCAAAAGTTGTGATTCAGCCATCTCATATTTCAACTAGATATGTAAATTTTTATTATTTCATTGTTAATAATTATCTGTCGAAATCCAAAATGTTCTCAAGAGCGGGAAAAGTCGATTTTTTTCTCATCTATATAAGCTGTTTCAATGGCTATTGTAGACTCGCATTGAATGGACTCGTTCTTTTTGCATTTTGAACGCAAAATATAATAATCTACGGATTAAGAATCTTTAGAAAATCCGTGGCAAAAATCAACATGATCAACCGAGGTAACATGAAAAGAAAATAGTATGTTGCAAAAAGACAAAATGATTGTGGCTAGTAGCCAAATTCATAGCCATTGTGGCTAGTCCAAATGTTTTTTTTGCTGGTTTTAGGCTAGTGCAAAAGTTAGGGCTAATGTATGGATATATAGGCATTATTCGATAAAATATTAAACATTTTCTATGCATGTATCTATGAATTAACCACTAAATGGCCACAAAATATGTTTTCTTGTTTGTGGCTAAGTAGTTGTTAAATACCTTGAAGCTACGCTACATAAGCTGCTGTAACCAGTTTTCTTGAGGTGACAAGATTTTTTAAATATTGAGAATTTTATTTTATATAGCATAATACTTGATGTCGATTCAAATATTATATTTCAATCTTCACTCACAGTCACAGTCTCAAGCATTTCAACATGCCAATCTAAAAGAGTAATAGGTGCCTTGTTATACGACACTGCCATGGAACTATTCACAGCTCTTTTATCCAACATTTTAGTATCAACTTATATTCTTTGGTCAACATACTTTTGAGTTGACATCACCCGAGAGAATAAAAACATGAAAACAAACGGTATAATAATAAAATAATTTCATAAGTAGGATCGGCCGAAGCTACATAAGAAAATGTCCAATCAGGTCGGGCTACTGATAGACCGGTTTGCGTTAACTATATATAGCGAGACAAATATTTAAAATTTGGGGGCTAATTAATGTGATTCCTTCCATCTCAAATCACATCCAAGTTTATTACTTTGATTATCTAAATAAGTTTAGTGTAGGAAAATAAAATCAGTCAGAAATTTGAAAAATCAATTAGGTATAACATATTGATGATATGAAGAAAAAACAATGCAGAATGTAGTGATATATAGTAGATGAATAAGTTAGAAAACTTGACTGAATAGAAAAAATTGTGTAGTTAACTAAATTATGCCGTTCTATGAGTTATTAATAGATCAATGTTATGTTACATGCAAAATTCATAAAATATCTGAGATTGTAAGATTTCAATCCACATGGCGAACTACTTCGCATTTACAACATATAATGACCATAACTAAAAGATTTACATATATAGTACGTACGTCTGGACCTGGTATATAAGCTTAATTAATGTCCATATATATCTACATGTGCAATTGTGCATGTATAACAGCGTATATATCTGCGTACATACATATGTACGTAGATAATGGTTCGCACCCATCACACGTTGCTTCGTACCGCAAAGACCCATCTCTGTTGTTTCCTTGACTTACATATGCTTCTTCAAATATGCGTCCGTACGAATAAACAGTGCTAGCTAACTCATGCATGACATCACAAAACCAATAGAAACATGTTACATCGAGGCTTGGCATAATTCCTGTTTGGCAAATCACCTATCTCTCTCTATATATGTATATATATATGATTCTCTTTGTAGTTATAGTTTAGGTGTATAATGGTCAGAATATATAAGAAGAAACGATAGATATGCTCGACGCCATTGCCTCTCCAGTGTAAGCATATTATATCCCTCTGGCCACATATAAAATGTCTTAGCTACATGCATATTTTCTTATTAATTTACTCATGTAATTTCTAGAAAGATATTTTCTTATTAATGATTTCCTTGAGGGTTTGCAAAAGATCCCTTCTTTTTGTCAATTGCAAAAAGGTTAAAATTTTGCAAAATTACTTTCGAGTTGTATTTTGTATAGTGGCATTGTCTTAATTGTGCAACGGACCAAAAGTTCTAATATATGCTAATACGATTTTTTTTTTTTAACATAACACTGTAGACAAAAAAATCATAAATTACTTTTTGTTATAATTTTTCTACAACGCAATAATATACTACCACTTTTCGAGAGTAAAAGATCAGTTAGCAGATTATGGAGGGCAAATAATTTGATGGCATGTAGATGGGCGTAAATGTGGATCAGTGTATGAAACAATGAAGTTTTTTTATTCAATAACCAAAACAACGAGTCTGGTAAAATTTACAGAAACAAAAATTATAAAATGAAAAAAAATTTGGTTGAACGATACTGGCATTTTAAAGGTTAAATAAAGGAAATGGTTCGACCAATAAAAATAAAGAAAATGGAAGTAGTAGTTGATAGTAACTAGAGTGAAACAGAAAATGCAAAGGCAAAGCTTTACTAGTTAGGGGAATTCAGCTGGCATCTAACGGTCTCCACCTGGATCTAGTTACTTCCTGCTTACACATTTTTAACTATATATAATAAAATGTCATGTGTATTTGGAACATCCTTTTTAATTTTGGTTTTGAACAAACCAATCACCAAAACCCACAAACCAATTCCCTCCAATCCCCAATCCTCATAGCCTAGCTTCAGGCCAAAGTAGCTGAGAGTTGTAGATGAGCTCAGATAAAGGCTGTTCTAATCACACTACACATTGTATCATATATTATGAACACAATCTCTTTCTTTCTCTCTCTCTCTCTCTCTCTGACCCATTTGTCCGGTTCCTCTGTCCTCTCGTTGTTCTCTATAATATTATATTGCAAAGTTTTTCTTTTTCCTTATCTTAATCACTTCCCTTGTGTATCCATAAATGGAAACTTTGTTAAACGTTCACCTTTTAATTTTATATCCTATAGTACACGTCCATTATGGTCCCTAGCTCTCATCTACTAACTTGATAACTTTTCTCTTAAATGAATTGGTTTAATATCATTTCGCATCTATGATTCAGTACGATAATTTTTATACTATTATTCCGCACAAAATCCGGCCGAGAATAATTAATTAGTTCCTAATAGACTAATAGTTAATTATTTCAATTAAAATTCGAACAAGTACCAAAATAGAAAAGGGACAGTTGGTGATAAGACATGTAGGATCCATGGCGTTTAGACAATTCAAGATCCAACAAAATCACAAAATAAGAGAACAAGAAAGAAAAAAAGAAAAAGAAAAGAAAAGCTGAGAAAATACGTTAAAAATTCAGAGCGAGTGATGATCTTGAAACCGGTTAAAGGGCAACCGGAGAGAGTGATCCAAACGCGGCCGTGGACCGTCACCATCACGAACTTGAGGCGGTTCCAACGGTGGTGCAAGAACGCTGCCGGAGCCACGGCTAGGGAAACCGGTCTGACCAACGGGTGCACCAACGCAAGTGTAGTTCGGTTCCACGGGACTATCCGCCATGTAATTAACGGTTGTGGTGGTAGGGAGATTAGGGTTTGGAGAGAGGCTTCTGCTGCTTCGATAGGATTGGCTTAAGTAATAGTCGTTGATGTGATTGTGAGGAGAGTATTGGTTTGAAGGGTATGGATATGGCGGCATAGGCGGTGGTTGTGGAACCATGTTTGTTGAGGAGCTTCCGGTATATAGCATTGGTGATGAGTAAACCGACCGGTACATAGTTGGATCTGCGGTATGATGATAGCTGCCAATAATTCGGATTGATATTACCTCATAAATACATATTATAACGATCATTATAACAAGCAACATTTAGTAACTTTTGTTTAATTATTTGAAGTTTTTTTTGTGTGAAGAGAGTGTACCCGAAAGGCGCAATTCCAGGTGGGGTTAAGGTATCGTTACGGTAAACCAATTGACGAGCTTGATTCAATGTCTCGGTCTCCCTCTCTTTAAGATTGAACAACAACAAGAAAAAGGACATCAAACTAAGTCTTAAATGCAAATTAGCTACTATCTACTGGTATAAAGTTGTAGTCAAAGCATGGATGTGACATCAATCATTTATTCAAAGACAAAAAGATTTATGAAAATTGGGTTTATTTGCACGAACTAAAATGTGTGAATATGAAATGAGGATTATGTGAAAGTTAAATAGACATGCCTTGTCGGTGGCGATTCATGTGGCCACCAAGAGCTTGGGATTTGCAGAACTTGAGTGAACAAAAACGACATTCGTACACCTTCCCACTCTCATCTTTCCCTTCTTTTCCTTTCTTCTTTCTTTGACCTAATCACCAACAAACAATTACAATATATTTATTATCGTTAACAGTTTAGTTATTTCATCTATAAGCATATATCTACACGACTAAACCATTAACTAGAAGAATTAGGGTTTTTCAAGATATGCATACCAGAGGAAGAGCCTCCTTCCTCCGGGGCTTGCTTATTTCCATCTCTAGAAATATCTTCTGGTAGATTGTTGAGGTCTAAGTAATTCTCCTCATGCCTCCTGCCCATATTTTCAATACAGACATATAAGTGTGAGTTCAAAAACTGAGAAAAATCGGAAGATATAATTAGGAAAATAGGTTTGAGTTTTGTGGGACATATACATAGTGGGAAATGAGAGATTGGCGTGAGAAAAGACTACTCTCGAAGAGCTATAATAATTGAGAATATATATTAGAGGACTTTCAGTTAGAGGCTGCACCACACAAGGAAGAGAAAAACGTAGAGATAGAGTAGTAAAAGTTAAAGAAGAGAGGTTCGAAGTTTTCTATCAGTTTATCTGCCACAAACCCTCCACTCTCTCTCTCTCTCTCTCTCTCTCTCTCTCTCTCTCTCTCTCTCTCTCTCTCTCTCTCTCTGCGTGTGGAAACTAAGTGATAAACAAAGTGGGTCTCGTGACCTTAAAAATATAGAGGTGGGTGTGGGTTTAAGTGGTTTTAATTTATAATTAAACCAGAGAGAAAGTGTTTGTGTGTGTGTGTGTGTGTGTGTGTGTGTGCATGTATGTGTGTGTGTGTGTGATGAAAGAGAGAGATGAGAGGGACATTTCCTGAGTGAAAGGAGATGCTAGGGCTACTACCCTAGAACCCTATTACTGTGCAATTAATTCATGTTAAAAAAGACAAATTCTTAATATGTTAACAACTGTTTAAAAAATCAATGAGTTTTGGACCTTTTGTGTCAAAAATTCAAAATAGATTATATATTTCTCCTTTCAACTCGTTAAGTCAATCGCATTCCAGAGAACAAAAAACAAAAGAATCGCATTCATAAAATTGTTTTTTTCTATGTTTTTGGATAACCAACAAGTTATAAACCTGTCGATAATATCATTGACTCAGAAAGCGAAGTAAGGTTAATTAGTCTCTGCCAACAATTTGACAATGTTATTATGATTTGAATATATCAACCTCAAGATTACACGAGTGGAAGGAAATGTTTAAGTGTAAGCTGCACTTGTTAATGAAAGGTTGATTAATTCAAGATAAAGGCGTCTTAAAAGAAACAAGAGTAGTACTTTGTCAACAATGAAATAAATGTGGAAAGACACATCTAGCGAATCATTGTCTCTTGATAAAGAATCTTTCATGAATAGTTTGCAGCTTCAAGATGGTCCTTGATGGAGTTGTGATCCTCACTTAAACACACAGAGGAAAGAACAAGTAACTAAAAGAGAATAGATTTTATACTTTTAAGGACAATCCGAGACATAGCTAGTTCTATGGTCCTGCTGCTTTGAACATTACGTTTTGAGAAGTTTTCCAATAAATATTTGTATATAAATGTGGAGAAATTGTTAGCTAGTAATGGTCCCCCATTTATAGATGTAATGTAATGGCAATAGGCCTCTCCTGGGGCATCCACATCAATATTTTTCTTACAAATTGTTTTTTGTACCCTAGGGTTTTGCAAATGCGACATGCAAGTGTTGCTATCACATAACTAATTATTAGGTCCTTTGTGATCTAAGTTGGATATGCATGTCTTGTTTATATATCCCTACCTCCCCATTGCTTGTTTTTATCCTCAGTTTACTTTTTTAATTTTGTCGTTAATTATACCAATCAATGTAACTCAATCAAAGTAACACATTAGAATGCTATGATGGTCCCTCCATACCAAACGCTATTTATATTGTAGACAAATCTTACAGAGTTATCTTAAGATTCATGTCAGATCTATAATATAACACTGTCCTCATTCAAAATATTTTCGAATTATTATCAGTTCGTTTATATTATTAACCTTGTTACCGATCTATAACATTTTTAAAAAATATAGATATATTATTATGGAGCTGAAACTTTACATGGGTGTTTTAGAAAGTAATAAAAGGATCGATGTTTAAGATTGGAGCAAAATGATTCAACGATAACTAATAAACAAAAACAAAAACAAAAATGATTCAAAGAGACTGAAACGACACTTGCTATAAACATGGGTGTCAAATGAATTTTGACTGTGTAAAAAGAAAGTTCAAGGAGAATGTAACTATTTTTTACGTGTGTGACCGTTTGATTGATGTTGTTGCATGGAAATGCGATCTAGCACCAAAAAGAACTTGATAATATGTAAGACTTTATTTTGTAGAAAAGAAGTGAAGGATTGAAGTAAATTAGTCGCTGATTAATAGACATTTTCTCTACTTGCACTGATCAATGATCATGATGAAGAACATCTAGATTCATACTATTTCACAGTCACGGAAGAGTGCGAGTCACGTGCCAAGTGGCATGAAGGTCAATACTTAAAAAAACTCGAGAAAGGTATGCTCCTGCTCGTGCCGACCTACACAAAATAAAAAAGAATATATGCCAAAAAAAGTCAAGCCTAACACACCGTTATTTCACGGCGTTGAGAGCCTAAACCAAAGCGAAGCCCAATGATAGTCGACACTAGCTACCAATTTTGAACATTTGGTCTGGAAAGTGCAACAAACATAATGTCAAAATTTAGACTGATCTCCAAAACTGATGAAAACTGGAATATTGTTTAAAATGTTCAAATTGACAAAAGAAAAGTACAGTATGAATGTATGATGATATATGTTCCATGGCCTTAATTCATATAAAGAGATATCTACCATTGAACAACACCGTTAGACCATGCCAATTTGAATTACTTTTATCTTTTGGCATATTTACTGTGAATCTGATAATACCATCTTTGTACTTAATTAACTTGTATTAATCATTAGATATACAACCATAATAAGAAAAGGTTTTGTTGCCAGTGTATGTGTAAATCCAACAAAATGAAGCAAAAAATTCAAATGATCTCTTTATATATATATTTTTTTTAAACAGATGATATCATTGTTTCTCTTTAAATCAAATTCAGCACCATCATATATAGTTGTTTTACTTTTTTCAAAATTTAAATTAAATTTTCTCAACACTTCATTTCATTTTCTTTTTTTTTTTTGTAAAAGAATTGTTTTCATTTCATTTTCTTAATATAAGTAAATATCCATTTTTTCGTTTGCCAGCAAAGAGATAAATTTATTAAACAGTGACATGATCTACAACTTCTTTTGTTAGGTTAAAATGATAAGTACTTCCTGCAGCATCCAATATATAAGAAAACAATGAATCATAGGCGTAAACAATGCACGAAATAAAGAGTACAAATTCGAGCCAGGGACTCATTAATTAAAGTGGTTAATGATTTGCATAGTAATGAGTGTTGGAAACGAAACAAAACAACAAAAGAAAGGTAGGAGAGTGATGAGGAAAGAGAGAGAGAGAGAGAGAGAGAGGGATCAGGTGAGAGAAGGACCACACTAGGACTCGAAGACTGTCACGGCTAGTAAGCTAGGACTTGCAATCTCTCCCTCTTCATGTAACATCTGCAACTCTCTTCCGGACAATCATACTTTTTACTTCTTTCTCTTACGTGGTCCTTCCCTTTCTTTTTCACCTTTATATTTTACATTTTTTCGTTTTTTTTTTGGTTTTCCATATATTTTGTAGTGGTTGATATGAAGATTGCACAAATTTGTATAGTAACAAACTCCGAACAATAAGAGCTCAATGAATTTGTGTCGCCCGTGTCATAACATATATGTAACTATGTAAGTTTGTAAACATTTGTAAGTCACTTTTGGTATTAATCTTACCATGAAAACCAAAAAAAAAACTATGTAAGTTTGGCATTGTGCGAAAATGAGTTAACATTACATAAAGTGTAAAATATGTTAAGAAATGTCCATAATGCTTAGCACTAGCATAATATTGTAATACTTGAGTGATCTGAAAGATGAGACGAGAGATCAAACCCTCTAAAGTCTAAATATGATAATCTTTTTTTCTTTTCAATTCCATCGAATTACTCTACCTTCCTTCAGTTGGTTCCATTTCAACTAAACCCACACTCCCTTCTTCTTTGATATGGATCTTTGTTTCTGCCCAACTAACTTTGACAGATTCCACTTGTTGAAAAACTAATTTGCTCACATTTTTCACAATAGCTTACGAATGGTTCAAACACAAACATATTTGGAGTTCTTCAAGATCTTTAATGATCTTGAGTACATATTGACTGGAGATTCAACAATAAATTAACTAGCTTGTTCTTGAGTTCCAAGAAAGATTTATAAAAGAAGAAAAAATTAAAGTTAAGAGCAAAAAAAGACAAATATGTGACGGCTTTAAACATGTAGTCAATAGCAACCTAACTTTCTCTCTTTTCAGTTTCCCCTCGATTTCTCCTTAATTGCAAACATCCCACTCTTTTCTCAACAATATAGAGAAGACTGGAAAAATCTCAGAAACTCAATGAAACATTCAAAGATTGAGTACCAATCTCTTCTCTCCTAAATATTTTTGGCTGAAATCAATTAATTCTGTCCCCATAGAAATTATGAACCTCCACAATGCAAACAACCCTACCAAATATATCAGTGTACAAGGCAAAACTATTGCTAAGCCCGTTTTATTTATTAAGCCATGTCAATGAATAAAAGCCCATATTTTGTGCAGACAATTCCAAACTGAGAAAAGCCCGCTTCAGTTAATTGGCTATATCAATCAGAAAATCACAATAAAAGGCCCATTTCAGCCTTGTTTTCACTTTTCTCAATCCTTTTTTTTTTAATGTGCCATTACTGAAATTAACATTATCTGTATAGAATATATAAAAATGTAGCAATTTGGTGGGGAAAAAAAGTATATGTACGTACGGGTAGCAGGTATTTATGAAAGTCGATATGCTCATCAAGTGGGGGCTTGATACTGTGGGGACAGAGAAATCAAAGGCAATATACGCTGACGATTATTCATTACAAAAAGAGTTATAACCATATTATACTTTTAATCCTTTGTTAATAATAACAACTGGTTGGTCCTAAACAAGTACACTTGACAAGTGCCGCGTCATATGGGGATCGGAATACATAAAGCAATAGCATTTTGTTTTTAATATATTTATAGTATCTAAATAATCGTGTATTTTCGTTTATCTAGTTTAGGTAAATCGCTAAATGGCAAATTCGTAACTAAAAGAAATTTGAGTTTAGGCATTATGTTGTCTATGTATATACTTTATCGAACAAATTTTTGTTAGGATTTTGATACAAAAGTTGTATAATAAGATCCATAGACCATAATAATTTATACTACTAGCTTTTTATTTAGCAAACAATTTCTCATAGAAAAATGTTTTAGAGATTTTCATTTCTATGTGAACGATTCGCGTACAACAAACAAAAAACGTTCACGTCACTTTGTGGTCTGAAAATGATCTACACATATAAAACATAAACATAGGCAAAAAAAAAGAGCAAATCATGTTTAGGTTTGCTCTTTGTAAGTCAAACTCACTTTCATTAATATGAATATTTACGGTTTATCAAAAAAAAAAACATAAACATAGGCAAAAGAGTCCATAATATTCTGGAATTTATTCCTCTTTGTAGGAGCACTTCCCCCAAACGACTATTTTTTTGCAAGAAAACTAAAGAAAAATGCCTACATATTTATTAAAATTTGTGGTTAAGAAAATGTGGTAATTATAAAGTCATAGTCATATGTTTGTAATTTCTTAGGCATGTAAATAGTTTTTTTTTTCTTGTGTGTGTAAAATGTTAAGATGGCATGTATATAGTTGAGACTTGAGTACTTGTATGATCTTCAACAACATAAACTCTTGGTCTTAAAAAACAGCAAACTCAGTACTTATACAACTATTGACTAGTAAATGATGGAACGAAATGATACGAAATGACACAAAAAAGTACGTAATTGAGGTTAGTTACGTCTATCGATTTCTTGGTCGAGGACTATAATTACCTTATTGCTAGCAAAATTAAAAGAATATGAAGAAAATCGTTCGGGTTGATCGCACAAGTAAAAACAGTCTATAAAAAGTAACAACAAATGCGAAAATATCTATAGGATCAAAGAAGGTGTGAAGGCTTGGGTTGTGAAGTAATGTGAACTATGAAGTGTATATAATATAACGGTAGCTTCTAAACGTGGACCCCCAAACGCGAAAATAAACAGCCACGATAACGATTACAGAAACGCCGTACACGTGTCTTATCTTAAATAGAGTACTTTGACGAACTCGCGTGTGATTGAAGCAAGGCATTTTTGGCGTTTGAGGCGGTGAAGTTGGGATATTTTCATCATATGTTCGCCAGTTGATATTTTTTTAATCCCATTAAAAAGGAACATTAAAACTTTAATTATTTGCAGTAGTTTTAAAATGATCGCTTATACCGATGAGATTTCTCACGGGAGCAAGGGGACCGCTAACGTGGGTAGATGATAACAAATTGAAATAATTATGTTAGAGAAAACAAAATATTTTTTATTCATTTCTCTGTGACAGAAAAAATATAAAATAATAATAAGATCTACTGTAAGATGCCTCCCACACTCCGTCCCTTACCTACATCCATTGTTCATAATCGTATAATTAAACATTTTATGAAATTTTTAATTTGCTATAGTTTTAAATGGTTTCAGTGGTGGGACCTGTGAGTGATCGAAAATGCAAAGATAGTGGGAGCTATAGTTTTATAATTTATTCATTCTTACACAAGATCTACTGTTTTAAATATTAAGCGTATTCACATGCCCCAATAATATTGTATGATTTGTTTGCCAAAAAATGCGGTAGTTTGTGACTCAGTATGGTTCTGATAGAGTAATCGATCGACACGTAGCTTCTTAGCTTTTCAGATCCGATAGACATGAAAATTGTGATTGGTCAAATAAATCTTGGTTTATTATCTATAGTTGATTATCTAAGCGACCCAAAATAAACTCGAATATGTATAAGTTTTGAAGATTAGTTTGGATTTCGTTTTGAAGTTCCTTTGATTAAAAAACAGAAAAAGTAGTGCAAAAAATCATAACAAAACAGCTAGAAGAAGTAAGAAAATAGTAACCCGTTTTAGTATTGTTTTCGTAGGATCAATCATATTAGCGATATATTATTACAACGGTAAAATATTCTCAATCTGAACATTAAAAATATTAGCCATATCAATCTGTATACATGGTATAAAATATAAATAAATAACCGTGTTTTCTTTTGGTTAACGATGGTTGTTCATATATGTACACAAATAAATTTATAAATTTTGAATCTGTTAACTAAGATTTTGAATGGAAACGTTACAGTGGAGAAAGAATTATTTCCCGCCTTACACCATTCTTTTCCCATTTTGCCCATTACAGTCTTTCCATTCAAAACCTAGTCTACTTAATTTCCGTAATATGACTTCAACATATTTGTGTTTTTTTCACGTGATTAAATACTATTTAAGCCAATCAAATGAATGTCAAATCAACATAATATTTTATTAATTAGATTTCTTGTAACATCTCAATTCTTAGTAGCCATCGACTTTCGGTAGAATAATGTCAAAATATATATGTAATAGTGAACTACGATATGTCATAAAATGTCTTCAAAAGATAATAGGTTTTGTGCAAATTAACCCTCCAACTAAATTAAATTTGCAAATCAAACCCTGAATTTTATTCTGTGCAAATCAAACCAGTCAAGTCAAAAGTCACCCGCTAAACTGACCATCCCTATATCGTCAACATCATTCTAACATTTACTGTCCAAAAAACTAACGGATATTGAAACGCACCGTTTTGAGATTCGAAAACAGGACAATTTTTGCAATGCTTTACAAAAACTACATGCTGTTTTACTAATTAAAGAAAACAAAAAAGAAATTGAAAAAAAAATCACGTTCTTCTTCCTCTCCCTCTTCTTCTCTTATCTCTCATCTCTCCTATGATTCTCTCCTACTCTAATTTTCTTCTTACCGTTTTCTTTACTATGAAATCATGGGAAAACAAAGATCAGATCCTGCATAATCCAAGAAGAGATTTGATATCGAGAGAAGAAGAATCAGTCACCTAAATTTGCTCTGCAAAACCAGATTAGCACAAACAGGGAACAATCGATCCTAATTAGTGTTGAAAGTGCAGGTTTTATAATGGGTCAAGAGGGATTTCTAAATTCATTAACAAAATAGTAAGTAAATGGAGTTTCGAGAAAGAGATTGACGGTTTGGTGACGCATAAGAGTTTTGAATTCCAATCTTTTGAGGAAGAGATTATAATTGTCATTGAAGAAGAAGAACAAGACAATGTTTGCAGATTTTGCTCCAAACCGATTTTCAACTCAAACCCTAAATTTTGCCCCAATCGATTTTTGCAGAAACAACACAAATTTTCAAAGGCCAAAACGACACGTTTTATGTCAACGTTTGAACTTGACGACAATCACATGGAAAGGTTAATTAGCGGGTGACTTTTGACTTGGCTAGTTTGATTTGCATAGAACAAAATTCAGGGTTTGATTTGCAAATTTAATTTAGTTGAAGGTTTAATTTGCACAAAATCCAAAGATAATCATCGGCAACAGAGGTTTGATGATGAGAACATATGACTTTCAAACGACTTCACCGAGAGGTGTAAATCAATTAGACATTCAACTACAAATATTACTATAAAAGAAAATTCTACAAAATTAGATGAACGATAAATATTTTTAAATTTTTTAATATGCTTACCATGAAAAGAAAATCAAGCGTCCACAAAAAATTTAAATATATGGCTTGTAAATTTTAGGTTGATGGACTTTATAAACTAACAATAATATTTCAGACGCAAAAAAAAAACTAACTGAACAAGTCAGTAAAACAAATCCTAAACCGGACTATGAGGGAAAAACCGGACCTTGCTAAACAAATCCTAAACCGGACTATGAGGGGAAAACCGGACCTTGCTAATTTAAAGTCATAATCCCTTGGAGATATTTTTAAAATATATCCTTTCTATTTTTAACTAAAGAAAATATAATTTAAAAAGTGAAAAACAAAAAAACATAAATTTTAGAGAATTTTATTCAAGGCATATCCACCCAGACCTAGGTCCTCTTGCGGCCAAAGACCTAATCGCATTATACAGTTGATATGTATTTAAAATAATAATATAATCTCGTTAAATTATTATAAAAAAATAAAAATAAAAATAAAATAATCGCATTTCGAAATGCCTGACTGGATTTTTTGTTCAACATATGGCCCTATAAATGAACAAGGGACCGTCTCCATGGCCCGTCTCTCTCTTCTCTCTCTCGCCTAACAAACAACACTTCCACACACTTTCACGCCTTTCATCATCTCTTCTCTACCCAAAATTCTTTTTTCTCTCTCTGATTTTTTTCGGTTTCTTCTCCATAATCAATCTATGTTCTAGCTCTTAATCGCCATAGCTCTTCCTTTCCATAGAAGCTGTACAGTTAAGCTTAAGGTACACCTCCTCTCTCTCTCTCTTCGCTCTGTTCTCTGTTCACTGCCATGGATCGGCGACTCTGTTTCCGATCTTATTACGTTTAGATCTGTAAATTACGATTCGAATTTAGTCTTCTGTTCTAGAGATCCGAATATCTCTTCAGATTTTTTCTCCAGAAAATTGACGGATCTAATCTGATTTTTTTCGAATTTGTTTCTTCTTCGTGGCGGAGACTACTGTTTCTTCATTAGATTACGATGATTTATTACTCAGATCTGATTGATTTTCGGATTTGACTAATTCATTCTCGAATTTCATGGAACAGGTTACAGAAATTTTCCATTAATTTTTTTTTGGTCGAAGAAGATGAATCACTGGGCGGTCCAGCCAAACGCTTTCGCTGCCGGCGGAGATTTGAGGAGCTCCGTCACCGTCGTGGAAAGAGATCAGACTGTCGTTTGCCCAAAACCACGTCGTATCGGTCTCCGTAACCACCCTGCCTTCTACGAACAGCACCATCCTTCTCGCTCTCTGCGTTGTTACTTTAGGTAAATAAAAAAATTACTTTTCACTTTCACTCTTATCATACTTTTGAAATTCGATTTTGACTGAGTTTTTTGAATTGTAATTTGTTAACAGCCACCAAGTGGAGCTATGTGAATCCAAGGCAGAGACTGATATCTTAGACATCATACTTACCAAGGTAAAAAACAAATTTGTTATCTTGTTGTTGATAATTAGGTGTTTTGTGAGTTTTCTTGGTAGGTGAAATTTGTTTATCAAAAACTAGTTACGTCTTGGTAGATCTCATTCAAACAACAAATCAGTAGAAAGTCGGTTTCTCATATTATTTTATTTCTTTATTTACGAATAAAAAAAGGAGTAATCGTGTACGATTCTTGATTAAAGAACATGTGATCTTTGTCGAAAAAAAACTTAATTTGGAATAAGACGTCTCACGTCTCGACTTAAATCCTCACAGCACATCCGTGGGGTCAAGTTTCTGTGACCTTTTCTTCAATCCGTAAAATGATTTAGTAATCAATCATTCACGCGTCATCAAAGCTGTAAACTATTTTTAATTATGTGTATAATCTGATTGAAAGTGATGGTTTTTGGTTTTTTTTTCAGGATGGTTATGGTACGGAGCAAGTTCGTAGTACGCAGGCAATAGACTCGCCGTCCCCGTTTTTATGTGGGTCGCCGCCGAGCAGAGTCGCTAACCCGTTAACACAGGATGCTCGATTCCGAGACGAGATCACACTGCTCTCTTCGCCGGTCCCGGCGCCGCTGGGCCAACCTCCGTCGTCATCTCCTTCTTCTTCCTCGGGGAGGAAAGGAGGATGTGTTGTTAGAGGCAATTTTGGTAACAGCCCAGCGGTTAGGATCGAAGGGTTTGATTGCCTTGACAGGGACAGTAGAAACTGCAGCATCCCTGCCTTGGCTTAGAGAAATATTAAACCAAAACCCCAAAAACAAAGTCCCACACGTATTTTTCTATTGAGTTAACTCACGAGAAACCAAATTAGTGTCGTACATAAATGTGTTGAGGATGTGGAAGATATGTGTGGGATGTTTTGAGGGGAAGTGAGGAAGAGTACGAGAGATCGAATCCTTTGGAGTTTGCTTTCTTTTTTTCTTTTTTTGGGGTTTTTAAGAGTGTAAATAGGTGACGGAGAAAATTTTCTTTTCTGGGTTAAGTTTGTAAGGTCATTTTGTAAGTATTAAGGCAGAAAAAAATGAGTTGTTTTAAGGGAGAAAATAAAAGTTTAGGTTTTGGAGAAATTATACTATGTAAAAAAAGAGAGATGGAGATAGGAAAAAAAAGAAGGGTAATTTGGATATTTTTCTTTTTAGTTTTTTTTTGTTGTTGTTGTGTTGAGTCGGTTACGAAGATGAGAAAAAAAAAGTTGTACAAAAGGAAAGAAATTGAAATGATATTTTTACTTTGAATGAGAATCTATTTACTTATGGAAAGATGTGTGGTTTCTGAGGAAAAGTAGAAGAAGAGATGATGTAATGAATGAAAAAGCTGTGAACTGTGAAGCGCCATGTGTTACAGTAACGTTGGAGGCTTATTCAAAAATATCTGGTTGGTCCAATTATTACTTTTCGGATCTTTACTCCTCTAATAAAGTAATATTGTCGGATTTTCTTCTTGTAATATGATTAAGGAATGTGGAATAATATGCGCACGACTAAATTATAGACTCATTCAATCTACTAAAAGAGGAGTTGTTATTGTAAGTTTGAATTTTTGTGAATAAAAAGCACTTTTGTGAAAATAAAGAATCATTTGTTTACGTAATTATGACTTGAGGTGTTAAACTTAAAAGTAGATAAAAATATGCGTGAATATATTCGTGATAAGATAAAGGTTATTTTTTGCATATAAATAAAATTGAAAGGGAAAAAAAAGAAGAGGCAGAACAAGAAAAGAACATGCGGTCTCTCAGCATCTTCTGCGCTTTTGGTTACAAGAATATCGTCAGATCTGTGAAAGCCTGACACACTGCTACTGCTGACCCATCTCTGTTTTTTTTTTTTTTTGCCTTTTTAATTCTTTTGCATAATAGCATTCTCAAAAGAATTCATTTTGACTTTTATCTAAGTATCTTTTTTTACCAAAATACATTAGGCATTTTAGAACAATTAAAAATACGTTCTCTCTTTTTTTTTTTCATGTGTCAAAAATAATCAAGATCAACCGACCAATTCTTGGTTTTCAGGAGGGAGAAAAATACAAGCTCTGTAAAATCATTTTTTCAGTTATATGCGTTATAGTATTCGTGTAATTACCAATTAACACAAATAACATAAAAAGGTGTTCTTCTGAACTCTTCTTTTGATTCGAATACTCGTTGGGTTGATATCTTCTCCATAGAATTTTGAGTTCTCTTCATCACATGGTAGAGAACTGATATTATGGTTTCTATAAGCAACATTTTGTTTTACTCTCTTGTGTTGTAACCAAAAATTACTACTATTATTTTTCCTTTTCACCGTAAAACAGCTCACCGAATTGCTGAATACACACTGCCAGTTGGTTTTCTTTTACTCTGGTGTAACTTGAATGTTTTATATATATATTTGTTTCTGATTAATTTTGGTTGGTCTCCAACCAAACAAATATATAAACGTCTAAAACTACTATGACAGCACTGACACGAGTGTTTCTGGTTTTCATGTATATACTTTCTAGTTTATACTCGCATGAAACATTGTCTTCGAGTTAAGTAGTCAATGGACCCATAGACGGATTGATTTCCAATATAACAATCATAGGCGGGCGTTTTATTTGGATATAGATCCGATGACTTTCAGAACCTCAATATTGTCTTTGTATCCCAAGGGGAGTACAAGATATTGGTAAATATTGCGGTCAAATAACGTAGGGGGCTGGAAAACAAAGTGAAGGGACCGAGGTGGTTTGTATTAGAAGAGAGCTATCAACGTTTAATGTTTTTGATCTCTTAAATACTAATATCATATCTAATACTATTATATAATATTGTTTTATAGTTTAAAGAATTTAAGTTGACAAAGAAAAGACATGTTGTTTATCAAATAAAAAACACATAGAACTATAGAAGTAGTAATTGTCTCAATAAAAGGTTGAGGCGCGGAAAAGGTAAACTGTGATAGCATGTGGGGCGCCGATAAAATTGACCAAAGGGAAAGAGCAATGAGAAGTTGTTTTAGTTTCGAAAATTGTGTAGCCATTTCTCACATGACATTTGTTCCCCTCTATCTTCCTACTTCTTCTACTTCATTATAATATCTACTTTAAATAATGTTATTAATTGTTAATCAACAAAATGTTAATTAATTGCAGTGTTTTAAAATGGGACCGGTGACTGAACCGGAAATATTTTGAGTCATGGGTTAATATGGTTCGACCGGGTTCGGTGATTTTAAAAAATAATATATATAATTTTATAAATTTTATATATGAATATATATATGTGATATTTAAACAGTATAGAATATATATATATAATTTTAAATATTAAATAAGTTATTTAAAATTTATAATATTTGAAAATATTCTTTAACAAAACATTCTAAAAAAATTGAAATTATAGAAAATTTATTGTTTAATTTAGAAAACCGGTTCAATACGGTTCAATGGGTCACCGGTTTTTGATTTTTTGTTGGTCGAAACCGAGTTTTTACCGGTCTAAATATCTATGGGTTTTAGTATTAACTCAACCCAGAGATACTTCCGGTTCATGGTTGAACCCGATCCGACCACTGGGTCATTCCGGGTTTAAAAACACTGATTAAATGTATCGATACCAAAATTTGTTTGATGTACTGTTTCTCTATATTATTTTTCTAGTGTACTGTTTTTTTTTTTTCTACATGGGCAGGGTCACCATCAACATTAATCTGACAGGATAAGCGTCATATTTTTAGTATATAGAAATGGGCTCTAGAGTCTACATGGGTCACCAGTTACAATTCCAAATTAAGCAATTATCAGATGGCCCATTATAGCTTGGCACCGTTATAGCCTTATAGGCGACTAAATAACGAGTTGGTACTGTTTACAGATTGAGTGAGATGAAAATATGGTTTGGTAACGAAATCATGATAAAGTATTGTATATCATTTAGCAAATCTTTGGGCTTCATGCATAAGCCGGTGGGATAATGGACAGAGAACCGAGAGAAGGTAGGAGTAAGTTTTGTTTTTGTTTTGTAAAAGGATATTCTAGTACGAGTAAATAATGAAGGAAAATTAATGATTTTCACATGACAACGTAGAAGTAAAAACGTATTCACGATGATACCGTGCACGAAAATGATGTTTTGGATAATGTTTGAGATGATAAACTTGTAGGCGGATAATAAAATATTAAGTCGGCATCGGTGATCCAGTTCTGAACATCCAGATACTTTGAATTAATAGGTTAGATGAATATTCTTTTGGATACGTCAAGTAGTCAGATTTCGTTTTACTTCTGTTTACAATATATATACTCTTCTTATGAAATTCATTATATGTTTGACCCCTTTAATTTATCTCTAACGCATGGAATACACCATGTTAATTGCAATGTTAGACATGACTGTCGACATGCGGTGGATATGACTCAAAATCGGATATGTGCCGATTTTTGATACTACTATGTATTTATTTTAAACTTTCACGACGATATGAAAAAGGTAGTTTTATTTGTTTGGTTTAATTCCGGAGAATCATTTTTTTTCTAATGATTCAAAAATGATGTACTCTGATTTTCTTAAATTTTTGATGAAAATATAATTTTTTTCTTTAAAAATTAGATAAATCTAGGTTTTTTGATAGATGGACTCATGGAGATATACAATTCAAATGTAGATGGACTCATGGAGATATACAATTCAAATGGTTTGATAGTTTGGACAAAAGCTCTTAATTTGAATGAACCAAAGCTCAAATAAGTCCAACCAAAAACTTTATCGGCCATGCTTAATTTGTATAATTAAAAATGATTGAACTAACCTTTCCGCAAATCAGAAAACGTGGCGTTGGTGATGGAGACTGACGGAAAGAAGGTCCACTTCCTAGCTACTTGCCCCTTCCGATCCAAAAATAAAAACTTCAACTTGGCCCTTTCCTAATCCTAAATACACATTTTTGTCTCTTTGTTTAAAATTTTCATTTTTCAAACCATTTTTGGGTAGTTACACTCCCACTAGCAAACCACAACCTTCCTTTTTCATATCATCATTATAACATCATTATGAAACACAAACTTTCTTTAAATCATCATTATGAAACAGATTAACTTCACTAGTTCTCTTCACTGTATGTTTTTTTAACTAATCCTTGCGTTTGAAAATTTTGTTTTTCAACATACAGATTTTCATTCCAAGTATATATATTTATATTTTAGATCGTACTCAGTAAACTAATGGGATATATGGAGTAGTTGTAGACTTGTCGACCAATGTGATAATAATTAAATAGAGGTAGTTCCCAATACCGGTCATAGAGATCACAATCACGTGGTCTTACCGACGTTGAAAGACGTTCTAAAAGTGTAAGAGAAAACATACGTAAGACCAGATTAGCTTGTACATAAGTTGCCAAAAGTACTTAATACTAGAGGAGATGGCGTGAAAAGTAGGCGGCAGGCACATAATGTGATGCCGTATTCTTAGAGAAGATGACGTGGCTTATTTCCAACCTAGCCAATAACGCCGTCGACACTCACTTTCGAAATCTCAAGGTCATTGGATTCGATATCAATCAAATGTATTCAAGCAGTTAGCACAAGTGCATTTACTTAGCACTCTATTATGAATCCATATCTATATTAACATAAGATGTAAAATAATAGGGATATTAAAAGTATGATCATTTTATCTTTTTAACCACGCATAACTACAAATAAGTAAGGGCTAGTCTGTTACATGACCACTATAGCCACAAAGATGATGTGGCCAAACCGGTGGCTAGATTACCACACAATAAAAGTGGGCATACATAAAAAACCTTTAACCATATCACCTTCATTTGGGTTTACTTTTTCTCTTTAACATCCTTCGCCGTACTTTATATATTTTATTATATGATTTAAAAATGTATTTCTAGCTAAAAGCATCTCCAAGACAAACTTCATTTGAAGTTTCCAAAACTTTATAGACGAAGTTTGTTGTGTCTTCTCCAATGATAATACCTCAAATTCAACTTCCAAACAATACATTTTAGTCATCAACATTAACTATAATGAATTAAAACAGAAATATTTTATAAAAATAACCATAAAACTTATAAAAGATACTTAAATATTACAAGAATATTATATTATAATATTAAATTACCTAACATAATAAAAACACACACACAATAAACTATAAACTTAATGCTCCTATATATGATTAACTAATTAACGAATTTCGAAGTGAACAAACATTAGAATTTTAAAGGTTTTTATTTACTTTTACTTGTAAACATTTAAAGTATATATCAAATACTAACTAAATATAAAATAGGTAGGACACAAATATAGCTAGGGACTCAACTGCAAAAAAAAATAAAGTTTCATATCTGAAGTTTGGAATAGTGAAATTTCAAATATGAAGTCTCTTTATTCAAAACTTCAAACTTTAAAGTTTTAAAGTTTGGGATGGAGTGAAAAAAACTTCAAATATGAAGATTTAAAATCTGTATTGGAGATGTTCTATGCACCACCTGCTCTTTCCTTTCTTTGTTTTTAATAAAACTAGGTTTGAAGCCCCGCGCAAGCGCGGGGTTGTTTGCGATAGTTTTCTGTTTAGTTTTATCTATACTTGTTGATTTGAATTATGATGGTTTTGTATTAACTTTCATGTTTTTGTTTATATTTTGAGTTAACCCAATCACTAACATTAAAAATATGAACAATTTGTCTTTTATTTTATTTTATTAGGATGTTAACACTCCCACTTTATCTCGAGTTTTCTATTTCTAAAATTTTAGCATGTTATAAATATTATGTTTGTTTACTTCTGTTAGACTATAAACATGCATATGCATTGGACTCAACGTTAAAATTTGTAAGCATAATGTAAAATAGCATTTGGACCCGAAATAAGATGAAAAAAATAATATATATTTTTTTACATATCTACTTTGTTGTGGTAGCATATGAGCCTCATAACCATTGATTATTTTCTATTATGTTAGTTTTGTAAATATTAATTATATTTTGAGACAAACATATCACAATCCTTAAAATTTTCATGTTTTTCACTGCAATTAAATTTACATATAAAAACTCGACTTCTATTTTTTTAAAATAAACTCTAACTCTAATTTCTCATTGGCTTTTTATTATCTTAATTAATTTATATTCAACTTTTTAACTTGTAAACACATTATAACATTTTGAAATAGGATAAATTCTTTTAATAAAAAGGTAAATATATACCATTTCAAGTTACATATATTTTTACTTATATTCAAACTTTTTGATAAATTTTAACATCAAGTTATCACATATTTTATATTAATTAAGTAATTTAGTTGTGTATTTTTCTTAGTTTTATTTATATTTAAAATATAAATATATGCAAAGAAATATGAAAAGTCATGTATTAAATATCTTAAAAACAATTTAATGAATTTTTGTGCTGATGTGGACACTCTATATGGAGAGAGCAACTCCCTAATTATATATAAGATAATAATGCCGCCAAGAAACAAAATAAATAACTAGTACTAATCTAATTGAGTTTCGAGCTGAATTATTCGCTGACTTGTTCATCTCTTGACCTGCCAATTTTGTTTTCATTTGCCGATCAGTTTGATGATCTAACATGTCGACTAAAAATATTTAAGCATGACAAAAAACTATACTGAACCGATTATTCTTTTTGTTAACAATATATCTCTTACATGTTTAGGTTGAGTTTGTTTTTTCTTTTTTTTGGTTCACATTTTGGTTGTCAGAGTGATTTAAACTGTTTTTTTTTAAATCGTATTAGCAGATACTTTTCAATAATTAAATGTTTTGTATATTTTAATCTGTTATAAGTCCCTAGACTGAATCACGTATATTTTTATATTGTATCATTTGAACATCTCGAGATATTTCAGTATAACCAACCACTGCACAAGATATTTGGAGTGGGGAGAAGCAAAAGCAAGACACGTAGAGCAAAAGGAAACAGACAGATGTGTGAGTGTGACGTTAGGCAACTGAGTTATACACGAAAAACCAATGTCGGTAAAACATTTTTTTTTTCTAAAACAAATCTTCACGTCTCTCTCTATCTCCAACTCCCATATGTCCTCTTGCACTAACCACCTCCTTCCTTTAATCTCTTCTTATAAATATCCTCTGGACTTCACTCTTCATCTTTACATCATACCAATCACATCATCATCACCACATCTTTTTATATGAAGAGACAGAGAAAAGACATGGAGGAAGAGGAGGGGAAGAAGGACTCATTGGCTGCAGCAGCCATGGCGGTTGCGGTTGCTGCGGCGGCGGCCTCGGCTGTTGCGGAGGAGGAGAAATGTTGGTGCGACGGAGTGGAGGAGGAGATAACGTGGAGCACTGAGTGGTTGCCTTTTTGGGACGTTGAGTTTGTTGGAAGAAACTATGGTGTCTTGTTTAGTGATGTTGTTTGGGACGATGATATTTGGAACCTCAAGAATAACTCATTAAGTTAAATAAAGATCATACATAACTCATTCCCCATAGTTCTTTCTTTAATTTTTCTTTTTGAAGACAAAATCGGATATATAGTTCTTTTTACATAATCTTCCTATAATCATCCCACCAATGAGTTCATTTGAAATTAATTATCTGGATATACGTGTATCTTTTTCTTTTTCTTTTTCTCACGACATGTATTAGCCTTTTTAAAACCTATGTCCATATCTTAATAATCTTGTTCATTGCATAGAGATACGTCGTTGCCTTGGATTGTATCAAGAGTGAATCCTATCAAATTCCAAAATATTATGCCTCCGAAAAGTATGCCCACATTTAGTTGATCAACATATCCGGTCCCACATACATGAGCAACTGGATTTTGCGTTACGTGTGGTTTGGGTTATTAGCTAGAGTCATACGTTTGTACATCGATCGATGGAAGTAAATGGAGAAATTAAACAAGAAACAAGAGGAGAAGATTAAATATTTGGCTTTAATTAAGACGTGTGGGTATTTAGAAGTTTGGAGGTTTGTAGGCAATGAAACCGATGCACTGGACTTGCGCTGTGGGATACTTTCTTGCATTCCTCAACTTCTTTCAACACTTGAGACGAATCCGTGCATCCGAATAAAGGTAGCTTCCACATTATCCAGTGACTTATTGTGTTCACGGTACACAAACCCTATCCAAAACATTGCCGTTTTAGTTAAAATCTTGTGAGGAAATTAATATGTTGAGAGACTTTTCCAAAATAAAGTAATCTAAATTTGACAAGAACATGTGTCTAAATTTATGTACTGTTTGTGCTATACCATTGCTATGTCACCACCGAATTTAAATCCGTAATACATTTGATAACAAAAATAACAAAAATATGTAGAGCTTATTTCGAATATATAAAACACTTTTTAAGCTACTTTTTATTCAAAGACAAGTTTTTGTTTGTCTTGTTCTTTTTTGAGTTATATGATTGTTTGTATATAAGTGTAACGTTCAAGTTGAGAGAAAAGGAAACAATTTTGGGGCTTTATGCATAAAACAACATAATTTTTAGACCTCGTGCATTTGCATCTTTGGCACACTTTTAAAACTGTCCATCCACCTATATTACGCATTTCACTTTCTACCTTTAACTATGAACCACACGTGCTTGCATTGATCCACTTAACTGGTTAGCTCTCAAACTATATTGTTATCCATTAATATTAGAATGCTTGTAATACCGATATACTAGTGGGACTGTGGGAGTTATATAAGCTCATCATAGGAATCTAGAATTAATGGACCTGCATGCAAAGGACTCTGCCACCGTTACTAGCCAATAAAGTGATATTGTAGTTGTTGTTGCGGGTCACAGAGAAGGTTGTAGTAGACTTAAGGCCGGTGAATGGAGCAACCATATTTTGGCCTGGTTTGTGACCCGGTTCGTTCACGCCTGAAAATGTAGCTGCCGATGATACAATCGATGAAGCCATGATCTCTCGTTCTCTTTAGACCACTATTTGAGCGCGATCAGTTTGAGAGCCAATCACATCCAAATCCTATTTATTTACACATATTCTTTTGGTATTCTTTATATTATAATTTCTTTAAATTATTAGGGTTATCATTTCATATTTTTGTTATACAATTCCGATGGTTTTACTTGAATATGAGATGGAGTAGGCGTCGACGGCCACATGAATCATGATCAGACTTTTAAAAAATTAATGAAGAGCTTTAAGAAGAGTTCTTGGCTCCTCATCGAGCCTTGTAAAAGCCGTTGGACCATATATTTTGTTACGTGGCACAAAAACGTTATCTTATCTCATCTCATCAACTTGTGGAGACGGTAGCCTCTATTAGCCCTTCATTTATCTAGATTCTACTCTAACTTCGTGTGTTGAAGTGAAACAAAAACATACACTGTTCAGTTCAAAATCCAAAATTCTTTGAAATGATCAAGATAAAATAGTTAAACTGATAATTTAACATATGCCAAGAGACTGAGAATCGATTGTTTCCTTTTTATTCTTACAATTTTACTGAAATGTCAGGAATCGAAATTCAGCATTCATATAAGAAAAGTTTTGAATGGTTTTTACAGTCATAAATATGAGGGATTCCCAAGTATATTATTGTATACAGACATGCATATCTTAAGGAATAGTATGCAGTAATTAATGTGGACCTGTCTAACGCTTTCGGATTATAATGCCGACCATATGGCTGTCTCAAATGAGTTTTGATATTAAATTGCTACTTGTCCTCATGTTATAACAGAAAACAAGTTGCAAACTTATAACGGCTCGTACAATCAAAGATTCAAAGTGCAAAGGGCCACTTGTTCGTGTCATATAAAGACATATAATATCCACTTGTAAGACATCAACCTTAATTTTAGGTGTCCAAAGTTTTTCTTTTCTTTTTTGTTTCTTTTGTCAACTAGTTTATTAAACTAAAACACTACAAGCAGGTTAACCTTAAAGAGTGGAAGCAACTTACTCACAGTTTGATGTTAAAACAAAGTCACTAAGAAGCACATAAATTGATTTTGACGAAATTCGTCAACTGTTCACACAAAAAGGGTCACTTTCTTATGAGAATTCAATTCATATACTGTCCACAAAAATTGTCTTCCATCCACAAAAGTCTATTCACATTTGGCATAAGCGTGTATACCTATCAGGCCTGGTTCTTGCCAAGTGTTGAGAGTGCGAGCAAGGACCATATATTTTGGGCCCAGTTTTTTATATTTTGGAGCCCAGGTTTTAGAGATTTCAGATCACTTTAATGTGAATTTACATAGATTTTCGAGCAACTGTAATCAATTTCCACATGATCCAGTGAATGTATGATATGAGCCAGACCGGATACCAGTTCCATCCATAGAATATATGTGCATAGAATTCATATTGTCAAGCAAAAGCTATTCCAAAATTATACCAAAAGCATACCCAGAAAAATACCATTCAGCCAAATTACCTCTATCTTTTTTTCTTGTTACATCAAGATATAAACCAGAATATTGCGTGAAAAGTTGTTCCACAATTTCTTCTTATACATTTTTTTTTTTTGTAAAATGTGAAAATTTTATATCAATTTTTCAGTTTTTGACAGAAATCACAATGGTAACAAAAAGGCAGAAAGACCAAAAAACTACAAGAAAAAACTTGATTACAACAGCAGTATACGAAAGCGGTGACAAGCTAAACACACGCCAAGCCGAGCAGATTCCAGAGTAGAAACACCGATTCCGAACATAGAGCCCCGAACATAGAGCCCGAAAATTTGCATTGTTGCCGAAGTTGCCACGAGCACTCCCATCTAAAGCCAGTCCTCAAAACCTCATCGCTAATAGCTCTTACAGCTTTTTCAAAAACTAACACAAAAACAGAATCGCATCAACACCTTTTCAACTACCAGCAGCAAAGGAGCTTCGAGCAGAGAAAGCCGCCTCTGATTCTCAGGCCAACAAACCACCTCTGACCACCATTCTTCTTATACAGTTAATAATTAATCTATAGGAATGGAATTTGTGAACATGGTTTCTGTTGAAAGCATTGAAGTTCATTTTGTTTCAAGAAAGTCAACAAATTTGATAAATTGGCAATGATAATATATATCCTACTTTTCGGGCGTCAATATATTATAAGTATAGCGCTATTGGTCTGTAAGAATTGAGTAGATAATCAATCACACGTCAGGTTTATCAATCTCCATCACCGAGTGATTTACAGTATGAGTGACTTTTTGAGTTATGTTTACAAAAAGAGGGACTTTTGATCAGAGGTGCACTTATTTTGGATTTTAGTGGCTGGAGGATTTCCATTCTACCCTTAATGAAATTGGAGTAAAAACTTGTTACCATGGTCTATGTTGTACAATTGAAAGCTTGGACGATATTGTTGTACCATTGATATGTGTTTGTACGGTTGAGCTGCGGACAATTGAACGATGAACGCAAGAGGCAAGAGAACAAGAGGCAAGAGACATGAATTTTGATACATATTAAATTCGATTGTACATAATCAATAATCTGATATTCGCTAATATTTGGAGGAGTTTGTTTGTTTAATTATGGACATTTGAAAATGGATAGTTTTTATAGTTTTATGTATAAGAGTTTGGCCCAATTTTGGATCCTCGTAAGTAGAGAGGCAGTTCGATCCCAGTCACCATTTATATTGTTTTCATAATTGGCTTGTAGTCTTGTAGATGATGTAGACATTAATTTAACAGACTACTGACATGGATGAAGGCATGAAGCAGAAGAAGAAAAGATGGAGTTGGCTCGGCCATATATTGATGCTAATGTACACAACATATAATTTGTATCAACGAAAATCAATCCACAATAAAAAACTATCCAAATAATATTATACAACAAAATAGCATCCACGTTATCTGCTGTATTTGAGGATCGTCGACAGATTAAAAATTATGGGAGAACTCGACCAAACTTTTATCCAAGCTGTTTAATTAAACATTTATTAATGAGTCTTTCATCATCCATTTGCTGGGTAATGTCACATGGGTTCGATTAGAGGTGATTTTGGGTTTGGGATTACCTATTGCTTTTGAGATTAGGTATTTTCTGTTCTTAAATGTTTTTCATGGTCAAAGTAAGAGAAGAATTATTTTTAGCATATGGTTCAATAAACAACACTCATAAGCAAATTTAATATTAGAACTCGACAATTGATCGAACACTTGGCATGCATTTTTGTAAATTAAAAAACATCCACATCCAAACTATTCAAAAATTACCAGCGAACATTCTATCCACAGAAAAGCATCCATGGCAAAATACTAAAGTTGATATATGTGACAAGAAGCTTTTCTTACAAGCAGATATGGAGGTAGCAAAAAAATAGATTCCTCAAATGAGCTCGTTCTGAAACTAAATATCACTGTAAACATTAATAAATGCAATTGAAGAGAAAAGTCATTTTGAAATTTGTGTTCTCCATTTTGAAATTAAGTTAGCGATGCAAACAAGAAGGGACAAAAAAAAATCTCGGAAAAGAGAAGAAACACAGAAGAAGAAAAAAAGAATCAAAAAAAAGAAAAAAAAGAATCAAAACAGAAAGTGGATGGAAAAGAAAAAACGAGATTTGGTGAAACCTACAAAAATCAACCCAGCCAAACGAGATTTGGTGAACTGGAGTGAATTGTATCATGGCTGACAAAACGGGGTTTCACAAAAAGGAATGAACGAATTTTCTATGTCGGAGAGGAAGAAGTAAAAAGATGAGAGGTAAAAAAGCATTGAGAAAAATGTGAAAATAAATAAAACAAGGAGAGTTTTGTAAATTCACTTACTGAAAAGTGCACCACTTTCAATAAGTCCCTCAAAGTGTAAAACCAAACTCAAAAAGTTCACCTGAGTGTAATTTTCTCCTCCATCACCTCGTTAGAGTGGATTCGTACGTGGACTATTTAACAAAAACATTTATTATTTACAGAATTATCTTATTAATGACGTAAGAGATGCCAAACTTTTTCTTGTAACTCGTAAGGTTTAAATTAACAAACATTTAAAGAAAAAAATAAATCCAAAAATCAAACTGTAAAATTGTAAATAGGAGAAAATTACACCTAGAGGGACTTTTTGAGTTACTCTTTACACTTTGAGTGACTTTGTGAAAGTGGTGGACTTTGTGAAAGTGGTGGACTTTCACAAAGTAAGTTTACATTGCTGCCCTTTTTTTTCACTTCAACTCTTTCTGTAATTCCCTATTTTCACATTTCACCTTCTCCTTCTTTCCCAACAAACACAGAAACGCCGGTTCGATACTTTTTCGCCGGTGACCTATTTTCCACCACTTCCACTTCCGGTTACATCTTCTCCCGCCGGCGAAAAACAAGCTGATTTCGTACTCTGATTTTGTTGCTCATTCTCGCTTCCACTCTGACAAGAAGATACTCTCGTTGATGTTTTTAATTCAGATCTCGATTTCGAATTTCTCCTCACCAATATGGAAGGTATGTAACTCTTAATTCACCAATCACACTCCAAATTTGTCTTTAGTTTACAGATTAGGATTCACAAATAATATCAAACTCGAAATTGAATTACCCAGATTAGGTTATTACATATTCTCCAACTTCAGATTTCGAAAATCGGTATTCCGCATCTCCAAACCTTTTTACAGAACAAGAACATGATAGAAAAAACTATACTTTGGACAACAACTGGTTGGATGATTCAGCCATACTCGTTGGACGCTTTCGTTTCCACGCTTTTCCTTTACCATGTTCTCTCTGCAAATTTTACTTTGAACAGCATCTCGTTGTACGCTTTTTGTTCCACGCTTTTCTTAACTCCTATTCTTCTCTCTACAGGTTCTACTTCCCAAGCAGGTCCTATTTCCTATCTTGATTACTTGGTACAAACTTTTGATCTTGATTCCTTAATGCTACTGCTTGCTTTCCTTATACTTTTGTGTACCCACTTTGTATTGAAGGTGCTATTAATTTATGATCTTACTGTGAAAAGAAAGCAAGCTAAAATGCATGTACGAAGGAACTATGGAGAGGTGGAGCACTTGATGTCTATGTTGAAAGTTTAGTATTTGAAAAATTTGTTCTAGTTACTACACATGTTTAGCTAGTTTTTTCTCATAGTTTGTATCTTGATCTTATCACCTTTTGTTTATGGGATTGGTTTCAATCGAATTCTCATTTGTTTTTTTTCCTTTCATTGGTTCTCTACTTCTATTGTTGTCTTGATGTCTTAAGTGACCAAATTATATTTGCTTCAAATGACACAAAATTGAGATTGTGGATATCAAACTGAGATTACTCAACTCTCATATATATATATATATACGATGATACGATCCATGGTCAACTCTATCCATGATATATCGTCCATAAACACTTGTCCATCTCACAATGTCCAACTAAACTCTATACATCATAATAGATTTTGTCTTCTTATAATGCTATTGATCTTCGAGCAAGCATTGACTTTAAAGTTAGCTCAACTACGAAATCATATGGACAGATCCAAATGGACTAACTCAACTGGATAGTCTCTATGATAGCAAAGATTGGAACTTCTTGATACAAAAATCTCTGTCATAAAATTGCAGAAGCTGCAGAAATAAAACACAAACTAGTTCCATACATCATTTACAGAGCTTTATAAAGTGAACATAAGACACACGAGTACAAGACATTTTCGTAAATGTGTATCCACAAGGTGAGATTCAGTTTGATATTCACAATCATATTTACAGATTCAGTTTAAGCACAACAACACTTTAACGAGTTATTTTCATAATAACATCGACTCTGCTGGGAAACACACAAAGGCTATTGAAACAAACAACCCAGATTAACCACACTCTTATAAACTCAACGGTAGCAAATAAAGCGTACAATCTTCAACTGTCCAAAACTCAACCGTAGCAAGCAGATCTGAAATATAACAATAATGTCATAATGAAACCGTCCAAACCATCCAATTGTCCAAAAACAGTCAATGTGTCTTCTCACAACAGATCGTTATCCAAACACCTAATCGGGTTGGGAGGTTTTGTCTTCAATTGATCATCATCCAAACAACAAAAACGTCCAGCGGAAAGTCATCCACCAAAAACGTACAGGAAAATCTAAATCGAAAAAGGGGATTTGGGGATAAAAAATAGTCTTCAATGGATTGATTTGGCCATAAATTAGTAGAGGTGCTTAAGTAATTTAAAGATTGCATTAGATTGAGGTTCTTTGGTTCATGATATGTCGTCGGATATTTTATCGACCTTCACCTCAACAAAACAGAGGAGGCGGTAGAACAGAGAGCATTCGTAATATTCCGGCGGTACAGATAGTCAGTTTCCGGCGGTACAACCCGTGTGGGTTCTTATGATTTTCCGTTCGCGAATGGCGGAGGAGAGATAGTTACGACACAGTGAAAAAAAAGCTATTTTCACTCTCTGCTTCATTAAGGGCCAGTTGGTAATCTTCATAGGGCAAAAGTCCACTCCTGACCAAATGTCCCTTTTTTGTAAAGATAAATCTAAAAGTCACCCAGAATGTAATTCACTCTGTAAATAGCCAATAAACATCAAAGGTCCTTTTAACTTAGCATAAAAAACAGTGGGCAAAATGTTGACAGGCGCTTCTTGTTCTTTGTTTTCTTCTTAAAAGCAAAACTATAACGTTTATAAACAAAAAAAGCGTAACAAGAAAATTTAAGTATCAACGCTTTTCAGATTTAGTCTTTATATACTAAAGCACATGCAAAATAATGTGGTAGCAAAAATAGTTATGTACCAATGCTTCTCAAATTTAGTCTTTTCAAAAGCAAATGTGTGTGTGTTTTTTTTTTGGTACGAGCAAATGTGTGTTTGTTTATTAACATGATGATACCACTACAAATAGCTTAGTAAGAAATAAATTAACATAGATATTGGTAAGAAGCTCGAATTTCATGTTATTTATACAAAACACATGCAAAAATCAACATCAACCAACTAAACATTTTAACAAAAAACAAAAAGAAGCTTGCTTAGGATTTCTCCACAACAGCATGTTTTTTTTTTTACCAAAGGCTTATCCACAACATCATGTTTTACAGAGAAAGACGAAGATTAGGAGCTATCTAGAGCTAATTAGACCGTACGAACTAGCGTATATTTCCACGTAAAGTTACGGTCCAATCCGTATAGCCTCCCTAAAATCTGGAGTAGAAAGAGGCTTTGGTGAAAACAAAGGAGCCGATGAATATGAACAGAGGAGTTTTGTCTCGCGTGTAAATCACGTGCCACCTTCTTTGCTTAATACTTTTTGTTTAGAAAAAGTATTAAATTTGTTTATTTTTGTCGGTATCGTCTCTGGGTGGTTCTCGTGCATGTCTCCCACTTTTCATCTCCAAAGTTTTCTCGTATCTCCACACCTCTGGACCTCTGCTAACAGTCAATTACGTAAGTACCCCTCACATTTTGATTAATCTTTGTGTGCTTTAATTTGAATTTCAAAATTGGCTTACGTTACTTGCATTTTGACTCGACAGAAGACGCATTGTCCGGCTTATAGATAAAGGTGAGTGGTAAAAAACCGTGAAAATGTAACCCAACGTTGATATGACGAGGATTGACATACGATGATGTGATGAATACAGAAGTGGGTTTGATTGAGTGAGACGTAATTACGAATATAGAGAAAAGTGAGTGGTAAAATTCGTAATATTGGAATGCATGGAGGGCAAATCCCAAAGAAGGAAAAAAGTTTGAGAGAGAAGAAATTGGCGTTCCCGAAGAAGGAACTCCCCAACTTTTGCCAAAACAAAATGCCAACTTCACTGAAACACACAACCTCCTTTCCCTCATTTCTTGGCCTTTTCTTCTTTCTAAACACAAAACCAGTAAGTAAAAGTGAAAATTTCAAAATAAAATATATAGATCTCTGATTAAAAAATATATTTGTTGTAATGAGAATAAGCATGTACTGCACCAGTTTTTTTCCACCACTTTCTCCAAGAAACGCAAAAGGTTAAAAAAATAAGTACCAACTTACTTTCTGACGCATTAGAGTAACTTCTTCCTTATAAATACAAATTCCTCCACAACCTCCTTGAGTTTTTTCTTGTTACCACACACTTCATAGGTATATAAATGTCACTGATAGGCCTATAATGAGAATCAGCTGCAATGGGTGTAGGGTCCTACGCAAGGGTTGTAACCAAGATTGCACCATAAGACCTTGCCTTCAATGGATCAAATCCGCAGAATCCCAAGCCAATGCCACACTCTTCCTCGCCAAGTTCTATGGCCGAGCTGGTCTCATCAACCTCATCGAATCCGGTCCTGACCATCTTCGTCCCGGTACACACTAAAATCAAACGATTTCCTCTTTACCATTCCATTTAATTATATCTTACAATGTGTTTGGGGATATAAGAGATCTATGAGTTAGTAATAGAATATGAAACAAGGATCTATAAACTTAGATTCTGTTACACAACTTTTACATGCACCATCACTTTTAAGTAGGGTCAATAATTATTTTTCATTTCCCCCGGTTTGATTCCATAACCTTTTTTTTTTTTTTTCTCTAGCTATATTTAGGTCATTGTTGTACGAGGCGTGTGGTCGGATCGTGAACCCTGTCGATGGCTCAGTGGGTTTGATGTGGTCAGGGAACTGGGCCCAGTGCCAAGCAGCCGTTGATGCAGTGCTCAACGGCTTACCCATCACTCACACACCTCTTCCAAGTGAATCCGCATCGCACCAGATAATTCCTCCTCACCGCACTTACGACATACGACACGTCGCGAAAGATCCAACACCCGGCGGCGAGACTTCGGAGACTCTGAGTCTCGCCCCATGTGTCAACGGTAGCAAGAGCAAGACACAAACTGGCCGATTCAAACGGCTCATTGATGAGTCCGTGAACCAACTAGGCGAATGTAGTCATGGCACGTGGCAACTCCAGAGTTCTGGTGTAACGCATGGCTATGGTCAGTTCACGTTGGAGACTGTGGAGAGTCGAAAGGAAGCTCCATTAAATCAAAGTTCGAATCTTGGGTTTGATGTTCAAGTCGATATCAACGAGGCTGGCTTAGAGCTCAGACTTGGTTAGAATCTTTGATAAGGAGAAAAAAGAATAGATAGCATCAATTACTATCGTAACTGTCCTTTTCAATTAATAATTTCACTTTCTATTTAAAAGGAGAACAAAAGAAAAGCAAATGAAACTTGGTCTACTGGCTTATGTAAAAGTTTATGGTGTTGAAATAATAAATTTATCTCGATGAAAAATATGAAAAATATAAATGAAATAACAGTAAAAAAATGATTTTGCCATGAGATTGTAAGGAAATAGAAGGTAAACAATAGTACATGCCAATGAAATAGGCAAAAAAACGAACTTAGATGGAATTATTCGGTTCCGGCTGAGTGGGCCATTTTGATTACTATGAGTCTATGACCACTTTTGTTAGTATTATGAAAAAAAATATGATGTTTCAAATTAACGCAGTAAAAATTTCCAACTTATGTTAATTCATTATACAAATGTATCACATCATGTTTTTAGTGAAATTTGAGATGACAAAAAAAACACACCTTGGGGATTCTTGATTGGTGCCGAGCTAAACTATAGTCCAAAGTCATATTTCTTTTTCAATTGAATATTATATTTATAAGAGTGAAGTCACGAAATTAAACCAATATATATTTTCTTTTGAAAATTCTCAAGATATTAATTTAAAAATAATAAGAACGAAAGTTATTGATGTGGGAGCATTTTAAGTTAAGTGTTTTTTCATGGTATATATATTGAAAATATTAAGATAACCTTAAAGCTATTAATTTTTGCAATTGTAGTAAATGTCGTTGCTATAATATTTACTTGAATCTCTAAGCGGAATGTGTTGTTTAGCTTAGACAAATTTTATAGCAAATACATGTGTACTTTGGACTAAGCAAGTCATTTATCACAATTGTTTATTTAGCTTAAATATTATGTATCCTACCAACTCAAATGCCTTTGCATACAGCCGACACGTCTTTCATTAAGAAGGATACCCTTAGTTCAGTTATCTTAAGCTGCTTTTTATATGGAATGTAAAATTCTTTTAAAGCTAAAAAAGCCATTGTTTACATAAAGTGTATCATTTTAATTCAAAGTTTCGAAAAAGATAGAAGTGGAAATGGCAAATTTCTTGTTGCGAACCAAGTTTTGGAAAGTTGCTTCATACTCATTAATCTATCTGACATTTAGAAATACATTTGGGACAATCCATATGTTTATTTCGGCTACCATCAATAAACGTAGATAGTCACATTTTTGGTGATATATATAATTATATATATGTACATATACGTAGCTCACAAAGCGTGCAAAAATTTCTAACAATGCAGAAAAATAAAGCTAGCAATCACCAAATATTAGCAACTAAGAAGTGAGAAGAGTTCACAGTGAACATCCATAATTAATCAAGATCTTCTTTAGTACTGAGCAGCAGCAACTGAAGATCTCTTCACGAACCTTCCTTTCATCCGAGGCCTTTTCTCAGCATTCAGTTTACGTACCTCGTACCTTATCCTCTTGGAGAACAACCTTGTCCTCCTTTTCTCTCGGTATCTTGAAACCCTAGCTTCTCTTCCTCCATCCCCAGCCTGTAATCCTAAGCTGCGGTAGTGGTTGTGATGATAAGCCTCTGCTCCACTTTCACCCTAAAATAAAAACAAGTCACATATATATTGATTAGATTGACCAAGAACTATCCAGTTGTATGATAAATTTACTGAATATTAGATAGAACAAGGCAAGGCTTGGTTGACAAACCGTGGAACCGGTTGGGCAAGAGAGCATGTCTAGATCTATTTGAGGTGGCTTGAGGGTGGTCCATGGGGTTCCTTGGCCTCCCCAAGTGGAAATCACTGCTTCATAGTCCAATCCAAGCATAAGAGTCTTCTCCATCTTCACTTCCTTAATCCCAGCACTCATCTCATTCACTCCCACGTCCATCATATTCTTAATCACATCTTCTTCTTCGAAGCATATTTCAAACGGAGAAGTCTCACCAGCGTCATCAAGATCACTCACCTCTCTTGTCACGACTTGTTCCTCTTCCTCCATCTCTTCTTTTTCAATCTTTAACATCTCACCTAACCCTAGCTCTTCCATGGCATGGAACTCTCGCTCTATCCCTCCACCGAGGAGAGTCTCCACGTCAGCTGTGAATTGAGCCAGTTCCATGTCGGTGGGGAATAAACCATTTAGACAACTCTCAGCGTTGTCATCTTCTTCATCACTACTCTTGAAACACACGGGCAGCATCGGAAACTCGATCTTTGTCTCTACGGATTCGTTTAAGCATTGCTCCTCATCAACCATCTGGTTCATCACCGGAACCTGAAAGATGAGCTCTTCTTCCACCTCGTAGGTCTGATCCTCTGAGCTCATCTCGGGCACAAGATCATGGTAAACCGTAGAGTGACTCTTCTTGCCTCCACGTGGGGTCCGAGCTTTACGTGTAAAGCCCTGATGCCATGTGGGTGAGTGCGGTGGTGAGGAGGAGGCAGAGGCATGGCGATGCGTTCCGGCACTAGCGGTTTTCAAACGAACCCTCTCGTGCCTACGAGCAAGAGGGTTCGCTGAGTGGACCGAACCGTCACAAGAATGGCAAAGGAAAGCATCGTCAGCTGCGCAATACCAACGTGCACGCCTCTTCACGCAGCTGTCGCATGCCCTCGCCGTCTTTCCTCCGACCGCATTAGCCAAACTTTTCAACATGTTATAACTCTATATACGTATCACCATCAACGAGAAGAAACCTTACTTTGAGTAAGAACAAGTTGCTAAGTCTCAGTTGCAAAAAGAATGTTTATGGAACTTTGGGCTCTGTCTTCTCCAAAGGTTTCAGTTATCGAGAAGTGGCTATAAAAAGGGAGACTACATTTTTGTTTTTATGAGGCCATGAGGGGTTAAGTTTAGAGGTCTTGTAGTCTTGTACATGTCCCACACGATGTGAACTTTTTTTTTTTTTGAATTGGGACAGTGATAAAAGTTAATTTCTTTTGCACTTTTTGGTTGTTTATGCTACACATGAGGGCCATGAAGAGGTCTTATCTCGATTCTGATTGGTCAAGTTCTTCAAGATGATCCTCTTCTTAGTGTTTTGATTGGTCAGCTTCTTAATCAGATGGATATCTTTATGGTCCACTTGTCACTTTCGCTGCCCAATCACTCCTTTTATTTAGGATTTCGTTGTTATAATTCGTTATTTTCCATGGAAAAGTTGGATAGTGTTGAATCGTTCTTGTGATTTTACAGAAAACGAGGTTTTGATTGGTTGTGTCGATATATGTTCAGAGTAATCGGTATGACATGACATTTATTATGGTTTTGATATATCTACATCTTTATTTTTCTACATGTTCATCTTAATTAAAATTTTAGAGACAACGCAATAATAGTATGCATATTTTGATGTGTATGAAAACCAATTTGAGGCCTTTCTTGTATGTTGTAGTTCGGACTTTGAGGCCATAAGCAATCATCGTTTAATATATTGAAGTAATATCTAGATATTGTTGTACGAGAAAACTGTAAAGAGTAGAGAAAAATGTAAAGTGCATTATTTAGATTTAGATATTCCTAAAAACATTGGATTAAAAGATAAATAAATTACAAAATGGATAACTATCAACTATGGTTTGTGCTGGACCACATCAATATGCAGAAAACATCAAAAACAAAGGCATCAACCTTTTGTTGAGAAGATAAGAGGATCGATGACAACATGTACAACTCCTGGCTTTATTCGTTTACTTGGAAAATGATGTTTCTATGGTTTGTACCATTTATACGAACTAACCTTTCGGTGTTTGATTATTGATTAAATTAGATAAGAGATCATTAAACCTTAAACTCTTACCCTGTCTAGAAACCATGCATATATGTTGATCTCTTCAAATAGAAACTATAGTTTAATAGTTTGCCAAAATATAAGTGGATAAAAAGAACATTGAGTCAGCATCTTACATGTTATGTTGTCCTGTAACTATCCGTCATTACTCTATTAACTTTACGTCTAGGACTTCTACTTAAGCATGTATACCTTAGTTCCACTAAACAAAGTGTGATCAGGCTTATCTTTCAGAACTCGACTCAACTTGATTCCAGACCCAAATACCGAACAATCCTGACACCACTATCGAATCCGATCTCGTAAGTAGAGTATGCGACCTTGCTAATTATGTGATTACTGATCGTTATGGTAACGCAGTTAGAGGAAAGATGTTGATTGGTTTCCATGATTTGTATCACGTATTTTGGACTAAATATTTCTAGCTGCATGATGGATAACAAAAACTCGTAGAGCCATATAATGTGTTGGTTCGAAGGTCAAATCTTTATTGAAGTGTTTCGGACGTTTTAAGCTTATCCATGAGCTGGAATTTCAGGCTCATTTAATTGTACTTTTGGCCCAATATGTATTCCGTAACTATTTTGGGAACGAATATTTAATGTGTCGTTGTACAAGTATTTTAGTATTCTATGAGAAATTTGTTTAACTTATAACATCATTTTTTATAACTTACGTCAAGTAGCACTCATGCCGTTGGTTATTTTGGACACAATAAAACCTAAAACTATGATATATAACTTTATCATATAGTCTTTGTGTAGTGTAGTATACTTTGTGATGGTTTAAATTATTAATTATTCCTCCAAAATATCGTTACAACACCGTGATACTGATTCTCTAAATTATCGTTACAAATAACAACTTCTAAATATTTGACAAGATTTGTTACAACTTATAACCTGCACACCTGATACACATTTTAGTCAGATGACTCACGTAGTGACCATATTTGTTGGTCTATATAACTTATGCATTTGTAATTGTAAGAATAAATAAAATCGTGACATTTTTAAGAAAACAAGATCGTGACGAAAAGTCAACTGGCGTATAAAAGTAAAAGACAAAAGTAACTGCCTTAAATAAAATGGTCAAAGAAAACAATTTTTGTCTCAGCAATATTTTCCTGCATACAATCTGATTCGAAATTAAGCAATATGGAACGACAGCGATGAAAACAAGAAACTTAGGTTTTTCAACTATATAAAAAAAAATGAAAATTATTTTTATTTGATGCACCACAAGTTATTAATTACAGCACGAGAAACTAAAAAATAACCCCAAATGAAAAGTAGAGATTTAAGTATATGCAGAGCAAATAAATACAAACATTTATGCTTTGCCTTTTTCCTTCTCTCTAACTTCCATTTCCCAATCCGAATCCCAAGAAGTAAATCAACCTAAACCGTACCCACAAAATTAAACCATTACTAAACCGTACTTGAAGAGGTTTTCTTTCGGTTTAGAGTTTCACAACTTCAGGGATAAAGACAGGGTAACGGTCGATACAATCGGACCATGGTCCATCTTTAGGTGTCTTTATCGTACGGTTACACTTCCACACAGCAGAGTTACATTTGAAACCACTCCCAAACGCAATCTGCCAAACTCGATCTCCTCTTCTCATTCTCCCTTTAGACTCGATGTAACTAAGCTCGTACCATAAAGAGGACGATGAAGTGTTACCAAAACGATGCAATGTCATTCTTGAGGCTTCCACGTGTTCTCCTGATAGCTGTAGATTCTTCTGTAGCTCGTCGATCACTGCTCTTCCTCCTGCGTGAATGCAGAAGTGTTCGAAGGCTAGCTTGAAATCTGGTATGTATGGTTTCCATTTCGGGTTGAAGATTTTACGTCCGATTAGAGATGAGAGGAAGAGAAGCTGCTCCGATGCCGGTAGGACAAGTGGACCTGTTCAATCGAAACCAAACCATAACTAAAAAATAAAAGAACAAATCTTAAATCGAACAAAAAGAAATGAATGCAACCGTATTGAATAAGCTAAATTTGCATTGAAACAAAACGTATACCTACAAAAACAATGCATTTAATTTTACTAAAATACCATATAACCAATCTTTTATTTTAAAACTAAATAAATTTTATCAAATAAGCTATAGAAACAAAACATTTACTACGTATTTTTGTTTAAAACCAAAACGAATCCAAATTGAGCCAAAACTAACGAACCGAACCAAAAGTATGGAATGTCTCTATCCATTAATTTACTTTTCGCCGTTTATATAGTTTGTGTATTAATTAATGTGAACCAAAATGATATTTTATTATTGTTACCTATTGTGGTGATGTTAGCTTTAAGGGCTTCACCGGCGATGGCCATGAGATCTTTGGACAAGTTGATGCCAACGTGTCGTTCTTTATCTTCCTGCTCATAGACACAGTAGTAAGACTTGTCGTCAGCGCCACGGTGTGTCCTGACAAGGTGGCAAAGCTTGTACTTGGCTCGCCATCGGTCAGACCGACGGTTCGACATGAGAATGGCAGCAGAGCCCATGCGGAAGAGACAATTGGGAAGCAACATGGCTCTCTCGTTCCCTTTGTAGTAATTAGGCGTTATGATCTCCGTGCTGACTATGATTGCATTTGAATTGGGATGAACTTGAAGCAGATCACGGGCCAAATCTACTGAGATCAGGCCCGCGCTGCAGCCCATCCCGGAAAGATTAAAGCTTCTGATGTTGCTCCTAAGCTTGTATTTGTTGATGACCATAGCGGAGAGCGATGGAGTGGGAGAGAAAAGAGAGCAATTGACAATGAGGATGTCAATGTCTTTAGGCTTTAGACCGGTTTTCTTGAAGAGATCGTCCATAGCCGTGAAGATAACCATCTGAGCCTCACTTCTAGCTGCGTCCATGGTTGGTGTGGGAGGAATGTAATGAATAGCCGGAGGGAGACAAGTCTCTTCACCAAGGCCAGAACGTTCAAGGATTCTCATTTGAAACTCAACGCTCTTGGGCTTGTCCTTGAGGATCAAACGAGAATGTTCCATGAAAGTTGCGAAGGGAACACGGCAGGTGACAGGTGGTTTGTAGCAAGAGTAGTCAACGAGGTAAACGGTACGTGGCTTGGACATGAAGTAAACGGTGGAGATGAAGATAACAAAGAACGAAGAACATAGAACCTGAATTAGGTCAAAATGAAGTGAGTTCCAAAGATTAAGAATCTCTTCTGGACCCATCCGAAGAAGCTCAACGGCGATGACTGCCATGATCGGGATCAAAAGAAGACCCAAGAAGTGATTGACTAAGTATTGATAGCCAAGTTTGACATACTTAAGCTTCACGGAGTTGGAGAACTCTGGCATCGGTGCCTGAGGCATGATCTCTTCCGATAGAGAGAGTTTAATGTAAAATATGTAAGTACACTTTGATTTGAAGTTAATGGAGAAGAGAGAGAGATGGTGAAGGATATAAAGGCAAACAAGAGAAGGGGTAGATGAGAGAAGTTAATGAAGAGTCTAACGTCACCCAACGCTCTTGCTTTCCTCTCTATTTAATTTTCTGCTCTTTTTTCTTCTTTGTTATTTTGTGCAAAAAAAACCTCAAACTATATTATTTTTGCAAGAAAAACCCTCACATCAGAAAAATGCAAGTCAAACCACTCACCTCCAAAGTCACCCGCAATATAGCCCCTGCCTATATTGATGACGTGGCATTCTTTTAAAAAAAAAGATTTTGTGCAAAAAAAACCTCAAACTAAATTATTTTGCAAGAAAAATTTTATCATCAAACAAGTATATAGGATTATTGGTATATGAATTTATAAGAATTCTTAAACTTTTCATAAATCTTTGTTATTGGTTTATGAATTCTAACAATTTTATTAAAATATGTTGTTATTGGTTTGGTGATTTTTAAAATCCATACAAAATCAGTTGTTATTTAAAAAGTTTGTGTTTTAATGATTTCATGAATCCAATAAAATCTTTATTATTGAGACATGGATTTTAAACAATTTAAATCATAGAACAAGATTTTCAAAAGTACTACATATAACCTTGAGATTTTCAAAATCCATTATAAATTTATTTTCTAAATATACAAACTCTCTCCAAATATAACATAAACTCTCTATAAATTTAACAAATCTCTTAAATTTTAAAATTTACCAACTCCACATAAATTCATCTCTCAATAACCCTCCTAAGTAAATTCACATACCTCAAAATTAGCTAAAACAAGATTTCTTTGAACAAACTTGTGTAAATTCAAATTGAATTGTTTTCTTTGAAACGAAACAGTTCGAAATAAATTGTACCAAAAACAACTAAGAATAAAAGTATTATATCTGAGTCAGATCGAGCCGAAAATTTACTCCCAAACAAATCTACTGTGACGAGGTAAGAAAGCCATAAACAAATTTGAAAATGAATAATGCCATTATGTTCAAGATTTAAATGACTTTGCTAATTTATTTTCAGAAAATAAATGATGGAGTTATAAAGAAAAATAAAGATGAGCTTTTTCTTTTCATTTTTATATATAATTTACTAAAATAAAATTAAAATCTTGAAAACAGTAAATAGTTTTTTAAAGGTCTTATGCAAATTGAAAACAACAAAAAAATTCTTCAACGAAGGCTTTTTTTGCAAAAAAAATTAGTTCGAGGTTTTTTTTGCACAAAAAATAAAGATTTCTGACAATGCCACGTGATCAATATAGCCAGGGGTTATATTGCGGGTGACTTTGAAGGTGAGTGGCTTGACTTGCATTTTTTTGAGGTGAGGGTTTTTCTTGCAAAAATAATATAGTTTGAGGTTTTTTTTGCACAAAACCCTTTTTTATATTATGAGAAACTAAAAAATGTTTGTTTTTACTTCTCCTCGATTTCCAGTTGTAACTAGACAAAAGCAAGTGATGGGAGCAAATGATAAGGACTGTTCCCTTTTGATATAAGAAATTCATCTTTCTTCAAAAGATTGTTGTCAAGATAGAAGAAATAAATAAAAACAAAACGTGTCGGCGTATGGTTTAGTCGAGATCAAAGCGTTTGGTAACGACTTTGATTTGATGATCACGTAGCCCGGTAGGCGGAATATACATAGTACTGTTACATTAATTTGTTATGTATCCAAGAAAACATTGTTTTCACAACTCAGGTCACTTAACTCAGGTCTAGACTCAAGTTCCACAAATTAAAGAATTAGGAGTACTAATCTTTTTTTACGCATGAATTTAATGTACGTTATTACCCCAAAAAAAGTGAATTGAATGAACGTAAACTTACTTCTGAGTTTGGGCCTATCACGCATGTACGTGGCAGAGAGCGTGAAAATCGGTGAAATTATAGTTACGCAATTACATTCAGGTTTTTCTGCTGTTTACAAGCCCAATCAATCTTTCATTTTGCATGCGTTAGTCGTCAACAACCGAACTGAGAGTTTATACGAATCATTGTTCTATAACACAGTATGATTATGTGGCTGATTAGTTGGCGCATTTAATATAGATTCAATAGTGTGAATTCTAGATAACAGTGTAAATTGTAGACCATAGTGCTCTTTTTTTCCTCTGATTTTCTTATGAAAAAGAAACAGCAATATTAAAATCTACTAACTACTATTGTGGGTTCAATAGCAAAAAAGATCATAGCTGATCAGAAAAATTACAAAATGAATAAAGAAAGCCTTGTTCTTTGCGAAAGTCATTTACAAAGACACGATAGCGATAGGTGATTTTTAGTGATTGTCACTCAGAAGTTACAACATGATTAATTGTAAAACTTCTTTAACATTTACGGTTTACCTATCGCATTCAATACAAATTTGAGCAAAAAATTTAAAAAATAAAGCATAATTTTAATTTTTTGTTGTTGAAAAGCATGAATATTCGACTTTATTTTCCAAAATAACTCAGTTTGAAACTAAGTAACATGTGATCATTTCACTGAGCTACACCAACATTAATAAACATATTTAACCCAAAAAAGAATATTAAAATACGACGGTGGATTATTTACAAACTACTCTTTTGAATTTACTATCAAATTCCTCTTGGTTGGGCCCAATAGTCATTTGAAAGAGGGAGAACACGAGGGAAAATCAGACAGTAGTTACGATGTTTGACTTGGGAAGTGCAAGAAGACAAATCTTGAGATACACATTTTGAATTACAATTTGGGCAATCCAACAGTAGTTACGATGTTTGACTAAGAATCTGAAAGCAGACAAATTTTGAGATCCTACGGTTTCACATATAAAGACGAGCCACCAAAAACCTCAAATAAAGTCCAAATATCTCCTGCTATGATTCTATTTGACAAACAACTTTTCATCGATGCTTGAATAAGATTGTATACTAAAAATATGTATAAAACCAAATTAGGGGATAGCTTTCTATAAACTAAAAGTTGAACATCTCGGAATAACGTACCTTCTAGTGAGGTCATGCATTAATGGCAACAAAATGTTGATGAAGAAGTTTGATTTGGAAGTGCTCACCAGATTGATAAGTACTTGAGCATCTCATTTAATACGAATGAAAACGTGTATGAATTCCATTAGCCTCACTTATTTCTTCCATGATACAGCTCTTCCTTCACTTTCAGAATAAATAAACATGACGATAACTTTCATATATATCTCCTTTGACAAAGATGATTGTCTTGTTTGTGGTTTCCCAATACTTAATGAGTTAATGTACACTTTGTGATCAGAACTACATTAACGTAGCCACCATTGGTATTTTCTAATTTCATTTGTAATAAAGATTGTGGAATGGTAAATTTTCTCAGAGACTTTCACACTATACCATTGATTTAGCATAAACCTCGATTTATACACTGTATTAAAGACTATATTCTTAATTTTGTTGGAATTACAATTCATTCTAAATTTTACATAATCTTCATAATATCCAATCTGCCCAAAAAAGTGTGTTGAGCATCAATACCCTTATTTTGATTCCATCATCATGGATGAATCCTCTTGCTAATTGCCGACATTGATCTACATTTTTTAATTGTTGTAGTGAACAGTCTCGAATAGTTATGATTTGGCTTATTTACCATTGCAATCATCTTCTTGGACCACCTGATCACTAGGCTTAAGGAGAAAATCAACCGTGACATTGGGACATAAGAATCTTTGTGGTGTGAGTTCTATTGATTTAAGGGAAACAAAAAAAATCAATAGGCTCACACCTTCAAACACTAGAACGTATGAAACAAATGTAGTACTCAGTTAGACTAAGCTTTAGACAAGGCAGTAAGTCAAATTACAATAAAAAATTTCAATAATACAAATTGTATATCAATAAGTTAATACTAATACGAGGTTTGGATCATTTTTATATGTGGACAACCTAAAATGTAAATCCAAAAACTACGCACATACAACGTACTTAACAGTTTATGGCGCAAACTACAACAATCAAATTAAATAATACTACAAAACACAATTTTCATGTTTTGGGAAAACCAATATAGTTCTTGTTATCACTTGCAAATGTGCATCTATTTTTTAGTTCATAATCTGTTTTACTCTCTACGAAATGACACAAGTCCAATTTGACCATATTTGTGGCCATATATTCATGTACAACTAGAAGACTGATCCATGTTGTCTGCGGGTATTCAGACATCAGATATTTTTGGAAGTCGATCAATAGTTGATGAGTCTGCATATATTTATTCGTGGTAAAGTTCTGTACATAAGTGAAAAATATGTTCTCCAATTTTGCTCAGTTTCTCCAATATAAGTAGAGTTGAGGTTTGAAATGATATAACAATTTCTGTCTTATTACTATATATGAAATATGTACATATATAGTCCGTACTCCATACAAACAAAGACAAATAATAGAAACTGTAAAAGAATATTCACATACGTACATCCTCTACATATTAAAAACAAATTAGGAAGTGAACTCAAAAAACAAACCATGAAAAAATGAAGTGATTTAGAATGAATAAATTAAAAATAAATATAACAAGGTATACAGAAATACAGAGATAAATTATAAAATATTTATAAATATAAAAATTTACAGTTCCTAACATTTATCATTGTTATTCAAAATAATAACATTTTAAAAACAATCCGAATGAAAATTTAGAAGTTATATAGTGTCACCGTACTGGTTATAAAAATTACAAACTCTTTATTTATCAAAACTTAGTTTATAAACTATCAAATATTCTTCTTTTTCTAAAAAAAAAAAAAAAAAAAAAAAAAAAAAAAAAAAAAAAAATCAGGTAATTTACACTATTATAATTATTCCATTAGTTCCAATGAAACTAGGTCTATTTTAAAACAAATACAAATCATGCATTCGTTAAATATGAAACATTCCTAAAGGCTTAAGGTTTATTAAAATATAACCTGGACTAATACTATATGTAGTTAGTTGTATATATATAAAAATAAAAAAATAAAAAAAAATTAAAGACTTCTAAATCTATTTTTGCCACAAATACACTTTATATAGCGACTACACGAATACATTAGATGTATCACTATTCACTAACCATTAAGGAATACAACAAGTGCTGATGTGAGTTACAACACGGTATGTATAAAATGCATTTCTCCTTAATTAAGTTGGAAATTTCTGCTCTATTTCCTCATCACAAGTTCACAACACAAATAATATATAATACAAACGGCCCCGCACAAAGATAATGTGATGCGAATAAGATCAATACACGGATCAGTCGGACCGACCAGCTGCCACCCTGCCAACTACCTTAGAAGACGTTTAACAAGAACAAATAAATGTAACCAACACATATTCTTCAACAATCTAATACGTGTATATACCTCTGTGTTTCTTAAATTTCAGATTGTAGGAATTAGTTGCAACTCTCAACTATTTCACGATTTTTTGTATTTATTACTGTCCTTTTGTACTAATGTCAGTACTCAGCATGCAAGAAATGATGTTTCTTGCACTTAATTTATCTCTCAGTTAAACTCGACAACCTGTAAAGGAATTACTTGAGCTATGTTCAATCAATTATTTCAACACAAGACTATTACATAATTAACGAAAAGAAAGTTAGAGCCGGCACAGCAAACGTATGTTGAGTCTTTGACCACGATTCATCATTTTCTTATGAAACATGGTAAGATCGTAGTAAGAAAATAGTTGTGAAATGATGACAATGATGCAAGAATATATTGCGGTAATGGGTTTTCATTTAGGAATCTAAAACCCTCGTGAGACCCTTTAACAAAAAAAAAAAAAAGAATCTAAAACCCCTCTCCAAGTATCTTTCTCTCTCACATGCAAGTACCAGTGTAGTGAAATAGATGCGGTTAATGGCCTTACCACAGAGAAATGACCAAGGTAACTTTTTTTTGACAACTTGGTAACTTTGTATTACCAACGGGAGATCCTTATTTTCTCGCTAATCTAGATCTCAAGATTTTTCACCACAACTTTTTTGTTAGTTAAACTAGTAAAATGGGAGTAAAAACTAAGTATATATATGTTCAGAACATCCTCTTGGAGTGAACAGATCGCTGAGTCGGCGAGATGCATAGCACATATGCAATTTTCTCTTGAAGAAACTAGAATTGATTGCACGTGAAAGAATGATCATATCAAACCTCTTGTTACCTAATGTTCCACTACCTTCTGCATCTCATTTAATTTGGGAATACGACTTATTTTGTCGACGAGTCATGCATTAAACAAAATGAAAAACAAATGAGTCTCATGCGTTGACCCGAAACAATCATATAGTATAAAACTTGCATGTTAATTTCATGTAGTTCTGATGTATTAGCGTGGATGCAATTTCGTCCTGTTATGTCATTTCTTCAAATCTGTCTATACTTGTTCAACTGATAATATTTAAGCACTAAACACCCCTTCATAAAAAAAATTCCAAATCTTTCATAATTTTCCTAATATTGGACTGAAAATAGCCGTTGATTCTTCTTTTGTTCCATTTAGAAGAGAAACAAATAGATAAGTACCAGTGATGATGAATGGACGTGTTGATTAGTATTGGGTGAGATTTGATAGGCTTGAAATCATTAAGAAGACCATCTTCCCAACTATCTCTATTAATTTTGATTGTTACAATAGTTTTTGGACTAGTGATTATCAGTCTCCTTTCCTATCATATGTTGTTTTCATCAATTATACAAACCAGCTGAAAGATTAGCCTAAACTTTTGGTTTTTGTCCCCTATCTTTAATTAGGATGATTAAGAAAACATCAATATTTGTGATTTGAAAAAAAAATCAGAACTCATCTTCCAACTATTAAGCACCCTGATTTATATCATTTTTTAAAATCAGTTGTGACGATTAATATCTTAACATTGGAATCAAGATCATAAAACCCACTCAATTTCCACACCAAAAAAACTCACTCAATTTACATGGGCCTTGAAGCCCAATAGGCCTTTATTACTAATATTTCTTCCAAATCATGTTCTTGACCGAGGCAAAACTCACATGTGAAACGCTTTCTTCAAAATAGCAAAGAAAATAACGTGTGATAGAGAAAGCACGAAAGTGGTGAATCACCCACACTCCTTTTTCACTACCACACAAAAGAGATTACTTTATTATTAAATCTCTCTGTGACATTTCAAAACAAAATTCAAATTCGTTGCAGAGACGGAGACAGAGACATGGCAGAGTATTTGGTTACCGGAGGAACAGGTTTCATCGCTTCTTACATCGTTAAATCACTCCTCGAACTCGGTCACACCGTTCGAACCACCGTCCGAGACCCAAGTTAGATCCCAATCTTTCCACAATCAAACATTCCATAACAAAAAAAATCGAATTTTTATAATTTCTGAGTTCTTGATTTTGTTTTTGATCAAAAGGTGATGAAGGAAAGGTTGGATTTTTATTGGAATTGAAAGGAGCGAAAGAGAGATTGAAGCTTTTCAAAGCTGATCTAATGTTAGAAGGAAGCTTCGACGAAGCAGTGAACGGTGTAGATGGAGTATTCCACACGGCTTCCCCTGTTATTGTTCCACAGGATAACAACATTCAGGAGACATTGGTTGATCCAATCATCAAAGGAACAACCAATGTGATGAACTCTTGCGCCAAATCCAAACACACTCTGAAAAGGATTGTTCTCACATCTTCTTGCTCTTCGATCCGGTACCGTTTCGATGCTACAAAGGCTTCTCCTCTCAATGAGTCTCATTGGAGTGACCCTGACTACTGCAAACAATTCAATGTGAGAGCAAACAAACATTTCTCTCTAATATACTTTGAATTATGCTTTAAAAGACTAAATTGATCATGACATGGTTTGTACAATGCAAAATTTATTCAGATTTTGAAATTTTGATTTAAAAGATTTGCTTGAACATGACATATAGCTTAATGGTTAGTTATCTAAGAACATTTCTCTCTAATCTGCCTGAAAGTTTCGATTTTTATTGTAAAGAAACAGACTTTATTAGAATGCAACATTTGTCACAAATTTTGAAACTTTGATTAAAAAGATTTGCTTGAACTTGACATATAGCTTAATGGTTAGTTAATTGAAAACATTTCGCTCTAATTTGCCTGAAAGTTTTGATTTTTATTCTAAAGAAACAGACTTTATTAGAATGCAACATTTGTCTCAAATTTTGAAACTTCTATTAAAAAGATTTCATTGAACATGACAAAGAGCTTAATGGTTAGTTATTTAAGAACATTTCACTATAATCTGCCTGAAAGTTTCAATTTTTATTGTAAAGAAACAGACTTTAATGATGGTGTGTGTGTTTGAAATGATAGCTTTGGTACGCATATGCAAAGACTCTAGGGGAGAAAGAAGCTTGGAGGATAGCAGAAGAGAAAGGATTAAACTTGGTGGTTGTGAATCCTTCATATGTGATTGGTCCATTGCTTGGACCAAAACCAACAAGCACTCTTCTTTTCACACTAGGCATTGTCAAAGGTCTAGTTGGAGAGTATCCGAATTTCACGGTCGGGTTTGTGCACATTGACGATGTGGTTGCTGCACATGTGTTAGCCATGGAAGAGGCTAAAGCATCAGGGAGGATCGTGTGTTCGAGTTCTGTTGCTCATTGGTCTGAGATCATTGAGTTGCTAAGGAACAAGTATCCTAATTACCCTTATGAAAACAAGTAAGTCTCTCAATCACTGCATTCACCATAGCATTTGGTTGATTTGATTTGATTGATTGATTTCTTTGTTGTTTTTGTTTCAGGTGTAGTAACAAAGAAGGAGATAATAATCCACATAGTATGGATACAAGGAAGATACAAGCGTTGGGATTTGGTTCCTTCAAGTCAATACCTGAGATGTTTGATGACTGTATCCGGAGTTTTCAGGAGAAGGGTCTTCTCTGAAGATCATTCATCTCTATCTATCTTTTCTTTATTGTTGATTTCTGGATTGTGAATCTATAATTCTGTGGAATTGAAACCTTAGCAATAATAAATAAATGATTCCAGAATAAATTTTAGTAAGGTGGTTTTGATCAATTACAAGTTCTTCTAATCTTGAAGTTTTAAGCATTTAGTAAATTATCCAAGTGGTGGCTTTAATTTGTACATGAAGGTAGTGTTATTAGTCAAGCTAATACCACAAAAGAATCCTTGTAGATTAGTAGAGTCAAAATCAAGCAATTAACAATGGCAAAGATTTACAAATCACATTGAGCATGGCATGTCTAATGTGTCCAACTTTTGCTTCTTGTTTGTCACAGAAATGTTAACTTCTCTGCTTTTTTTTTGCCAACAACTTGTAATTTAACGTACTTTAACAGACGAACAAGAAAAAAAAAAAAAAAAAAACGTAACACACAATCTAACTGAGTCAGGCTTTTAAGCTAATGGGCCAAGTATCGACCCTTTTTAGCCCAATAGAACACTTGAATTCAGTATGTATGAACTGGAAAACAAAACAAAACAAAAAAGAGAAAAAAAAAATCTTTGTTCGGTTTGTATCCGGATTTGATTTTTGTAGATAAAAAAAGAAGAGTTTAGAGAAAGTGAATGTATAAAAACCATGTTAAAATTGGTTTTTTCATATAAAAAGGAGGTGAATCTATGAAAACCTAGTTAAAATTGGTTTAGATCTATAGAAACTAGAAAGTGGAACACTCCTACTTACTATAATACAGCATCAAGAGTTTAAAAAGCTTTATCACAAGATCCTCTCTACTTGATCACCACCTCAACAACCTCATGCATGTGCATTTTCAAGCTCTTCTTCTTATAGTATATCACGTGACTGAGACATGCCGCACGCACGCACGTATAGAAAAACAAAAGGATTAAACAAAGAGCATGTGCAACCTCAGAGTAGTGGAAGAGTTACTACTACTACTATAGTAGTAGAGTATAAACTCATCCTTTGACTTTTCCTCATTCCCAAAATCAAAACTTTATATTATAAAAATTAAAATTCTTCAAAAAAATGCGATACAGCTGTTATTAAATATTTGGAGTTAATTCAATAACCTGACAAAACCAACCCCTGACCTTGTTGCCACTTCCGTGCTATTCCCTCTTTAATTCCCCACTCTCCTCTTCACTATTCAACTTTCCCTCAAAAAGACTATTAAAATCTTAAGTATAATTTGACTAATTAAATTAAATCATATTAGTAGAAAAAAATGCTGTTTTGTGATGGCGCGGCGAATCAGCAGAGACAAAGAGGCCTCATAAATCTCTCATTGAATTGTGTCACTTTCTGTTAGATTCTTTAGAATCGCTACACGTCAGAATCTAACGCTCTCCACTGATAAATAGATGTGACCAAATAAAAAGTCGATAAGAACAATGAATGCAACAATTAAAATTTAAAAGACCTTTTTAATCATTTATATAAGCAAAGAGAGGTTACAAAAGTGATGAATGTAAATGGAAACCAAACTCTAAATACTTTGGACGGCTCTAAAAAGCACAACTGAAAAACCCAAAGTAACAAAGAGATTAAAGCTTCACACTTTCACACTTAAATCTTAACCAAAAATTAAAAACAAACTCTTTCTATTGCAAAACCCGGCTAATTATGTATTAAGATCTTACTTTCTCTCCGGAACACACACATTTTGTATGTCTTTATGAAAACTAATAAAAAAAAAAAACGAAAAATTAAAAAACTCTTCTCACTTTGAAAACAAAACTACTATTAAGCTGCAAAACTTTTCATGGGGCAAGAAGGGATGTTGAGAGGCGCAATCTGATCCAAGAAGGAGAAATTCGAATCAGCTAGCTCAAGATCATCAATGTCTGCAAAGTCGAAATCCGGAAGCTCGCTAGGACCACTGTCTTCAAACCCATTGATATCATCAAGCAAGCCGAAGTCATCAAGACGATCATCAGACAAGAAACAGTCAAAGTTAAGAGCATCACCACCTGTTCCTCCATCAGCAATTGGTCCATCAGAGAAGAAGCTAAGATCAGGAATCTGTAGATCAGAGAAGTCGAAATCAAACAACACATCCTTGCTCGATTCCACAACACACTCCGTAGTAGTAACAACAGTTGTTGTTGTTGTAGTAGTAGTGATCTTGATCTCTTCTTTAGACGCTGAAGTGTCTTGCTCAAGAGGAGAAGAGCGAGAGCATTGACTAGTCTCAGACGAAGAGACAGAGACAGGTTTCTCAGAGACAGAGACAGAGACAGAACTAGTTCTTGTTGTTGTTGGAGGAGAGACAAGAGCATCATACTCTTTCTTCTTGTCTTTGTAAGCTTGATGAGCTTCTTCTTCAGTGTCAAAAGTACCCAACCATGTCCTCACTTTAGTGAGTGGATTTCTAATCTCAGCAGCCCATTTCCCCCATTTCCTCTGCCTAACTCCAACAGGCTTCTTAGACCGAAGAGCAGCTCCAGTTCCTGTCGCAACAGCTGCAACAGCTTTCTTGCTGGTTTTGGTACTGTCCTGAGAAGAGCTCGGAGATGGCTCCACACGAGACACAACAGACGGTTCCACGGACGGGAAGTTGATCTCACGGACAATGCGTTTGACTCTACGTGGCTTGATCATCGCTTCGTCCTCGTCGCTGGAGGAGTCATCAGTAGCGTAAGGATCGTTGACAATGATCCGGACTTTCCTCAGAGGTTGTGTTGGTAAAGCAGAGATGTTGATGCTTCTCTTTGATTTCTTCACATCACTCAAAGACTGTTGTTGTTGCTTCCTAATCTCAACCATTGTTCTTTCTTTCTTCTCCTCACAAACCCACTTTCCCAAAAAAAAACGAAAATCACTCACGAACAAAAAAAACACTCTTTTGTATCAAAAATCCGAGAAAATGGGTTTTGTTCAAAATCTCAGCGAACTATGAAAAAAGCAAATTTTTGCTGCTTTATGTGAAAACCCCCAAATACTTCAACGCCAGAACAAGTCCTGCGGTAATAAAAATCGAAACTTTAATCAATCTCTAACCGTAAAAATCAAACCTTTATTGAATCAGTCTCTCAGATCTTTTACTATAAAGAATAAATGGGAGAGGAAATGATTGAAGATGATACCTTTTGGGCCTTAAGCGCATGGAAAGAGACGGAATCTCGAGGATTAGCCTCTGCTTTGAGCAGAAGTGGACAGCGTTTGAGGAAACAGCAGCAGCCAGACCAGATTTCAGAGGAGACGTTGAGGAAGATGATGAAATCGGAGAGGAGATGTTAATCAGAGACAAAATCACAGCCGATTCAAACCCAGCCGACATAAATCCGCGACACCAAACGCCGTGAAAGAGAGATATTCCGGTGAAACGAAAAACCCTAACTTTTCACTGTTTTCCTGTTCTTCGTGAAGACAAAAAGAGACAAGAGTGAGAAACCAGAAAACCCAGACAGCTAAAACCCTAGAGAAAAGAGAAAGATTAGAAATCTGGGGCGGAGATAAAACGAAGGATCCGTGACAAAACTTCACAGAGAGAAAAAACAGTAAACAAGTGTTGTTTAAAAGAAAAAGAAAAAAAAGTTTCGATTTTTACAATACCCTTCAGAGAGACGACGCAAATCTCAAGGAGAGAAAAGGAGATAAAAACATAAATATCAATACAAAACAATAAAGAAATCCAAGGAAGAGGAAGAGGAAGATGAAGAAGACGAAACGATTCTTTTTTAATGGAGAAATGCAGAGAGAAGAAAAAATATTTATTAACCTTGTTGGTGTGTCTCTTCTGATTCTCTCTCTTCTTCTTCTTCTGCTCTTGATTTTTTGTTGGGTACTGATGAATAATAAAGCTTTCACGCTCTTTATATTCTGATTTTTACACTATTGCTGATTTATTTCACTTTTTTCAATGACGGTCAAAAGGAACCATTCAAAGAAAAGAACGACAAATTTGGTATATGAAATATTCAGAGTTTTTATTGTGGGAATTGTAACAGCCAATTAGGAACTGAAATGGTAAATTTTGTATATATTCTGAAAATTATGTTACCATTTTATAGAAATGTTACATTTATTGACCGACCCAAAAAACATTTAATTTCCCCCATTGAATAAATCTTCCGTTTTTTTAACAATAAAATAACAGTATTTGACTGTACTGCATAGAGTCTTTTGACTTAAATTTCTTTTGCGTTACAATTCTTATTTTATTGTTACCATAAAGAAATTAGCATAATATTGTCATGGAGAGACATATAATAAAAATTAGCTGGCATGGTGGAAGTAGGGACAATTTTCACATTAATGGCGCATGACTCTCTCATACTCATGCATCTATCATGGCCCGCCAAGAATCCTAGCGCGTGTAGCTCAATCTCCCCTACTCACAAGAAAATTAAGGAAACTTTATTTTCTGTTTATAAAAAATTGTTTCCTTGTTTTTCGTAATTTTAATGAAATTAGATTTAGATTATTTATTTAGCGGGATAAAAATCCAAATTTGTTAACATATCTTTCATTTTTGGTAGATAATCTCAACAATATTAAAAACAGAATCTGAAGAAAATCTTTTACAAAAATCTAACTAAATCTAATTTTCACTGGATTTCTATATTTAGAAATCAATACTAAAGAAATATATAAGAGAAAAAAACGAAACCGTTCATTTGGTTTAGATTCTGGTCGAAACCAAACCAAACCAAACCAAACTTAACTGACTTAACCAAAAAAAAACTAAACTGACTAAACTAAGTTATGCAGCTTATGCTAATCTCACATTTTTATGTTCTTTACATGAATACCAAATAACGGCGGCTAAAATGCTCTTCTCTTTTAAAAAAATGTGGAAAGTGGTTTATTTTAACATTAATTCCAAACAAATAAAACATGATTTGTTGTGAATGTTTTACTATGTTTTTAACAGTTATGCCGCTGAGATTTAGGTTTCTTAGTAACTTTGAATAGCTATGTTATAGCGCAGGGAACGGAGAAACATATGACCAAAATTGCAATGTTGAAGTTAAATTTAGATTCTTGATTTTTATGATCATCTAAATAAGACACTTTTTTAGCGATAAAAATCTTGCTTTCCTTTAACAAACATATTTTAATTTACTTTTTGAATTGAATACAGACTATTTTTAGTAAGGTATAAATTTGGAAACAAAATAATCCAAAATTACTTTAGAATATTCGAGAGATTTTTTTTGCGCTGTAAAAAAAAATCAATATTAATGCATGATATGAATCTTGACTTTCGATCACTCTAATAATCAAATGCTCAAAATTGTTTTATATCTAAGCAGAGTAGTGAAGTGGTCGTGGAATAAATATTAGAGTCCAAATAATTAAGCAACGAGCTGTCGATTTAAGGATCTAACATTATACAATTATTGGACGTGGAATGAAAGTGCTGATTTTATAATAGAATTTTTGTCAAGATTTAGCAAAGAATGTTGAAGGCACATGTGACACGTGTGCGGAAAGATCCTTCCTATGTTTTGCTTCAATCTTACTAAAAGCAAGTTTTAGTCTCTATCATCAATCATAACAATTAACCTTATCACAATATCATCACACTCATTTTCGAAAAGTCGACAATGAAGTCAGAAATTCACTAAAGAAAAAGAGATGGCCTTTGTTATTATGATATATTGTATACTTGTAGAAGACAATGTCACACAATATCTCACAAAATCTTACTGAGTGATGATAGGTCACACAATTGTTAGTGAGCCACATACACGGATATGATATTTTACTTTCATCCTATACGCAATCTACCGTTTATTAATCACTAATATATTTCTTTGAGTGAATAAACAAGATTTTCTTATTTCCTCCTCATTACCAAAATTAGAGTTATTTACATTGGGACACACTTTTAGACTTACAGTTTATAAAGAAAGGCACTTTCTGATTACGGTGCACTTTCAACACATGCAAAGACAACAATAACCTTCTGTCATCTTTCACCTTCTCTCGCTCACACATTTTCACCTTTATGCTTTTCAATTATTCACACAAAAAATTACAGCTTGTTTACCTTCCGCCGGCGACAGCTTCTTCACCTCCGCCATCAATTACCCAAAATTTATGTTCGCTTTATCCCCATTGATAACCCAATCCATCTCTGATTTCACTCATCACCACAAACCCATAAATTGAGTTGTTCATGTTTTCTTATATGGCCTACAGACTCCGTCGTCATAACCCACCTTCTCTTTTATGCCTCCATACTCCACCACATGGAGTCCTCACCGGCTCTCAAAGCACCAGCCACCGTCACTGTGGAAGGTACTCATTGTAACCAGATTTGATTTTTTGATCTGCTATAATTTTGATTTATCTCAATTGTAAGATTTGCTTTTACTAATATTTGTTACCTGATTTATCTTCAAGTTTCGGAGAGGTTTCTTCTGCTCCATATGCTTCACCAACTAATAATCTGCACTATCAGGTTCCTAGATCTTCCTTCTTATTGAATCTTTGATTACCAAATCAGAATCGATTTTACCCTTCCAAATCTTTAAATTTGCAGAGTGAGGCATGGGAAAGTGGAGCAAGCGCATTGTCCATATTGGTTTGTTCATCGAGAGCTTTCAAATATGTATGCTATCCACATCATTGTGTCCATAACTCAATATCCATATGGGTATGAAATTACGGGTCATCTCGTAGGCATGTTTCACGGGATCGTATCCATATGACCATGTCCATACTCCTATATCCATATGTATATCTAACACTTTACACCTATATGCTATATCCATATCCCCACGGTTTGATGTTGCACTTTTTATCCTATTCTAATTTTTATGTAAACAAGGACATTACAAAGCAGCTTAGTGTTCTAGAGACGCATCAGGAGAAAAAACTAAGTTTATTCTTTCTTTTTAAGCAACTCAAATACAAGCTTTAGAGGAGATAAATACAACTCAATCAACTCAAACCATTTTTGCTGTACACAGATAAATATCCACGTATATAGGTCCATAACTGTGAACAAGTGTGTCCATATATCTTTGCTTTTTCTAATGTTTTCCTTTCCATACGCCATTGTCCATAACAGTTTATCCATATGGTTTTTTGTCAAATTTTGTATTTACATCGTGCTGCAGAGTCAAACCTATGTACAATCTTCATATGTCTTGCTTTTGTTTTGTCTTAATGTGTCCATATGAAGTTCTCCATTTGGATGTTTCATACAAGACTCTCTGTTTTATGGATATATTATTTATCTACTATTCTGTTTTGTTTGGTTCAGATTGGCTACGTACGAGAAGATTGTTGTTTCCTTTTACTATGTCACTTTATGATATAAGAAGTTTCAAAGCCAAATCCAAATGAGAGTTTTGAAATGATCAAAGCATAGAATGCAGACTTAGATTCACAAAACAAGTTTTAACTAAATCCAGATAACTTCTTAAGAGTTTATGATAATCAAGACAGTGCCACAAAGAATACAAACCACACACTACTAAAGGACCATTAATTTGTCCATATGAGATTGTCCATTTGGATGTATCCAGTTTTCTGCTATAATGGTTCATTTACACTATCGAATGTCCACATTATTTTGTCTGTCCAAAGTTCTCCATTTGGGTGTGTCCATTTTGTTATATTGGTTCATCATAATGGTTCTTGTAATGATTTTGACAGTACAAAGCACAAAGCACCACATGGTCCACATCCGTTTATAAATTTTGAAGTTCATTCTATGAACTCAAAGCACTTGTATTTGTTATATGTACAAAGAGAAACATGACAATCTGAGAAGACTTTTAATGGCAACAACAACAATCAGAAAGTCAGAGATCAACTTTCCTTCACCAGTATTTGAACATACAATTTCAATTTCATTAGGATCATCCACAGGATCTCGTCCATAAGTTTCCACTATTGTATGTCCATATTGACGTATCCACCTCCATACATACTATATATTTTTCAAACCCCTATATTTATATGGATATAAAATTATATCCATCTGTTTGTATCCATATGGATGTATAACACTTACATATAACATCTGGTTCTGTTGGATGATTGATTCTTTTAGGAGACTGTCCATATGAATAGGTCCATTAGAATGCGTCCATAGTCCTATATCGGTTTAGTTCATATCAACTAAGATATAAGTTACAATGTCAGTAGGCTGTCCATATGTTGAGAATGGATCTTACTCGAATACCAAAGATTTTTTTAAATTGGTGGAGACGTTCGTCCATTGATGGTTACTTACATGTTCACGTTTTCATGGATAAAGTTGATGGTTACAGCAATGGACACATTGTACTGGACAACAAATGTTGGATATGCATTGAT